CCTTTGGGAACATTTACTTCCCACCGAGTCAGCATGACCTTCAACGCCATCCAATGATATGCAAGAGCATTACTGGTTGCAAAACTATTGCTGTGTGCCAGGTAAGAACTCTCCGTAATATTTAACACTACTTCCTGAATGAAACTTTCAAAGCAACATTTACATTTGACACAAACAGGACATGTGATAAGGGTGAATGAGTGAGTAAGTTGTATTAAACCCTGCCTTCACCAGTATTCCAGTTATATCGCGGCGTGTCAGCTTAATGTGGAAGAAAAACCCAAATGTGATGCAGGTGCAAGACGTTTACCACTTTGACGAAACCCATGAGCACGGGTATGGTGCTGACAAACCCAGAAACAAAACTGAGGCTACCTGGGATTCGAACTCACGATCATAGGTTTCCTACGTTTCCAAGGGACCCAACTTTGCAGAGCGAATTGTGGTGTATTGGACAACTGGACCATCTTTGATATTTCATGAATTAATCTGAAATTTCGTGAAATATGAACCATGTTTCATAATTTGACCTCTAGTGACCCTGACCTTTCATGAAGGTCACCCAAAAGTCGATGCGATAGAGACCCTGATTCGGAGATCATACATACTGAGTTTCATTTATAATTTATATGCAAGTTATTGTGTCCACAAGTTTTCTTGACATCTATTTAACAGTGTGACCTTGGCCTTCAATACCATTCAATCACTGCAAGAACATTACAGGTTACAGGTAACTTTGGTAGTGTTACAAATGTGAGTTGCTATACCACACTGATAAAACCAGTACTCATTTCATTAGTGAACAAGTATTTGTCACAAAGTGACGAAATGTCCCCCGCCTGTATATACACCATAGTACCAAATATGAAGACAATCCAGCGATTAGTTCTTGAGATATTGCGGCAACACCGTTTTCCAACTCCAAAAGCAGATTTGCCTGCTGTGACCTTGAAAATCGGGTCAAGGTCACCAAAACCGACTGGTATCTGCGGAGTCTGTATATACACCCTAGTTCCAAATATGAAAACAATCCAGTGTTTATTTCTTGAGATATCGCGGCAACACCGTTTTCCAACTCCAAAAGCAGATTTGCCTCCTGTGACCTTGAAAATGGGGTCAAGGTCACAAAAAACCGACTGGTGTCTGCTGTGTCTGTATATACACCATAGTTCCAAATATGAAGACAATCAATCCAGTGTTTAGTTCTTGAGATATCGCGGCAACACCGTTTTCCAACTCCAAAAGCAGATTTGCCTGCTGTGACCTTGAAAATGGGGTCAAGGTCACCAAAACCGACTGGTGTCTGCGGAGTCTGTATATACACCATAGTTCCAAATATGAAGACAATCCAGTGTTTAGTTCTTGAGAAATCGCGGCAACACCTTTTTCCAACTCCAAAAGCAGATTTGCCTGCTGTGACCTTGAAAATGGGGTCAAGGTCACCAAAACCGACTGGTGTCTGCTGTGTCTGTATATACACCCTAGTTCCAAATATGAAGACAATCCAGTGTTTAGTTCTTGAGATATCACAGCAACACCGTTTTCCAACTCCAAAAGCAGATTTGCCTGCTGTGACCTTGAAAATCGGGTCAAGGTCACCAAAACCGACTGGTGTCTGCGGAGTCTGTATATACACCCTAGTTCCAAATATGAAGACAATCCAGCGGTTAGTTCTTGAGATATCACGGCAACACCGTTTTCCAACTCCAAAAGCAGATTTGCCTGCTGTGACCTTGAAAATGGGGTCAAGGTCACCAAAACCGACTGGTGTCTGCGGAGTCTGTATATACACCATAGTTCCAAATATGAAGACAATCCAGTGTTTAGTTCTTGAGAAATCGCGGCAACACCTTTTTCCAACTCCAAAAGCAGATTTGCCTGCTGTGACCTTGAAAATGGGGTCAAGGTCACCAAAACCGACTGGTGTCTGCTGTGTCTGTTTATACACCATAGTTCCAAATATGAAGACAATCCAGTGTTTAGTTCTTGAGATATCGCGGCAACACCATTTTCCAACTCCAAAAGCAGATTTGCCTGCTGTGACCTTGAAAATGGGGTCAAGGTCACCAAAACCGACTGGTGTCTGCGGAGTCTGTATATACACCCTAGTTCCAAATATGAAGACAATCCAGTGTTTAGTTCTTGAGATATCGCGGCAACACCGTTTTCCAACTCCAAAAGCAGATTTGCCTGCTGTGACCTTGAAAATGGGGTCAAGGTCACCAAAACCGACTGGTGTCTGCGGAGTCTGTATATACACCATAGTTCCAAATATGAAGACAATCCAGTGTTTAGTTCTTGAGATATCACAGCAACACCGTTTTCCAACTCCAAAAGCAGATTTGCCTGCTGTGACCTTGAAAATGGGGTCAAGGTCACCAAAACCGACTGGTGTCTGCGGAGTCTGTATATACACCCTAGTTCCAAATATGAAGACAATCCAGCAATTAGTTCTTGAGAAATCGCGGCAACACCTTTTTCCAACTCCAAAAGCAGATTTGACTGCTGTGACCTTGAAAAATGGGGTCAAGGTCACCAAAACCGACTGGTGTCTGCGGAGTCTGTATATACACCATAGTTCCAAATATGAAGACAATCCAGTGTTTAGTTCTTGAGATATCACAGCAACACCGTTTTCCAACTCCAAAAGCAGATTTGCCTGCTGTGACCTTGAAAATCGGGTCAAGGTCACCAAAACCGACTGGTGTCTGCGGAGTCTGTATATACACCCTAGTTCCAAATATGAAGACAATCCAGTGTTTAGTTCTTGAGAAATCGCGGCAACACCTTTTTCCAACTCCAAAAGCAGCTTTGCCTGCTGTGACCTTGAAAATGGGGTCAAGGTCACCAAAACCGACTGGTGTCTGCTGTGTCTGTTTATACACCATAGTTCCAAATATTAAGACAATCCAGTGTTTAGTTCTTGAGATATCGCAGCAACACCATTTTCCAACTCGAAAAGCAGATTTGCCTGCTGTGACCTTGAAAATGGGGTCAAGGTCACCAAAACCGACTGGTGTCTGCGGAGTCTGTATATACACCCTAGTTCCAAATATGAAGCAATCCAGCGATTAGTTCTTGAGATATCGCGGCAACACCGTTTTCCAACTCCAAAAGCAGATTTGCCTGCTGTGACCTTGAAAATGGGGTCAAGGTCACCAAAACCGACTGGTGTCTGCGGAGTCTGTATATACACCATAGTTCCAAATATGAAGACAATCCAGTGTTTAGTTCTTGAGATATCGTGGTAACCAACAGGTGAATCGTACGGACAGACGTACGGACGGTCGTGAATACTATATCCCCCCGCTTCGCGCTTTCGCGCGGCGGGGGACAATAACCTGAACAGCAACCTTGACCTTTGGCACATCCATGACATGACAGGTAGAGTTGGTTATTTAGAGTTAGGTTTCTCTAATGTGACCTTCACCTCACACAGAGGTTGCCTAATGGTTAATGTGATGGAGATCCCACCTTAGAAATCACGTATATTGAGCTTTGTCAATTTTGATGCCAGGATGTTCAGCATTTTTTATGCATGACCTTCAATGTCATCCACTAATATATTAGAAAACTTCACCAAGATATATGTAGGAGATATATATACTGGGTATGACGCCTCTGACATTGGAGAAACTTGAGAAAAACTTTAGCAGAGGAGTTAAAATTGGACATTAAGAAGCCCCTTGAGGGCACAAAATCTAACCTTGTTATGGTCACCAGATTTAAATCAGGTGTGTTTCTGTGAGAAAATGTTTATCAAATCATCTCCAAGACAATACACACAATTTCATGAACCTGGTAGTTTCAGTGATACCTAAAAACAGTACCAAGAAAGAGTGTAAGAGGTCATAGCAGGAATGAAACTAAGGCAGCTTGTAGCATACCACGGCATATCAAATTTCAGGAAACATACAGCTATGAACAATATTCACTCACGATTACCAAATAATTTCATTTTTATCAAATCAAATCAATATAAAGGCATTAACACAAAGTAATCGTTTAAGATATGCTATATTTCTTAATATTCAGTCAACTCACCAAGAAACATTCACACTGTTGTTATATCACAGACATCAATCGCTAGGGAACTTAGTAATTATAGTTTTTATGCCAAAGATTTCCAATCATAGTAATTATTGTGCTCAAAAAGTTGAACCTTTATTTTCCTGATCAGTGACTTTCAAAATGCCTGCCAGAAAGTTCACCTGATGCATCCTTCTATGGAAGTGTCAGATCTTGATGCAGACAGGTATATCAAGATGAAAAATGCAACTGTAACAAGATTAACATGCCTAAAGACAAATATCAAGCATGTGCGACTATAAACAAAAATTAAATATTCAGCATTTTCAGATACCAAATTTCTCCTAGATTCAATAGCAGATTTTGAAAATTTCAAAATAAAAGCCTTATCTTATTGTAGACAAATGATCTCAAACACTGAAGCATATATGTTTTTTGGGACAGTTCGCTCTGAAGCCAACACCAGAATGTGCTACTATGGTGTAGTTTGCCTGAGTTATTAAATGCTGTTAATGCTGCAGTCGACAATATTCCAGCTGTATTACAGTGGCATGAAACTAATTTATTCTGAACCAAATGGCTGACAGCATGAGCAACAATCCACACCATTCAGTTCCAGATCTTTCAGCATTACTGCTGCTTCTTTGTGGAATGCACTATTTCTCACACTGAAAACATCTCCCAACGCTGCACTTAAAACACATATCTTCCAGCACTATCCCATTGATTCTGCAGTCCTACTTGTCCTAGCACTTAAAGAGCGGCCCGCTATCCCTAGTCCTGCAATTTGAGCATTCCCATGTGATGTGGAAACATAGTGCAATATAAATGGCTTATTATTACCATTTGGACACAATGGCACAATTAGCCAAGTCACACCATCCTGATCAGCTTTAACTGATGGGTGATTGACAAGGATAATGACAAACCCACATTAAATATGTGGAGGTTAAAAAAAACAAACAAGGTCCTTCTTCTTTACTATATACAGAAGTTTATTTGTGAAGTGTACATTATACATGGTTTCCATCAGTTTGTACACGGCTGAACCTTGCAACATCCATGAACAGGACCGACATATATGAGCAAACCGTAACTTTGAATATTATCTATGATAGTGTCCATGGTCAGCTGAGTCAGACTAACTACGTATCAACTCAGATCTTCAATGGTCTGAAAGTCATCAAGTGAGTCTTTAAAACGGACCTGTGCCAATAATATCATTACTTGATGAAATGGTAATGTATGGTGCAGATCAACCTGAAAAAGATACAGACATACCGTGCCTAAATAAAAATTACATTTATTAGAATTATTTTCTAAAAGATAAATGTTTCAAGATAATTTTCATGAAATTCTGTTTCCTGCACTTGTCCATATGAAACATTGAATGTATGACACAGACTTTGACTCGATGGATGAAAATCTGCGAACTATTACAACTTTGCTATTCGTTCACTTGAAGGAATACTCTTGGCATTCAGTCAGTGTAGGTGCTAATCTGGAAATGTTGGACAGTCTGACTGTGATGTTTTCCATTCAACTGATGCATTGTATCGCAGACAAGACAATCACTACATTTACATGTTTTCTCTGAAATGATGAGCAGGAGAATAATTGCATCAAAAACCTGGCAGGTTCTGAAATTTGACCTTAAACACAGACTTGTAGATTAAATATGAAATTTCATAAATCAGCTTCATCACCTCTGCATGGCATCTTGATATTCACTAAACAACACAGTTCCAGAAGGATACCATTCAAAGTAACCTCACTACTGTATAATTAAATATCTGAAATTAACCATATGCCTTTGGATGATGTAAACCAATACTAGTAATATTTCAAAGATAAATATATATTTTAAATACTGTGTACATTTAAGCTGAAACACACTTGCAACAAAAGCATGTCTTAAGGACTATGTTTTGGAAGAGAAAGATGAATCATTTGGTTGTGTATCCTGGACACCATTTGGCAGTATATAAACTACAATGATAATGAAAGGTAATGACTAAATATGTTTCTTCTTTCCAAGGGAAAGTAATAATGTGATTTGACTGTTGAAACAAAATTTCTCATCACATCAGGAATACACAACTTCATTTCAAACTATCATTTCATTTGACTGAAATCTGTAGTTTTTTTCAATTTGGATGAATTTCAACAAATTGGAAACTGAAGTTGAACTGGCAGAATGCTTGCAGTTCGAACTTCTGTTCTGAAAGAACATTGTACCAATGTCAAATTATCTTCTAGTGGAACCTGCAGCACATGACCACAATGAACGTACATATACAATGCCTTATGTCATCTTTCTTGTCTCTGTTTATGAAAGACCATGTGTGTATTCTTCATGGGCTTGGTATAAAACACTTCATCGATGTCTATGTACAGAATATGAATATACATGTTAATCTTTGATACACGATCACAACAGGACCTTTACAACAAAATTACAATGTGCAATTCTCACTTTGCTAGATATATTACAGTCAACAGCCAATTTCAGCTCTCATATACACAACTCCCACTTCAGACCAGGGGGCAATCACACAGACAGTTGACTGTAATGTATAAGGAAATATATGCCTATGTTAGTAACACTAATGGCATGGCAATACACAATGGAGGAATCCTATCTCCTTTCAGACACATACAGGAACACATTTAAATGGAGTAATTCACTTGAAATAACTTGTACGTTGTTCATAACAGGAATTTATAATTTGGTATTTTCAATTTTAGACAGGCCATTGTATACTATTTAGGCATCATGTCATGTTAACTGGTAGTACCAGAAACACTTCTGAAGGAACCAATGCCTGGTTTAAAATGGTCCATACAATATCCTTTTGAAGTCTTTGATATATTATATACAAATATATCATTGTATCATTAATGGGCATATGGAAACCAAGCTCAGCTTATTGCACAGACTAGTCCTCACAGTGAAGATGGACAGTAAGAGAAGACAGGTGGTGAAGCTGAAAGCAAGAAAGCACAACCACATTTCCATGTATGCTAGATCATAGCTGGACACTGAAAATGTACACTTCTACAATTGTCAACGACCTGTCTGTGCAGAAAGCAGCAGCTTCCTTGCTTGGTTTTAATGATACCTCCGAACTGCACCCTGGTCTGACAAGAAATAAGCAGAAGAGAAAATTGCTTTTTAAGGAAAATCATACAGCAAATTTAGCATCTTACAACCTGTAAAATAGACTTATTGAAAAGGAGCCTCTACAAATTCATCACTCGTGCTTCAGTAACAAAAGAAGTGTAACATGGAGAGTAGTTTCATATTGATTTCTGTACACTGTCCAATACTATCTCGTAATTACCATGCAAAATCAATAACATTAATCTTAGAAGATAAGAACAAAACACCCATCCCACCCCCAATTGTCCCTTCTGTTATTTCAAAATTATCAGGAGACATTTATCATGAAAATTTACAAATTCAGCAATAAATACGCATCCATACTGAAGAGTGAGTAACAGCCGCACGCCGCCATTTCAAAAATTGTTTTCCTTGTAAAGTAATCCGTTCAATGTTTGTTCATCTGTGGGGCTCCTCACCCTCAAAAAGTTTCACTGCTGAACATGTTTGTCAAGTTCAGAAACAATGGGCTGGCACACAGCTCACATGATGTAACAAAGTTTCTGATTGGACCAAAGTCTGATCACATGACAGCCTTGCTGTCCACTAATGGTTGTATTACTTGCAGCAGCCCCCCTCTGACTGCTGGTTCTGTTCATTGTTCAACCTCACTCCCTGATTCCTCTGTTGCACAGCGCCACCACCTTCATTCTTCGGCAATTTCTTTGCTGCAATAAAAATATTAAAGAATGAGTGAATAGTTCCTATTCCTGTCCGCAAGGTGTATTGTGATTCTAGCTGTTTCTAATCATGTGACAGAAGACATGCTATCCTAACACAAGAGGCAACACAACGGCCTCAATTCTGTAGCAGATGAGGGGAGACACCGTTAGACATCACAACCAATCTAAACACCACTTGACTGTCAGTAACCTGCTGCCAATTGGGGTTGTAGACTTTGTATATTTATGGAGATGTCACTATTGTATGCTCAACAAAGTCCTTTGTCACTTGATCATAGAATGGACCAGAAAATCCAGTATTTGGATTACAACCAGAGTACCAGATGTACAGAAGCTCACCTTTATTCAATGATAAACTTGAAAGTGTATATGCTCAAAATCATGTTTCCCCCTCCTTTTTTTTATACATTAGTTCAAGTATTTACTAGAAATGATTCTGTAAATCAAAAAAACAATAACAGCAAATTATAGCATGGAAGGATAATGGCTTCATGCAGAAATAATCATTAGCTATAGACTTTTGGCAGGAAACAAATGCTACATGTTTGAAAATTGTCTGAATGGAAACCACAAAGAAAGTAAACATTAAAAATTGAGCACTTGTTCAGCATGTGGTCATTGCACATGTAGAGTTTTAATGCAAAAAAATTCATTAGTTTGAGAGTTATGGCTTGGAAACGAAACCTGAGTTGTTCGAGACTCAGTCCAAATTGTTTCCATAGAAACATTATAATATAAATTTTAAAAAAATAGAAAAAGACAGCAGTTAAGCTAATAAGCAAAGCATATGACAAGTTTCACTGAAAAATGTTGAAAGGTTTTCAAGTTATGTCACGAAAACAAACCCCACCCTTAAGTAGAAAATGTTTTCATGGAACATAAAAAAAATATAGTTAAGAAACATATTCAAAATAGCAAAAGGCACCAGCTGATAAGCAATGCACATGACAAGTTTCAATGAAAAACACTGAACAGGTTTCAAGTAATGGCTCAGAATAGAATGGGAACGTCGACACCAACATGAACCAAGACAAAAACAATGTCTCCCATCCCTTTAGAGGGGAGATATAAAAAACTGAGCTGCAAGGGTGTGCTGAACCTACTTATTTGTCTCACCACCATACTGGGATAGGATACACTAAGTTATCATGGATAGTTCATTCTGAACATTTTTCATACATACCTCTTTGGATATTTTGTGATATATTGGGACAAAAGACAGATGTGACTGTAAATATGTAACTAATAAACTTGATAATCCCAGTTGTATAATTACATGGTTTGAGATCGGTTCATTTTCTTGGACACAAGTGATTATCATAAAAAATGTCCAGAAGATATTTTTCAATTTAGGTAAAGGTATAGTAGAATGTCCTATCAATATTTGCTTCAATGATGAAAATATCCCAATGACATTTGTCTCACTGTCTAATCTATTACAAAATCTCAAATCATGGGTCATAAACTGCTTAACTGCTATTTCACAAGAACTGACCTTGACCTTCAAAGTCACTCATATGCCAAAGAGAACATCTTAACATACCCTATGTCAGACAGCTGCCATGGTGGCCATTTGGACTTTTCAAAAAAGAAGCCTTACTTCAAAGTTAAGACCATTTTCCAAACAATGAAGGTAATATGTCCAATAGAAGAGGATTGTGAAAGGATTGAAGTTTTCACTTAAAAGTGCTACAGCGGAGGCCTTTGTGATGTAAGGGTCACATTTGTTGTAGCCAGGAACATTTAGAACAAATTGTGTTGTCAATAGGATATAGTTATGTTCAATAGTTTAAAAAGAGATATTAACGATGGAAGCTAACAAGCAAGCCATGACATAAGCCCACCTTGTTGTAAAGGGAGCCAAACATTGTTAGATCTTTGTTGCCCCTTACTCCCATGGGGAAGAAGTGTTTGTACCCATGACAACAGCACGAGGTATGTATTGATATTCATGTTGCATGAACATGATGAAATATGTAGTCAAATCAATCAAATACATATGTCAAGTGAAAGTTGATTCACAGAATTTTGTTGATGATCTACAGAAAATTGAGTAACAGATATCTTCATTGACTATCATTGTGATGCAATACATCTCTCATGTAATAAGAAAAGGGCAGCGTTTGAAATTGTCACTAGTCCTGTAGTCCTTGTCAAACTGCCCAATAGTTAAGGTATCATAAGGACTAGTAGAAATTTGCCATTTTTAAGGGTTTTGCTATTTATGTTATCATTACAAGGAATAGTGGACTAAAAATGTTAGTTTCTACCGCTGAAAGGGTATAATAAAAAATGTGACATTTTCATTTTATTGCCAGCAGATCTGACAAACTGACCTCAACAATTCCCAAATCTTGCACTCCAGAATAAAAACAGCAGAGTCTCTATCCTTCAAGAATTCAAAAACACTACACAAATTCATGAAAAAAACATTCACTTTGTACTCACTAATATCACCATGTATTTTTTCCAAGATTATTATACAAAAGCGTCAACTGTTTCTAAAAACTTTAGCTGTAAATACATCATTCAACTCACCTATTGCCAAGAAAATGTCATTAACATTCATGGCCGTCTTTGCTGAAGTTTCCATAAATAGTAAACTGTTTTCTTCTGCATATGCTTGAGCTTCCTGTTGAAGAAAGGAATATGTTACCTTTGTCATATTACTTGTTCACAAAGTGATTTCAAAATAATTGAAAAAAGATGATAAAGAGTTGGTTATGAACTTGTTGCATTCTTGCTATTTGACAAATGGGTTGTTCTAAGACAGTTAAGAAAGGGAAAGAGATTTAACTTGCCTCATACTCCACCATTCTCTTGTTGGCCAGATCAGCTTTGTTCCCTGCCAGTGCTATCACAATGTTAGGGCTGGCTTGTCTCTGCAATTCCTTTACCCAAGTCTTTGCTCTGCCAAATGTGTCCTAATAAAGAGCAACCATTTAGTACATGAGGCAAGCACACATTCAATCAATGTTTCTGGGCTAAAAAACAGAAGTAGAAAAAAAGTTTCCCAAAACACTTCAGACAAACAGAAAGGGGAAGTGGCAGCATAATTAATACTGATTAGCATGTAGGAGTTGAAACAATTTTTTATGGATAACGACTTCCTTGTTTGGCAGCAAAATATTGTGTTTGTACCTGCATACCTATCTCATTATTTCAGCACTGCTTGCTAATCACATGTATTACTAGGGTAAATCTCCACATGGAATGAAAACAATGATGGTCGTGGCTAGTCAAGGGAGACAACTTGGAATTTGCATTCACCAATATCTCTTGAATATGTTCCAAGAGACCACTAGGTTTTACTCTTTCACACACGGACTATCATAAGATCATATTACAAAACAAAACATTTTATTTGACTCCAGCTTTGGACTGATCACTGCTCTTTATGTTGGCAGCAAAATACAGCCTGTGAACCCGAAGCTAGCCTGGGGCTCACAAGTGTCTTGTGGAATGTCACTTTTCCTGCTAGATCAGGGTTTTACACAATGCACAAATGTGCACCCAGTACGTAAAAATGTTGACAATGGATGCAGATATTTTTTTTACTGCTTCCCGAAGGATGCACACCAATATTAATTGTGCCTACAGCACATCAAGTGTGGTTATGGGTGTCTGTCATTTAATCTATCAATAATTACCACTCTCCACATGATTATTGATTCAGACTCCAAAGTAATTATCAAAACGTAAAGTACACTCCATTTCATAACTTTACAGGACCTCACATTGGCTGCAAGGACCTTTAATAATAATTATTTGGGGTCTCCTAGATCCCCATGTTTGTTAGTCAGGGTAAAGCCCTGTTTATCAGTAGAGGATGTAACGTGTATGCGAGACGGGTCTCACGATTTGCATTTAAGTGACCACCTAAGAGGGGGTCACTCGTATGTGTGACGGTCTGTCATTGGACCATGGATTTCTGCATGTTGCACAAAAATGTCTCTACAAGTGTTATTTGTGAAAATAATAAAACAAAATTACGTATTTCATGCACATCAGTTTGCCATCGCATTGAAACATGTTTACTTTCTTCGAAACTCAGCGAACCGTCTCGCATACAAGTGACTGGTCGACAAGCTGATAAAGGGAGGTAACCGATGCCTGACTAAAATGTTCAATCGGAACATCCATCTTGTTACACTAAATGTGTCTGAATCAGAATGGTGCATATAATAGGTCACGGGTGACAGCACAGCCACAGTGATTGAATTAATTAGTATCAAGCGCTTCACTAAGTACTGCGGACCGAACCCGTCTCGCCTATACGTTACGTCTGCGACTGTTTATAATTCAATCACACAGCTATATTTTAAACCCTTTGACAAGAATTTCTGGATTGAAATTCATGAGTTATTCCATGCATTAACTGGTGAATCTTCATCACAAAATCCAATACATAGCTTACACTGACTAAGCACAACAATGAAGTATGGCATAAAAATAAATGTTTTTATCTACTAGTCTACATTACTGTGAATTGCTGAATTCTAGTAGTCGACAACCATGAAACTGATTTAACTGAAAATACTTGATAATCACTGAGCAACTTACTTGATTAGTGATATCATATACAACTATGGCAGCTTGGGCTCCTCTGTAGTACATAGGTGCTAGACTGTGATATCGCTCTTGACCAGCAGTATCCCAGATCTCAAATTTCACTGTAGTATCATCTAAGCATACTGTCTGGGTCAGAAAAGCAGCTGCAAAAGATAGGTACTGGTGTATATTTGAACAATCACTGAGTAATCCTTGTCATATACTTTTGCCACTGGGGCAGAGAAGCACAAAACATGACAATTTCATGCTTAATCTGGGGAAAAACTGCACTTTGAAATTTATCACATTGAGCCTGATGAACAAAGTGCTTGAGAAATGCCAACCTGCACTGCTGTAAACGTGTACATACATTTCAGAATTTCAAATGAAACAGTGAGTGAGTATAGTTTTACGCCACTTTTAGCAAAATTCAAGCAATATCACGATGGGGGACTCCAGACATGGGCTTCAAACATTGTACCGGGGTCTTCAGTGAGACAAGCGAACGCCTTAAACACTAGGCTACCCCACCACCCCTTCAACTCAAACAGTGATTCATGGGAAATATTTTGAAATGAATAGAAACAAGGAAATCTGTCTACATACCTCCTATAGTACTTTCTTGATATTCATGGAACTGTCCTTTGACAAATCGAAGGACCAAGCTGGACTTTCCAACAGCTGATTCTCCTAACAGCACCAATTTAAACTGACATATTTTTCCTTGGGTTGCCCCATTAGGCCGCTGTGCCCCGCCTCGCCCTGCCATTGTTGGACACGATGGTAGCTCACTCAGCCTACTTCAGAGATTCAAGTAACTGCAAAAGAAAACAATGTACATGAGCAAACCAAACACACTGTTGTTGTATGCAAACTGCACTAAACTGCCAACACTGCCAATGTCACAATCACATGCACATGCTATAGGATTTGTTTGTTTGTTGTTTAACGCCGCACTCTGCAATATTCCAGCTATATGACGGCGGTCTGTAAATAATTGAGTCTGGACCAGACAATCCAGTGATTGATATCATGAGCATCAATCCACGCAATTGGGATCGATGACATGCATCATCCAAGTCAGCGAGTCTGACAACCCAATCCTGTTAGTCGCCTCTTACGACAAGCTTAGTCGCCTTAATGGCAAGCATGGGTTGCTAAAGACCTATTCCTCCCCGGATCTTCACGGGTCCAACAAAGTGTGTGAGTGAGTGAGTTGGGTTTAACGCCGCTTTAAACAGTATTCAAGTTATGTCACGGCGTGTCAGCTTAATGTGGAAGGGCCGGAGTGATGCAGGTTTCAGACATTTACCCCTTCGGTGAAACCCACAACACGGGTATGGTGCTGACAAACCGAGAAATATAATCGAGGCGAACCGGGATTGGAACCCACAATCATATAGGTTTCTGGCATGCCCAAGGGATGCAACTCTGTACAGTGAATACAGACACCTTAGATGACTGGGCCACCCGTGCCCCCACCTAAAAAGTGAATAGGTCACTTTATGTTATGGATAACAACCGACTAACAGGTACATAAGTACAGGGAAACAAGAAATTGAGGAGGGACCCAATTTCCCGGGCCTACATTCTCAGATGGTTTCATAATACAATATATAGACAAGTTATTCCAGGAAAACATCAAAACCTACATCCGATAGTCCAGAACTTAATATTAATTCCAATATGTAACGTAACATTCTTCCACATGGTCAGTTAAAACCCAGGACTAATACTGTGTTAAGAAAAAAAAATCTACTGGACAACACTGCAAACTCCTGTTGCAACAAACTGACTGGCACATAAGCGCAGAATAATAGCAGGCTCTCTAACACCTCTGTTGGTCACAAAATGTCATCAGTTTGTTTAACACCACACTCAGCAATATTCCAGCTATGTGGCGGTGGTCTGTAAATAATCAAGTCTGGAACAAACAATCCAGTGATTGCCATCATGAGCATTGATCTACGCAATTGGGATACAATGACCTGCATCAACCAAGTCAGCGAACCTGACAACCCGATCCCAGTAGTCGCCTCTTGCAACAAGCAAAGTCACCTTTGACAGCAAGCATGGGTTGTTGAAGACTTATTCTAACCTGGATCTTAACAGGCAGAAATGAAATTGGGATATTTTCGTTTTATCAACTCTTCATTGGGCATTCTCCTATATCTCTACTAAAATTGAAAAATATTTACAGGACTGTCTGCATGGCGATCAAAGTCCAAGCAAATGAACCGATATAAGACCATGATAGTCCTTCCTGAATATATTCCTGCTCTCTGGCTAGCCGACTCATGTGGATACCTGCTAATTATCTTCAACCTTTCTACTCATGGTACATGTAGTTTCTTTGACATTTTATAATAAGTTAAGTTGGTACGCCACAAGGAAATGTTGCTAGTCCTTCCTGAATCTTACTCTGGCTAGCTGACTATGTTAACTTTTAACCCTCACTTCAATCAACCTCAAAAGGACTGCCAAAAGGGAGTGGAAAGGTCAAATTTGGTGTTTGTCCACATGTTATCATTATTTGAACTGTGCTGAAACCAGATGAATCAAGCTATCCCTCAGATGAAGCAAAAACCACAGTGTATGCAATGATGAGGCTTTCATTACACAAACATTAATCCAGAGCATCATTTGACACATACTTAACAGAGAGAAGGAATGAAGCATGTGCTTGCTGATGGTGCTAAAATGACAGGTTGGGACTGGGAGTGATTTACTCAATCCAATCCAGAAACAAAATCTTTGTGATGAAAACATTAAATAAACTTGAAATAGTATCACTATCTACCACGGCCCTTCCTTTGCCTATAATTAGCTTCATTGGCCCTTATAGTTGAATTCATACTCCCATTCACTGACTGAACCCACTATTTCACTGCAAAGTGTACATCATAGTATATGCCAACATATATCATGTTGCTTATTTAAGGCATAACATTGTAAAACATGCATCTTTACCATGTTTACACTTTTGTTTGTAGAATGCAATATGGTCTCAAGGAAATGTTTCCAACATTATCAAACACCAGATCTATTTAAACAAGGTTTATACAGATATGGAACACTAAAATTCAACACTTTTTCAAGGCTTTCAAAAGTCTTTTTTAAGGCCTTAGTTGGGTTATTAGTGTTAGTATGTCAATATTGGTTTTAAATCCAGCATACTATATATTAGTATATACAAGTATATGTCATTTTGTAGAAATCCATGTCTTTCAAGCTCTTTTGGTGATTTTCAAGGGTTTTCAAGGATGACACTAAAACTCAAGGTTTTTCAAGAGGGACCTTAAAATTCAAGGCCTTTTCAAACCTGTAAGAGCAATCATTATGAAAGGACTTCCATGAAGGTCCTGGTCTAAATTCACTGTTCAATTCATGATATCACTCGTGGCTGGATGTAGCATTCAAATACAATTTGTGATAAAACAGAAGATCAGAAACATATTCCAATTGTGATTCCTAACACCATAGAGGATGCTGGTTAAATTGTCATACTGTTTGACATAAATTCCTCACATAATAAACAGAACTTTACCCTAACCCCTTGTACAATATTTACATGATGTGCACTCATGTACAGCAGGGAACATGACTTGTTTTTTCTCTGAAATGACGCGAATGATGATAACATATAGGCAAATATGCCTGTACATTGCTGGAGGATACCTGGTGCAACATGGACATGCACTGAATATTTTCCTGGTGACCTGGAGTTTCCACCAACTGACAAAGGATGGGTATTGGGAAGTCTTGAGACGTATCACAATATGTGTCAAAAAAAGATGTCAGGTCTCTAAAACGATTAAGCTTTATTTCTTTGCCACCTTGATTTGGAATTTGGCCAGACACAACCTCCCATTGAGGTGTCCTCAGATCTTGATGCAGAGGGATGTTGTACTGGAGTAAAGAAGTCTGATTTAAATGAGATTACACAATATAACATGATACACAAGGCTGTACTGCAATACCTATGATGACATATTGTATAATTTTTAATTCAGAAGCAACAATCATGGGAATTTCTCAACTGAAGATGACGTTTAAAAATAAACAATATGCTGACACATGATATTTACCCAAATTCATTGCCAGGCTCCACAACTTATCTGGAACATACTGCCATGTTTTCTGGCATTGTTCAATTGGCTTAAAATTTTCATTCTACTATAAGCAACTTTCCAAGTGGAAAGGGTAACAGTTGCCATGTTGAATAACTATCTTTGTGAACAAAATAAAATATATGAAACACATGCCCTGGGACAAGCATACAATTCAGATTGATAAATCTAAATGTGCTTGAGTTTGTCCAATCACATGTCATTTGCCTGATATGATCAAACATAGCTCTGATAAAACAAAGGGTAACATCTGAATAAGTCACAAATATACCAAGTCATGAAAATGATGCCATTAAATATGCCATTGCCAATTTCAAATGATGTCTTATTTTACAGAATACCACATTCGTATCCTTCGGTATAACTTCACAGGCTGGTGACACCTTTTTTCGTAAAATTGTTCTACCATCACTGTCAAGTGGCGTTTATCTAACAATTCACTTAGTTCATGATCTCTGTGAAGATCTGCGACTGGGATTGGGTGGTCAGACATGCTGACTTTGTAGATGCATGTCATCGTATCCCAAATGCATGGACCGATGCTCATGATGTCAAACACTGGATTGTCTGGTCCAGTCTTTATCATTTACAGACCACCATCACATAGCTGGAATATTGTTGAGCATGCTGTTAAACAACAAAGTTAGCAAATGCCCCGACAGAAACAAAGGAGCAATGGTTTAACCTGAACTTATATTGCCTTATCAGTAGACACTCTCTCACAGCTTTGTGCCCAATGTAACAGGTAGCCTTCAGGCAAGAATTACTTTGTTGTTGTAGTTTACCTTTCTGTCTGTCACTATTTGGTTGTCATATGAGTAGCTGGCATAAATATACAAAATTGATTAATGGTGTAAGCTCAAGGTAAACGTTCTGATAAAAGATACTTTACTGTCGGTCTTATCCCATACATGTAATTTTCACAATTAAAACCATGCCTATGTTATTACAACACTACACTACAACTCAAAGAAAAAATGGAAGTCATGGGACCCCGGAGAATACCATATAATTTTAATTATGGCTCTGATCGAAACTCGGGTACTCGCCCTCGAGACATGGACGGATGAGCAGTCCCTTTTCCCCCAAACTGTCGGATCCCTAATCTTAGTCTGCACATATAAGAACCCATAGAATCTGTAATGTTTAGCAGTTGGACCCTTCACTTTCATACCTAATTTCAATAAATTCAACAAAACTGATTTGATAAAGCAGTTATGGTCATCTTTTAACACCAGCAAATATTACAAACAAAATGAGTTACCGTTAATGACCCTGTGTACTGTCCACAGAGAACAGTATGTCTTTGTCAAGTTGATAAATGTAATCAAAATCAAGTGTCATTTGGCGTCAAGAGGTTTGAGTGAATCAGACCAAACAATGAAGGTTCAAAAGTTGACGTATAGGAAACGATGGGACAATACGACACGAGTAATCTACATAGTAGGTTGACAGTATAGTAGTTTGATACCCATGATGAGTCATGAAATTGACATGATTTATTCAGAACTATTCAAAACATTTTCCCGAATATGTACTTTTCAAATACAAAGTTGAGACAAGCAGCTTCAGTTATGAAACATCAAACGTAAATTAAACATACCTTGGAAACTATGAATTGTAACGCGTCATGTTTGTGACATTTTTTTCCCATTTGTTCGACGTTTTAAATTCAGAGGTAATTTCTCATGTCCAGGGCACAACAAATCAGAACAAAACTATTCATTGACTAGGTAAATACGTTGAGGTTGTGCTTTGACCAACAGGGGCAACATATGGACCAAACAACACAAATGACATAATAAATTTGACACTCTATTCGATGTAAACATATCATGATCGAGTCGCCATCTTGAATCGGAAAAGCGAGACGGGCAGTCTCTTTACACGTCCAGAAGAAATTAAACAATCAACGATCAACTGATTATCTACTTACCAGTAATATATAATTAGATCAGAAATGACCACGAAGCGTTGTCGAAATAATAGCGATAGAGGATGATGGTGCACAAAGTAATATCGCTTTTATCTTCGCCGTTTACACCCTCCTTCCTTGAGCAGGGCTAATTTATGCGGATAGAGGATGTGTCTCCGCACAAAAATATAATTCTCATTCTTCTGTGAATATGAACAACAATCACACATCAATGCATGCTACTAATATAATAATTACTTTGCTTATGTCAAGTTCTATGCAGAAGTGTATGTAGTAATATAACTCACCAAAGTTTCACACAATCATCCGACGCGGATTGATATCAGCTGCCAGACGCACCTTGTGTTGTAAATGTACGCCCCATAGGAATGACGTCACCCGTCATAAATACAATATATTTCAGAGTCGGAGCATCTTCGATCTTTAAAATGTCAGACGTCACATTGCTTCCTATGTATCGTGAAGTTAGAATGTTGTTATAAATTATTACAGAACAATTCGTTTATTATTTTTACAATGCGAAACAGAAAAGTCCTTGACCGTGTAGGCCTAATATAATCCCAGTATCACTCGTGTGTGTACAATGTATATAAGTTATATATGTCACAGGACTTTCAACTATGGGCACTGTAAGGAGCTAGCTTATCGATTTTTGTGTATCAAGATTGTTGCGGTTCGTATCTTAATAGTAAGATTTCTAAATTAACTCAGATAAATAACAATGCCAGATCCATTTATCCCACATTATTTAAACGGAAATTAGCAACAAAATAGTTCAAAAGTGACTACTAATAGATATTGATGGTTGAGTTATAAAACAGTTTCATTGTGACGAGCCTTCATTTACACGTGTTTTTAATATGACTCAAATTGTACTTAAGCGAAGACTTGAAAAAAAATCATGCACAGTGTATATCATGCTATAGCCATATCCTGCACATACATAAGCGGACCCATGCATAAATGATCATATCCCTGTTCGAGAGCTGTATGTTGAAATATATGTGGTATATTACACAAGGGATATTTCGCGGACGTCGCGACGTAATACAATACGGATAGCATTATTAAATGGTAATATTTCCTCAATATGCGGCTAACAAAAAGTATATGGCCTGTTATGTATATGTAGTGTGATATCACTTTCAGAGAATGTGTGCATGAGAAGTGTTACTGACACCTTATTAGCCTGTATTAGTTTTCGGGGGGTCACGGGCGGTCAGCTGGTCTATTTATATAGCGCTACATTCGCAGTACAGGTTGCGCCCCTTGCCCTTTTCTGGATCTGCTGCTCGTAGGTACTCGTACACATGGAATGTCGGTTATCAATATTTAATTCCCTATAATACTATCTGCCGGGGTACAATAGGTCTTCAGCAACCCATGCATGTTTGCCGTAAAAGGCGACTGTATGCTTATCGTAAGAGGCGACTAACGGGAAAGGATGTCAGGCTCGCTGACTTGGTTGATGCATTTCATCGTATCCCTACTGCGTAATTCGATGCTAATGATGTCAGTCCCTGGATTGTCTGGTCCAGACTCGATTATTTACAGACCGCCGTCATATAGCTGGAATATTGCTGAGTTCGGCGTTAAACAACAAACAAACACTATCTTTAAGGATGTTTGCCCAAAGTGGACAAGTGGATCGACATACCGATATAACGTACGTATCGCTTGTCCGGGGACATACGGTTCCGTTGAGCTAGAAGTGAGATCGTACAGAGTGACAGCTTACAGGAAATAGTTTGCAAGATATCACAAGGAAATCTTGAACATACACAACTCTAAAGAAATAAAGGATCACCCGATTCTTTCATATTACTAAACTTGCATGGCGTGACACATAAGAGTAACGCGAAAGCTTCGGATTTGCTTAATTTCTTTTGAATTGTATATAACAAGGAAGTATATATAGAGTATCTTTTCAAAGTCATATTGTAATATCATTCGTCTGAGTTTCAAGGATGAAATAGGCATTAAAGATTTTCTATTCCAACATGTTTAAAGATTTGTTTCGCCTGTTTAAATTTTAGATTCTCAGAAGATGAGGTTAACTTTCTCTATGTTAAATAAAATCAGTACAAATATTTCATCAACTGGCATAATATCCAACGGAACTTTTATACTTGTCCTTTTGATATTTAACAAGCTTTCGGTATCTATCGCACGCTGCAGAAATAATATCGTAAACAATGTGGGTTAAATTGTTGTCAAAATTTCAACCCCGTTCAGATGATCGTAACATACGAGTACTTGCAACAATGACGAGGGTTATGCAGCGTACGCTCCATGAGAGCAAAATCGATTTCTCAAAAGCTTTTGATAATGTCTGGAGTTTAGGCCTTTGGCAAACATTACTGAAGTATAATGTAAAATTCTTTAATATAGTTACTATAATGTGTATGATAAATAGAGAATCTCACCCGAGTGTCTTTTTTGTTGATATATTTGATATCAAAAGACACGAGGGTGAGATTTTATTTATCATCCAACATCATTCTTCCAATCTTTTCAGTTTGTAGAGAGATATAAGCATTGTCTAAGCGTAAAACGTACTGCTAACAGCTTCAGTAGCAGAGCGATTAGTGATGTCATTTGATTGTGACGTCATGGTAACAATGACGTCACAATGGTCTGCATGTGATGCAATTTCATTGCAGCGATATCTACAATGTAGATATCGCTAGATCTGACCCAGTGTGTGAGCCAGTTTTGGATGATAATATCAATTCATATGTTATGCATAACAATTTTGTACCTGAATTCATATTCAGTTGGGTGCACGGGTGGCCCAGTCGTCTATGGCGCCGCGATTCGCTGTGCAGAGTTGCGTCCCTTGGGCATGCCAGAAACCTATGATTGTGGGTTCGAATCCCGGTTCGCCCCGATTATGTTTCTAGGTTTGTCAGCACCATACCCGTGCTCGTGGGTTTCACGGAAGTGGTAAACGTCTGATACCTGCATCAATTCGGGCTTTCCTCCCACATTTAGCTGACACGCCGTGATATAACTGGAATACTGTTAAAAGCGGCAGTAAACCCAACTCACTCACTTGCTCATATTCAGTTACTCTGGTGATAAAAGCGGCGTAAAACCATACTCTCTCAGGGTGAAAGTCTATATCCTCTTCTATTTTCAATATTTCTTTATTACATGTACAGATTGTGCTATGCTTACAGTTCATACTTCTTTTAAACGCAGATCATACAGTTTAAATGGGTGATAACCCATGTTGTTGTTCCATAAGAATAAAGAACTGAATTGAATTGCAAGATAACGATGCATCACTACTGTGCTATGCAATGAACCCCGGGTCTATTAAAAACAATTTGAATTCACAAACGTGTATAATATAAAAGGACAATAGCAAACACGGCCTGGGACCCTAGCTTCGATGGTGAATACTCTTTTGTGGCGCGTATGTCAAAGCATACTGAGATGTTTCTCAGAAGGTCCTTTAGGTACTCAACGTATGCTAATCTCAGTATCGTCAGTCTACATTTTTAATGTCAAAACGACCCCAAATCCCCACCTCGCCACAATATCCAAAGGTCCCATTTGGAAACATACATATTTAGATAGTGACTGAGTTGGTTTTAACGCCGCTTTTAACAGTATTCCAGTTATATCACGGCGTGTCAGCTTAATGTGGGAGGAAAGCCCGAAGTGATGCAGGTCTAAGATGTTTACCACTTCGGTGAAACCCACGAGCACGGGTATTGTGCTGACAAACCTAGAAAAATAATCGGGGCGAACCAGGATTCGAACCCACAATCATAGGTTTCTGGCGTGCCCAAGGGACGCAACTCTGCACAGCGAACCGCGGCGCCTCAGACGACTGGGCCACCCGTGCCCCCCATATTTAGATTATTTTCTTGAAAACATGCGTACAAGTGATATTTGTTCTTCGCGCTTCTGTATACCCATTTGATTCGTAGAGAGTGAGTGAGTATGGTTTTACGCCGCTTTTTGCAATATTCAAACAATATCACGGCGGGGGACACCAGAAATGGGCTTCACACATTGTACCCATGTCGGGAATCGAACCCGGGTCTTCGGCGTGACGAACGAACGCTTTAACCACTAGGTTACCCGACCGCCCCGATTCGTACATTTTACATCCTTAAAGTTAAACAACACATTGATAACTTTTACATTTTACTCACTCTAAGCCATTCTTAAATTAAAAAGTGACGCAGCGTACACAGCGAGGTAGTCAGTGCACAGCAAACTAAGCATCTCTCTCCCGCATATGATACGAATTATCACATTACGTCAAGACACACTAATCAGCCCACGTTGGTAATATAACTCCGCTTTATTACAGACCACTGAACTATTTGCTATAGCTAAATCTGAACAAGTATTACTAGATTTCAAGAGTATTTAAATCCGTGTCGTATCTAAAGATTCTTGTATGGGCATGTGTGTCATACTGATTTTACGAGAAGTCTTGCATTTCCCGAGCCAAAGCGTGGGTAATACATGACTTCTTACAAGTATTTTGTAAAATCAGTATGACACATATGCGAGTGTAATGATGTCTGTACATGTATTACCAATTATTTCTTAATCGTTTTGAACACTGATCACGACCGCCGTCTTTAAAAACAACACCATTGTCGAATGACGTCAACAATCTTCAGCTATCCGCCCTTACGTCACAATAAGATTCGAATGACGTCAACAATGCCATCCCGATGACGTCAACAATACACTGGCGCTTGAGAAGGGATAGTTGCTCTTTTACACATACGACTTTTCTGAAATCGGCTATTTCAAACCCCACTGGTAATATATGCACAGCACTTATGATTATTTCGTTTGAAAATACGTGAAAACATGGGACTTGGTAATGCTTTTATTTCAAGACCCGCGTTAACAAGTTGTAAATCTGGCGGTTAATACGTATTTTTCAAAATTTGTCGTATTGACCTCGGATAATGCTTTATAGCATGAATAAATGTGGGAAGTACTGTTTCTTCGTGGTGGGTAATGCTGATATTTTGAAACTAATATATTCCTGAGACGTCTGTTTATGAATTATGTGTACAACATATCCTAACAACGGTGAAACGTACACAAGGATGTTAAATAAAACTGCATCCAAGGGTCACAAATTGAAAATGGCATTTCTGTTTGCGTATTGGGATATTTGGCATGCAATTTCTATATGTGGGTGGTTATATTATTATTTTTGCCATTGACATTCACGTATTCCTATAATATAGTTTTATCACATAGTGATTGCGTGTATCGATGCTCATGATGTCAATCGCTGGATTGTCTGGCCCAGACTTATAGACCGCCGTCATATAGCTGGAATATTGGTGAGTGCGGCGTTAAGCAACAAACAAACAAATATTTACAGACCGTCGTCATATAGCTGAATGCGGCGTTAAACAAAAAACAATCAATGCGTGAAGCCCATGTCTGATGTTCCCCGCCGTGATATTGCTGGAATATTGCTCAAGGTGGCGCAAAACCATACTCACTCACTCACTCATTTACTTATATTATCCAGTCTGCAACCAACGGGATCCAAGATGAAACGAATGAACTGACATTTGATCATCCTCGAGTATCAAGTATAGCTCATCTCCATTCTGTTATCATAAATAGCATGGACACAGTCGCCACCAAAGCATTCGTCACCACTCCCATAGCTCCTATCTGCAGCTGAGCACAGAATATCCCTTGCTCAGAGTAACTTGAGTTTACGGCCATTTTAGCGTTGTGACGCAGGTAAGAGTAATTTTAGTGGACGGCCATTTTAGCGTTGTGACGCAGGTAAGAGTAATTTTAGTGGACGGCCATTTTGGCATCCAGACGCAGCTCAGAGTAACTTGAGTAGATTGCAATATGTAGCATGACGAAGGGTTCGGGCTCCAGACGAAACCATAATGGCGAATGGCTCAAGGCTATTTATCATAATGGAGGGTGACACTCGACATGCACAAACTACATAGCTCTGTTAGGCCAATTCAGGCGCACATTGACACGTTAAACTAAACAGCTGAATGACTCCACCTCAGAATGGAATCTTCCACTAAAACTAGGGACTCAACATAGGGTCTGTATATCTTTATTTGCTCTACTTACAAAATGGGTGGTACATATCTATATTTACTGTCCTATGTGTATAACCCGTTCACAACAGTAACGTTGTACAAGTATACATTCTCTCCAAAATAAAATATTGCAAATACATGCGGATTGGAGGTGAGGTGAAATGGGGTTTACGTCGCGTTCGAGAGTATTGCACTTATATAGCGACGCGATTGCATGTATGTATGCGTGCGTGCGGTTGCTTGTTCTAGTTTGGACTAATGCTTGTTGTATAGTGCTAGCCCACTAAATAACCAGATACCTCTCCCAAACACAGCAAACTGACTTAATACCAAACGTCAGGCAGGGTAACATCAAGTACCATCTTTTAACGTCTTTTGGTATGACCCGGTCGGGGATCGAACCCTGATCTTCTGCTCTCCGGGCAGACGCTGTGACCTGGCCATGGAGGCGGTTATTCATAAATGCGATATAGCTTGTAACTACATGTTATATTGACGCTGATTATGCTGTATTTGTAGCCATTTTATATGTTTAAATAAAGATTTTTTAATATTGTTTATATTTCCCCAATGCGAGGCTCCTGAGTCATGTTTGATTTGTACTAAGCGCCTGTCTCAAGGACGCTGTACACAACAGTAGAACCAGTTTATGACAAACTTGCGGTTGCGCTTATTTCACAATGTTACCCGTTGAACAGATTAGACTGGGTCCCCTGCCCCAGCTTGCTGACGGTACACATCTGTGTACTGTGCGCAACAGAGGCGTGGGACCAGTATATTGAACAAAATGATGTCAACAGTTATTAATTTTAATATGGCATTTACTTCGAGTAACATCATAATTATTTATAGACTAGTTGTGATGTGTCCCCTTTAAAATGTGTTGCAATAACTCCTGAAAATAAAGAGACTGCTTTAACTACTCTCGCAAAGTCTCGTCTACTTGAGATTACCAACAGGAAACGTCCTTCACCTTGCAACTGTTGCTAGGGTCACCAAAACAATAGGTTGCTTCTTTGCAACTTTTCGTCGACACACTTGTGTCTTATGTCTGATTAGGCCTCTGATCGTGTGTAACTACTTTGCCATTTATTATTATGCGCAAAGGAGAATTCATGTCTGTTAGAGTTCAGCAGTGACTTTATTTAAGCGTTTATTGAAAGCGACTTATTACTGATTTACTAATCACCAGCATGGCCTCCACAACAGCGGAAGCTTCTGTCCGTTTTCCAGAAATACAGACACGAACCATATATGCTGGAAAATACAAAGATTGGACCCCTCAGTATCGTGCGGTGAGTGGTCTTTGCTTTCCTTTGAGTTTTTCTTCTAGTTTGCTGAACCTGTTCCAATACGGATACAGAAATATTCAAATATCTAGGAACTCCGTTGACAAAAGTAGTGTTTCGTTTTGAGTTCCTCAAAAAGAATGCGATTTGAGACATGTTGCATCTCTTCTTAGTGACTTTCTGCTGAAAATGAATTCCAGCAGAAGGATATATTTACTTCAAATAGTGTGGATAGTCACTCCTCACATGATCCAGTACTCTCAGTTCTACCACCTTCTAACCACAATAGGGGCGGTCGGGTAGCCTAGTGGTTAAAGCGTTCGCTCGTCACGCCGAAGACCCGGGCTCGAATCCCGACATGGGTACAATGTGTGAAGCCCATTTCTGGTGTCCCCCGCCGTGATATTGCTGGAATATTGCTAAAGGCGGCGTAAAACCAAACTCACTCCCTCTAACCACAATAAAGAGTAAAGGCTAACCTTACTCCCATAGTTAACACCGACTTTCGTAACTTGCAAAGATTGATTTGTGGAACTTGGGTAGACTGCAGTATTTTGATATTTTGAACTTGATCAACAACTTGAAGAACAGACAGCAGAATCAATTATCTGTACAAGAAGCTCATGTAGGCTATTTTACATTTAAAATAAACTTGAGTTTACAAACAAAAATATGTAGCTAGATCTACCGTATATATATTTCAATCAGATTGTTTGCTGCAAGAATATGGTAATGTCTCTTTTGAAAATATTTGCTGCGCTTGAAAAGCAACTTTAAAAGCAACTTTAAAATTCACTGAGTCATGTTTCAAAAATACAAGGTTGCACCTTCCTCCATTTTTGTGTACGAGCTCCGTTCTGAGTAACAAAAATAAACCACGATTTCTAAGATTTTCATATATCAGTTTTTGACGTCTCGCTTAAATAACAGGGTTCTTAGGGGGCTTGCCCCAAACACAACAGCCTGAATTAAATGCTTTCGTAAGTAAATGTATTTTAAAACAAAATACAACATCTTTGATGAATGTCACTGATGGACTGTGGCACGCCATTATGGAACTTCTATTTTTGAGTACTTTTTTTTATGTTGATGTCCAATTTTCGATGTTTATGGATTGCTTTCATATTCAGATTCGAGGTTTAATCTTAATAAAACATACAAATGCAAGTGGAGTAATTTTTTCTGCTTATTTTTTACCCTATTTTTCAAGTAGTGACGCAGACACGTGTGGCTATATTAGTAGCATCAAACAAACATGTTGCCGATAGGTGTCCAGTGAAATGCATATGTACTCAGAAAAATAAACTTTTATTATTTTACAGGCTGGGAAGCTGACAGCAACAGGAGACACAACAGAGCTATGTCTGAAACCACCAGAGGACAGAGTAAGTTCAGTAGTAGTATTTTACAAGGTCTGAAAAGGCCTGATCCACCACAACACCACTCTTTCTTGTGTGTTTTATCTGCATCATTTTCAGCTTTCCTCGCACGTTATGCTGACATGAAATCAGTGTTTGAAATAATTTTTATACCCAACAGTCAGGCAGGTGACCCATAATTTAAGTGATGCCTGCCCATCTTCAAAGTTACCTGCCCACATTCAGGCATTATAAATATTGAAAAATAACAAAACTAAGAGACAAATCACGTTTTGATTCAGTTGAAATAATGCAAACAATTGCTGGAGAATCTACAAGGAGTTATAATAAAACTGACTACTGGGTACATAAGTAGTCTTAAAATTATTTGCCAGACAGTCTGGCTAGTGGAGTAAAATCTCATGCAGCCTGACAGGAAAGTTACCAGCCACGGACAGGCGGGCAGGCAGTTATTTTGGACATTGCATGAGACGATATACTTGAAATTCTTTTCAAAGTGACATTAAGCCAAACTCACTCACTTTTGTAATGAGGATGTAAAGTTCATGTATACATCAGATGACAAACAACATTGAACTACACAGAGCCCAAATCATCTATAGAATATTCAGAAATCCCACCTTCCATACAGTATTCTGTGTAAACAAAATATTTCTATATAAACATTGATGTTTATTCGGAATTAATATCTGAAGTACGAGAGGCGTTCAATAAGTTTTGCAACTTCAATATAAGACCAAGTCGCAGAATGTCTTTTGCCCTTTTACTTTTCAATATAATCTCCATTCAACTCAATACACTTATTCCATTTGTCCTTCAAGCTTTTAATACCACTTTTATAGAAATCCGCAGATTGGCCCTCTAACCACGCCTCTGTGGCAGCCTTTATGTCCTTGTCATGCTGGAAGCGTCATCCACGTAGGGCAGATTTCATTTGCTGGAACAGGAAATAGTCACTGGGGGCTAAGTCTGGGCTGTACAGTTAAATCACCCACCCTACAGCCCAGACTTAGCCTTATTGACCCCCACTCATAAGATGGGGGTTTACGCCATTGTAGCATTATATGTGGGACACCAAGATTTGGCTTCACACATCATTACTATGTTGGGATAGAACCCAGTCTTTGTCCTTATGCTTTCGCCAATTAGGCCATCCAATCTACCCTCGTCAATCCAGCTTTAGAAAGTAACATATTTAGTCTACTAGTCCTTATAATGATAACATGCAGCAAAATCTTTGAAAATGGCAAATTTCTAGTGGTCTTTATGATATATTGGGCAGTTTAGCAAGGACTACAGGACTAGTGCCAATTTCTAACGCTGGTTTATCTGGAAATGATGTATGAAACCAATATATCTCACAGAGTCGGATCTCTTGAAATAGAAACCCATATTCCAAATTGATATATCATTTTGCTACATTTCCTGCAGGAAGATGGCTGTGAAAGAAAATGGCCCCTTGTGTGTTTATTTGTCAATCAGGAACTCGATGAAACGAAACATCACTGAACAGCTTTTATGTATCTTGAGCAAACCCAAATTGTTCTGTTACGACTATTATACTGTACAGTATTTTCAAGTAGATCATTAACTATTGCAAGGACCCTTTTGAGTAACAGATCTTGCCTAATTCAGAAACATTTCAGTACTGCTCAGCGAACGTTTGTACTGGTCCCTGTTGTTCAAGAAGGGAAAAGTCAATAAAAAAAAGTCACAAACTTTGTACTTGTAGCATACTCTGTCATTTCATCGTGTATTTTCTGCTCTTTTGTAGCCAGAAAGTGCAGATGTCATCAGGCGTTTTCGTGCCAGTGTGCAGCCAGGTGCAGGTGCAATGCGAGTGTTTTATGGAAGAGCTCGGGATCCTCATAGACGTTGGGCAGCAGAGATGACCCATGGGGTCAGCACACGACCTTCTTTCACATCCGGAGAACTTGTGAATCCACACCCCAAAACTTTATTCAAACAACGCCTTTCCGATAGGAAAGAGAATATCTATGCAACACACATCCGTGCTCCACTCGGCGTATCACATGATCAGAGGCCTGGACTTCCGCCAAGACTCGACTCCCGCACCTTTACATTCGGGATCCCAACCGAACTTGGTGAGATATGGCCACAGTAAAAGTCACCTTACGACCTTTTATTCACTTTTATTTTTATTGGTTGGTTGGTTTGTTGTTTTACACCGCACTCAGCAATATTCCAGCTGTATGACAGCGGTCTGTAAATAATTGAGTCTAGACCAGACAATCCAGTGATTGACATCATGAGCATCGATCCACGCAATTGGGATAGATGACATGCATCAACAAAGTCAGCGAGCCTGACCACCCGATCCCGTTAGTCGCCTTTTACGACAAGCATAGTCGCCTAAACTTTATTGCCCTCATCTCAAAAAGGCATGATACTGGCTCTTTGAATAATGTCAGCAATGGTATCTTAAAATCTACTCCCAGGATGCTGATAAAATCTTAGGCAATTAATTATTTTTGTTTTGTTTTCAGAATTTTGTGTTGTTCTTTAAATGTCGGTGGTCGAAAAAAAAAGGAAAATTGTCTTCAAATGAAAATTTCGGTGGTCGAAATAATATTTTAACAACAATCAGTCATATTCATAGCGGGCCTCAAGTAAAAATACCATGATGGTATAGATGTGGAGTAATACCTGCCATTGCATGTCTTAGAGGAAAAATAATTCGGCATCAGAACACCTTCGCATTGCACCATGCATGTACCTTTCATTCGTTTATTCCAAATTATTCCTTGTCAAGCGTTAAATGAGTGTTTATTGAAGGTGGGGAACTAAATACATGTACTATGGACAGATGTTGGATTACACAGAGTATACTGTATTTATCAAAATGGGCCGCTTTTCCAGTGACGATGACTGAACACTCGATACATAAACGCAACATGTATAGATAGAATATATGACGCCACATGATGAGTGCATCAGGAATTCTTTATTATTCCTGCGTTCTTTATTGTCAATGTTGTCCTTTACCTGTTTAGTGTCCTTTTTGTGGTTTGTGCACTGACATTCTTAAGTACACCTCTTCCTTTTCTTTAGTACACATCGTTCTCTTTTTACATGTTTTTTTACACGATTTTAACCTTGCCAGACATAGAACTCTTCTCATTAGACGATTTATCATCACTAATTGTGTCTTTACCACCAAAATCGTTTTCATCCTCTGCCTCCGTATTTTGAATAAGTCATACAGTCCGTAACAGTTGTTTTGTGTTAAACTTGAGAGGTTGCATGATTAGAAAACATATTCCGCCAACAATGTAACATAACAATATGAATATTTATTTTTTATTTTGTTTATTACGTGTTTGAATCCTTATGTATCGTGAACCTGTCCGATTTTTGATCACAAACGTTGATACTACTTAATTTCGTTTATCCGACATACTCGGTAATCCGACATAATCATATGCAACCATCGATGTCGGATTAACGGGACTTGACTGTACAACAGTATGTAAATAAATTGAGTCTGGATCAGACAATCCAGTGATGACATCATGAACATTGATCCACAAAATTGACATGTAATTTGGCCACCTGATCCTTTTAGTCACCCCTAACAACAAGTATAGGTTACAGGGGACCTATATTCTCGATCGGAGTCCCCAGTGCATGAATCTATATCAGGATTCTGATCTTAACATTTTAAATTTGTTAATTGCAGATATCGGTGCTGGTGGCTTGATAAACCCCAGAAAGACGTATGAAGAAGTAGAGAAAGAGAACGTAGTTGGTCACGATTTGTATATCAAAACCCATGCTGACTTTGAGGTTGGAGAAAGAGTACAGCGATGTTACACGGCACCAAGCTTTGACCCGAAGAACAGATTTGGAATACCAACACCTCATGCCAACGATGGGCGTCACGTGAGGCAGACACTCAAGTGGCTCCATGAGACAGAGTCGGAGAAGGCGTCGAAGATCGTGTCCAAAAGAGTGGATGACTTCCGGGAAAGGACACAGCCTCAGTTGGGGAAGGTTCATGACCCGTAAGTTGTTAGTGTCTTAGAATACAAACTGCATAGCAAGCTACCCCAGTCAAATTAATGCCAGAAAGTGTGTCAAGTTGATACCTGTACGAAAAGCATGGGGAACAAGACACAGTATTATGAAACCAGAAGAGAGACACTTTGGGTCTCATAGTACACATGCAGATGCGTTCATTTCTTTTCTAGAATTCACAAAATCAGGACTCTCTTCCCTTTTTATCCCCTGGCATATAATGCGGGGGGATATAGTCTTCATCTGGTCTGTCCTTCGTCCATCTGTCCGTCCGTATTTTGTTTCCGGGGGCATAACTTGAAAGCTGTGAAAGATTTTCATCCAAACTTTGTACATGTATTACTTCGGGCTGATGTGGTGCCTTTTTGCTATTGTAGGGACTGGGGGGATTTTTCATCTTCTTATGACTCGTGTTAGAAAAAACTTTTTACCTTTCCTCTCTTCTCAAGTTTATATATCATCATATAGCCAATTATTTTCCAGAATCAAGGACACCCTGAAAGTGACGCCAGACCACACGTTTGGTATCCTGCTGAAGCCTGATGAGTACGGTGCCGGTGACCTGATACACAACCGGTCCCCGGGCTCCTACCTGCGTGGCAGCGACCGCCAGCAGGGGATAGTTGCAGCCACCAGGCATCATCTCAAGAAGATGAACTACCACAACTTCCACGATCTACTTCATGCTTTTAGATTCTATGATAAGGTGAGTTTAAAGGTGACCATCAAACCTGACTGAAAGACTTCCAGACCTAAAACATCACATGCCATAAATACGTTGTGATTGTATAAAACATCCTTGTGTGCAATAGTAATGTTCCTGTTTCTGTGGACTTTTTATCCATGAAAACTAAGGATAATTATGTGTGATACTGGAGGGTGAGTGAGTGAGTTGGGTTTTAGCACCCCTTTTAATAGTATTCAAGTTATATCACATCATGTCAGCTAAATGTGGGCGGAAAGCCCGAAGTGATACAGGTCTCAGACATTTACCACTTTGGTGAGACCCATGAAAATGCGTATGGTGCCGACAAACCTAGAAACATAATAAGGGAGAACCGGAAGTCAAACCCACAATCATAGGTGTCATACTCAGAGTGACTGTACAAGATGTTCCCCCTGTGTAATGACTGTACAAGATGTTCCCCCGTGTAAGTGACTGTACAAGATGTTCCCCTGTGTAATGACTGTACCAGATGTTCCCCCTGTGTTAGTGACTGTACAAGATGTTCCCCTGTGTAATGACTGTACAAGATGTTCCCCCTGTGTAAGTGACTGTACAAGATGTTCCCCCGTGTAAGTGACTGTACAAGATGTTCCCCTGTGTAATGACTGTACCAGATGTTCCCCCTGTGTTAGTGACTGTATAAGATGTTCCCCCTGTGTAAGTGACTGTACAAGACGTTCCCCCTGTGTAAGTGACTGTACCAGATGTTCCCCCTGTGTAAGTGACTGTACAAGACGTTCCCCCTGTGTAAGTGACTGTACAAGATGTTCCCCCTGTGTAAGTGACTGTACAAGTTGTTCCCCCTGTGTAAGTGACTGTACAAGTTGTTCCCCCTGTGTAAGTGACTGTACAAGTTGTTCTCCCTGTGTAAGTAACTGTACAAGACGTTCCCCCTGTGTAAGTGACTGTACAAGATGTTCCCCCTATGTAAGTGACTGTACAAGATGTTCCCCCGTGTAAGTGACTGTACAAGATGTTCCCCCTGCGTAAGTGACTGTACAAGATGTTCCCCCTGTGTAAGTGACTGTACAAGATGTTCCCCCTGTGTAAGTGACTGTACAAGACGTTCCCCCTGTGTAAGTGACTGTACAAGATGTTCCCCCTATGTAAGTGACTGTACAAGATGTTCCCCCGTGTAAGTGACTGTACAAGATGTTCCCCCTGTGTAAGTGACTGTACAAGATGTTCCCCCTGTGTAAGTGACTGTACAAGATGTTCCCCCTGTGTAAGTGACTGTACAAGTTGTTCCCCCTGTGTAAGTGACTGTACAAGTTGTTCCCCCTTTGTAAGTGACTGTACAAGATGTTCTCCCTGTGTAAGTGACTGTACAAGACGTTCCCCCTGTGTAAGTGACTGTACAAGATGTTCCCCCTATGTAAGTGACTGTACAAGATGTTCCCCCGTGTAAGTGACTGTACAAGATGTTCCCCCTGCGTAAGTGACTGTACAAGATGTTCCCCCGTGTAAGTGACTGTACAAGATGTTCCCCCTGTGTTAGTGACTGTACAAGATGTTCCCCCTGTGTAAGTGACTATACAAGTTGTTTCCCCTGTGTCAGTGACTGTACAAGTTGTTCCCCCTGTGTAAGTGACTGTACAAGCATTCCCCCTGTGTAAGTGACTGTACAAGACGTGCCCCCTGTGTAAGTGACTGTACAAGACGTGCCCCCTGTGTAAGTGACTGTACAAATTGTTCCCCCTGTGTAATGACTGTTCAATGTTGTAGGACAATTCAGGGCAGATCAACATGGTGGAGCTGCGAGATGCCTGCTTCCAGTTCAACCTGCCTGTGGAGCCTGAGCTGCTGGAGCAACTCATGGACACCTGTGATGTGAACAGGGACGGCCAGATTGACTATGTGGAATTCTCCAACTTCCTCAACTGGAAAGACAAGATTGACTCAGGATTTGGCGAGAAGACAGGTAATATTTGAATGGAGACATCAACTTATGTGTTCATCATATCGTCACAATTCACTCAATGAAACACTATATTTTTACAAGTTAATCTGAGCCAAAAGTCACTGTTTGAAAATAAAATAAATGAATGAATTAGTAAAAATAAAACACACAACTACAAAAAATATCAAGCAACTATTAACTTTTTTGTACAATTGATGTATGATATTAATTATTTGTAATCTCTTCCTGCTACAATCCTTCCATTTGGAGAACAAAAACTTCTTAGAAGTAAATAATATACATGTCATGGTAAAAGTACAAAAATATCCTGCACTTTAAACAATAAAAAACAATTTTCACCAAGCCAAACAACTTTGTGACAATTGAGAAAAATATATTGAGCTGCACAAATTTTCTTGGTAAAACTCTGTAGACCATAAAACCAAGCAAGTGTGTTCTGTTTGAGGATGTGATACATTTAGAGAATAACCTACGTTCTGTGGGGAATTACAGAGGCCAAAGTGAATTGATTTTGTAAGCCTAGAGGGATTATCTGTAATTCATAGTAGTAAGTATGTTATTCTATATATTACCCATAGGTTTTTTTCTTAGAAATGAAGACAGAATTGGTCTTCTTGATCATAAGTGGTGAGATCAGCTCCGTCATCCATTATTGTTGGATATGTCACATAATACCAACTGTGATGTCAAGAATGTATAAGTATATCTTAACATGTTTTAATATGACTTAAGCCCAATGCACACTTTTACTTACGTGAGTATATATACTTACGTAAGTAAATTTACTTGTGGTGGTATGTGAACGCATTTGCTTACGTGAGTAAATCTACTCCAGGAGTAAAGAGGCATGAGTAAAAGTATATTTGCTACACCTGATGAGGTCTAGTAAAAGTATATTTACTCATAAGTATAAATGCTCCTGGAGTATTTCTGGTCATGTGAACAGATTCTCTATTTGCTTACGTAAGCATATTAAATCCAAGATACTGATAATCAGGAAAATACGGCTGTAGTTCCTTGCAAAGAACATAACATGTTCATAAAATGTTTCGCGTGTCATGCGAAAGTTATCGATCCACAGTTTATCATCAAATGATCGTTTGACGACATTGTTCCACCAGTGTTGAGAACGTTCTCTCTTCCACAGTTCTCTTTCCTGGCATAATCCTAAGACTAATCCCATACTAAGAAAGTATGGAAAGTCTCTCTTTCGCCTCTGGTTGACTATCTTCGACAGCGACATGGCCTCAAATGATAAAAGTCCACAATTTATTTATGAAATGATGTTTACTTCTGCCTTGCATAAACTTCATGTGAACGCAATGTAAATATACTTTTGCTTACATGAGTAAATTTTGTCCATGTGAATGGGGCTTTAGAAGAATTAAGACAAATTCAAAATTGATAGCAAAACAGCCTATCGACTGAGCTGAGGTTAGCTTATGCTATGTCATGTGACTTTCATTGACTTGGAAAAAGCATGCAGCTATTTGCTTCGAAGTGGGGTATAAGGGATTTATTCTGCCTCTCAGAAATCCATGTGCAGCCTGTCTTCCTCATGGTGGGGTATAAGGGATTTATTCTCTCGATTGAGAAGTTTATTACCCTCCAAGGCGGGTTACACAGTATTTTATCAAGATCACGTCAACCAACCAGATCTCATCATTCTGACATGGAGGTATGATAATAAATGGATGATGTCATCTTTAGCCATTGCAACAGTGTGTTGATGTGATATCACATGGCTATGGGCATCTTCACAAACAAGTAAGACAATGGAACAGTTGGCATGAATTAGCTCAGTAAGAATTACCGATAATAATTGCGCTGATATCTTTGCTCCCATGGGAAATATAGTACCATATTAAATATTATCCTTTTGGCAATATGTAACACTATTTATCTATTTCCCTCTGTTAAGTTTGAGAAATAACCCGACCTGCTCTAAATTAGTGTAGAAATTAGCCTACAATAAATGTAAAATTTGATTTAAAAATTCAAGTTAATGCTGATGATGACAATACTTTCACTTTTATTTGTTACACAAGACCCGTGAAGATCCGGGGTAGAATAGGTCTTCAGCAACTCATACTTTCCCTAAAAGGTTACTATGCTTGTCGTAAGAGGCGACTAACGGATCGGGTGGTCAGGCTCGCTGACTTGGTTGATGCAGGTCATTGTATCCCAATTGCGTGGATCGATGCTCATGATGTCAATCACTGGATTGTCTGGTCCAGACATGATTATTTTCAGACCGCCGTCATATAGCTAGAATATTGCTGAGTGCGGCAACAAACAAACAAACTCCACAATGGACCCTAATTACGTGGATAGATGCACATGCTATCAATCACTGGATTGTCTGGTCCAGACTGTCATATTGCTGGATGCGGCGTTAAACAAACAAACAAACCATCCATTTGTTACACATTAGAATGAAACTATTGTAGTGACATGGATTCTGATATCACTAGTTATTCAAGTCACCATACAAGGAAGTTATCATGACCATGGGTTGAACTGTAGATTAGGTGCTAAGAAGTTGGCATTACTGTGAACCGGAAAACATGAGTCATCTTCGGATTATGTCTAAAATGAAAAACAAAAGTCCAAACCTATGCATAAAATGAAAATGATCTTTATATTCTCATGATCATCACAGTTTCATCCTTAGCGATGACATTTGTTGACATTTTACTGCCTCCTATAATCCAACCACCCACCCCACTTTCACCCACCACACACCCCACTTTTACCCCCACTTCCACCCCCCCACTCCCAGCTACCACCCTACTCTCACCCATCCCTCAAAAGCTAAGCTCGACCCATGAAGGTCCAGGTTAGAATATGACCTTCTGGTTGATGCATGTCATCGTATCCCAATTGTGTGGATCGATGCTCATGATGTCAGTCACTGGATTGTCTGGTCCAGACTCGATTATTCACAGACCGCCATCAAATAGCTGGAATGCAACGATAAACAACAAACAAACAAACAAACAAAAGCTATGCTCATGTTCCCATCATGACATGTGGTAATTTCTTGTTGCACAAACAATATTTGATTTTCAACGTTTTCATAACTCAAGCTGTCATGTTTATTATGAACATATGGTAGTTATTATATTTCTGAAATCAATACTAACAATGCCAGACATGTTGATGTACATCAAGTAGACATGAACGTGTCATTGATTCACCATTAGGAGCTACCTGATACAGCATTGTGATGCAGAATGCCCATATGACTGTGTCCTTGTTTAATCAGAGGACGCACCTGCTGTGAGTGACAGCCAGGTGGTTGACGACAAGGACCTGGTCCCCAAGTCCCCCCAGAGCCAGGACAGCACCCCCCGGAGGCTGCAGAAACAGGTGGACAAGGCTATCGGGGGACACAGGACAAGCGCCAACATGATCAATGCTGTGGTCGGAGGTTTCAGCACTCGAGGTATGCAGCTATGACTGAGGTACCCTGGACAGGGGGCTGTAAGAGTTATGCCCCTTTATTCTCCAAGCTTCAGGTCAATTTCAAAATGAGCAATATTTTTTTGTGTTTTCTATGAAGGTTTGTGCAGCACATTTAACAGCCAATTAGGATGAAGTGTGATATTGTAATTTTAAAGAAAATCAGAATAAGGATTTAGATTGTACAAAATTACAAAATCAAGATCTCATTGTTTTTCACTTAATGACTGAAGCTTTGGAAATGTCTGTATATATGCAATTGTGTTTCTTCCAAAAAGAAAGGGGAGACCATGTTTTTCAGTTAAACTTGGCGTATGCATTGCTCATGATGCAGCTTAACTGGGCATGTTGCCTTTTGGTATTTTGAAATTTTTCTCAATCATATTGTTTTAGGTTTCCATGGTTACCTAGGGTTGTTCCCGTGCTATAACTTGAAAAACATTCAATCTTTTTCAACAAAACATTGCATATGCATTACTCATCAGCTCAACTGGTGACTTGCTATTTTGAAACTTTCCTAAATTTCATTTATTTCCATAGAAACAATTTGGACTTAGTGTAAACCAACTCTTGGCCTTCTCCGAGCCATAACTCTCAAAATAATGACTATTTTTACATGAAACTATATATGTGCAATGACCACATTCTCAACTATTGCCTTCTCATATTTTTAAATCTTTAGTTTTTTTAATTTCTTGTGTTTCCACTTAGCATAAAGCTACTGTTTATTATGGTTTCTACTTCCCCAATACAATCTATTATCCAAACTGCTGGAACAGTTCAATAGTCTTATCAGCCATAGAGCCAACATGGCATCAACTGTAATGCAGCCTCATTAATGCATTCATCAGAATCTGTACGAGTATTTTTTACTGTTCTTGTTTTTCGGGTTTGCAAACATTTATAGAAACAACTTGAACTGGTGTATACAAAAAGACGGAGAAGGGAGACATCTGTTTTCATGGGTAAAAACTCATTCTAGTTTGGTCTTGATTAATGTTATGTATGACTATTTAACCACAACGATTTGTACATTGCAACCCTGTCATTGTCCATTCCCCTTAAAATATTCCTGAGCCCTTTTCCCATTTCCCATTAACTGATATATTATGATGTATTGATGTTTTCATGTGACGTGAATGACAAGCAATTCTATAATGCTATTTGTTATCTCCAGATTATCGAACATATGGAGTTCCCACTATCAGGACTGACCGCTCCGCGCCACGCATCCGCCGTGTGGATGACCGCACCAACTATGGGGATGAGTCCAATGCCTATGGCCTCCTCAACCCATCCATTTTCAGCCAGCATGGAGTGTATGAGAAGGACTTCCTTCTCCCCAGAAGCCAGCAGGAGGTAAGATACAGAGGTCATTGTATACTCCCCAGGGAGCTGAGAATGGATTTGAGTGCCCATTGATCCAGAGAAAATAAAATAAAGGGATAGCCCTCCCGCTACAGTCTGGCATGTAACTGATACACTCCGACACCCTGCTGTTAACCTCCCTGTACTGCTGCAGACATTCACAACGGACCATTCCGGTAACCACGTAAACAATATTACATATTGTCCAGGGCTAAACGGAAGTCCCTTAGCCAAAATTTCTCCGACTACAACCAGCGACAATCCAACAAAAGGACAGATCTTAGCGGATTACAATGATTATTATCTTTTTATTTTATGGTCTCTGACCAGGGTGGGGCGATCGGGTAGCCTCGTGGTTAAAGCGTTTGCTCGTCAAGCCGAAGACCCGGGTTCGATTCCCAACATGGGTACAATGTGTGAAGCCTATTTCTGGTGTCCCACCGCTGTGATATTGCTGGAATATTGCTAAAAGCGGCGTAAAACCACTCACTCACTCACTCACTTTGACCAGGGTAATAATGTTGCAGCACTGACCATACCAGCAAGCGTTGAATTTGGTGATACTGATTTGTACTAATGAACAATGTTATTATTGTTATGATTATTGTTGTTGTTGTGCTGTTTCCTTGACAGTTGGACTGCACCCAGTGTTGACTTTCCATAGGTACTCGTACACAACATTTGAGATGTTAGCACAAAATCATACCATCAGTCATTTTAAATATACAGTGAGAGGCAAAAGAAAGTCACCAGCTGATCGTGGAAGTGCTAACTTTGAATCTGTTTAGTGCAAAGTAAATCTATTTCTTACCATCTGAAATCCAAGCTTTGGAACAATACAAAGAAACAATCAGTGAAACTTACAGACATCACACGTCTGCTCAGAGTGACCATTGGTCCTGCAGCCTGTCAGCAGCTGCATACAGTCCTCACTGTTACTGTTGACCTTGGAGAGTCCTTGTCCTCCTTGGAGAGTCCGTGTTGTCCTTGGAAAGGCCCTGTTGTTCTTGGAGAGTCCTTGTTCTTGAAGAGTCTCTCTTGTTCCTGAAGAGTCTTTGTTGTCCTTGGAAAGTCCCTATTGTTCAGGAGAGTCTCTGTTGTCCTTGGAGAGTCCCTGTTGTTCTTGGAGAGTCCTTTTTGTCCTTGGAGAGTCATTGTTCTTGGAGGGTCTCTGCTGTCCTTGGATAGTCCTTGCTGTCCTAGGAAAGTCCTTGTAGGAGAGTCCCTGTTGTCCTTGGAGAGTCCTCATTGTTCATGTTGTCCGCTGGTAGTGTTCAGATGAGAGACAGCGATGTTATGGTCCTGAACAGGGGTGGTAACTCATGTCGGCCGGATTTGGGACAACCAAGAATGCTGTTAGTTTGTCAGTAACTTTACTGACAACCTGGCTATTTATTGTCATGGGGTTGCTTTGGCAACAGCTGACAATCTTGTTTGCAACACACCTTTTGCCTCTTCCCTCTCCCCTGGCATGTCACTGACACGGAACATGTCGGAGCAATTTTCCCAAAGGTCATGCTGCGAGAACGTAATGCTGAACAGGGCCTTATTCCTCAAAACCATCTTAGCACATAGGTGATTGTAACTTCTTTACTTTAACATAGACTTATGATGATCTTAGCACTAAGATCGCTTTGTGGAATGGGAAACAGGTCGTCAAAACACATTTCCACCTTTCTCTGTACAATAAAACATCTTTTGAACCTTATGGTTAAGTTTGTGTAGCAGGGCAGTGAATGAGGAATAAACAAACACACGCTACGGGCGAGAGATGTTTTATTTCGCCAATGGACGTTTCATGTATTTATCTACACCCTGAAACATATTAAAGGAATACTGCAGAAATTATTAAACTTTATTCAAGGAAAAGAGATACAAATCATGTTTATGTATGGAAATAGTTATTGGAACAGTTATTTAGGACGAAATGCAAAGTTTTATTGTCAAATGCTGGGCTGGCTATCGGACGCCGGTTGACGTCGCCAGTGGAAAAAAATGTGAGATCTTCGACTCCGTGTATAAGACGACCCCCCTTCTTAGCCCCCTCATTTTAGGAACAAAAAACTCGCCTTATACAGCGATATCGATAATAATTAATATCAACAATACACATAATGCAGCCATCAACATCACAGTAGCACAAACCGTTTTACATTACAAACAGATGTTATTCTTATGTTAGTTGTTATAGTGTACAGTAATCTGCTAATTGATGTAAGAGCCAAATAGAATAATTATCCATATATCATATTATCTATGTGTAAAGATATTATAAATCTCTTTAAAAATACATACATGCACAGGAATTTATGGGTGTGACAATATAAAAACACACTCTACATGTAATAGTGTGCACTTGGGTGCCTTCCCGAACACAGTGCCGCAACTCAATATTCCGGATTTAATAATGATAAGTGCATTTATAATGCGCCAGATTCCATTCACAATGTGGATGCTCATAGCGCTACACTATTATTACCCCAGCCAATGGATCAGTGAGCACTCCATTTTCATTCTCAGCTCCCTGGGGAGTATACAACCCAAGCTGCCTGTGAGGCGCTAGAAGGTTAACAGACACATTACCATCTCATCCTACCGGGTACCCACTCACTGCTGGGTGAACAGAGGCACATTTCGAACAAAGTCACTTGCTTAAGGTGACACCACATGTGGTCACACATGTGGTACATATCTGAATAAAACATATACTTTTATAACTATGACTAATACAACTATACTATTTACATACACTTTAAAATATTACTCCGGATCCCGTATAGTACAGACTGTATATCACACAGAACTAGTCACAATAGCATTTAAAACATAGCCTATTCTGTAAAACAACACATACACTCTTCCTCATACATACAAGAATAACAAGGCAGAAAACTGATATATTAGTAATTACCAAAGCTTACAATTTATAAGTCTTGTTTACCACATTTGCTTAAATAGATTGTAACTGAGAATATGATAATTAGGGCTGTTACGATTCACTCTCGTATTCGGTGAATCAAACCGTAACCATTCATGAATTGAATTTGTTATTCATGGCCACTAGAATCGAATATTTATGAATATGCAGTCATATATATTTACATACCCTGTACCTAAAAATATCCATAACAACATATTATATGCATAGATTTTTTTCAATGACAACACTCTAATAATATTTAATTTGATAGTATTCTTGTCACTGGTCATTGTCGCATTTGAGCAGATACTAGTACCTGGATACGTGCAGTATATAAATGTATAATTTATTAATAATTAACAAACCATGTCAAATAAATTATGATGTTATTGTTTCACTGAATATAATAAATACTACATAAACTGCTGACTTGTTAATGTAATTGTGAATTAATATTCGTATTCGTTACCCTATATTCATGACATGAATCGTATTTGCCTCATAGTGTATTCGTTGCAGCCCTAATGATAATATTAATCACGTTTAGTTAAGTTAATTATTACAGGTTTAATATACTGCAACATTTAAATGCAATAACCTACAATACAAATACATGTATACACAAACATATTCAACTAACCTGATTTAGATGGTTTTACTTGGCAACTTGTCTGTGTAAAAAATGTGTGCAGACTGAGAACATGCAGTGAGACAAAGGGTTAACTTTGAGGGTTAGCTTGGCCAATCAGTTGAGGACGTCATGGCTTGGGTTTGTTAAGGCTTACAACATGGAGGACACAAGAACTGCATTTAATCTATCTTAACAACTAAGTATACACAAAAGTTGAACACTAAAAAGCAGACACTGAAGATGAATAAAATAAATATGTACAATGGTTGTATCTGTCACATTTGTATAACACTGATGAGTTTGAACACAGCACATCCAGACATATTCCTTTAGTATGTCTCCTGGGGGCACGGGTGGCCCAGTCGTCTAAGGCGATTCGCTGTGCAGAGTTGCGTCCCTTGGGCACGCCAGAAACCTATGATTGTGGGTTCGAATCCCGGTTCACCCCGATTATGTTTCTAGGTTTGTTAGCACTCGTGCTCGTGGGTTTCACCGAAGTGGTAAACGTCTGAGACCTGCATCACTTCGGGCTTTCCTCCCACATTAAGCTGACACGTCGCGATATAACTGGAATAGTGTTAAAAGCGGTGTTAAACCCAACTCACTCACTCACTCACTCACTCACTCACTAGTATGTCTCCTGATACTTCGTTATTTTCTCTTCACAGTCATGGCTTAAACTTTAGCATGGATGTGGCTTAAACTTTAGCTTGGATGTGTACCATGATATGTTTGTGTGCTTCAGGTACGGGATGTCTTCACGCAGGTCGGCGTCCACATGCCCGGGGAAACATTTGAGAGTGTGTGGAGATGTGCGGCAGACAGACACCCAAAGGGACACGTCAGTCTGGAGGCTTTCAGGAACGTCCTCGATGATATACAGGCTGAAGACATCAAATCTGAAAATCATCCCATGGCAGTCTAAAATAACAGTTTCAATGCAATCTTATTTATCTATTTATTATCTTAAAGTGATTTAGTGTATAACTTTTTATATTTTTTGGTAACAAACTTAATGCTCATGGACATAATAAGAAGTTGAAATGCTCTGGTTGTAAACATGCCAGTATATTACAAGGAAACTATTTTATATTTGTTTATCAGTAATTAATGTCCCAGAAGTGTTCTGATAGATAACACATGAACTGATACAGTTCCTCCTGCATGGTATTTATACATTTCTAAGTCACAAATATTTTATTTCTATACAATATGACAGGGGTGATTATCAATGTGATAGTTTCAGTACAACTTCTGTCAGGAAATTTATGTTGTATGAATGACATGTATCAAATCAAAGAACGTCCACAGTATTTGCAAAGATTCAGTATGGAACACTTCCATGATAATAATTCTACATTTCTTGAGCTTCGAATAGTTTTTTCTCTACAATACAACTGTATGCTTATCAATGTGGTACTTTCAGTACAACTTCAGTCAGTAAATGAATTACATGCGTAAAAAATGGCTACAGTATTTGCAAAGATTCAGTATTGAACACATCCATGATAATAACTCTACATTTCTAAGCCTCAACTATTTTAACACTGAGTGATACACAATGTGGTAGTCAGCTGTAAAGAAGTTTCTCTACAATTTCAGTCAATATCTCGTCAGTACAACAGACATGTTATACAGTATTGCAACAGACTATATCAGTATTTGCCAACATTCAGTCACACTTTTTGTGAACAGCATTTTCCAATACAGCGCACCATCAAAATTAGATGTTTTTGTGTCATTTCACACATGTAGAATGAACATGTATTAATATAGATTGATTGCTTCTAAATCAAATATCGTAACGCAACCATAATCAAAATATTCGCTGGTCAAACTACACTAACATAATGGGTAAAAAAAATGTGGATTTGTTTTAGTCATGTAATAGTTGAAGTATATTATTTTGAAATCCTCAGGTGTGAATCTAAGATGCATTTTGTAATCTCAAATGTATGCCATATATACTGCCGGGCAAAAGAAAGTATACACCCATGTTTAATGGTGGGAAAAACTGAAACAAACAAGAATGGTTATTGATGGGGATGTATTTGATACGGGTATTATAGCTGTGCAGGGTTCATTCTCGGAATTTTCTGACACGGGCCCTTTTTGTGAAAATTTCAAATATTCCAGAGGTACACCCACACTTGCCCATACAGCACAATGTTAAAATGTGACATGGGCCCTTTTTGTGAAAATTTCAAATATTCCAGAGGTACACCCACACTTGCCCATACAACACCATGTAAATGTGACATGGGCCCTTTTTGTGAAAATTTCAAATATTCCAGAGGTACACCCACACTTGCCCATACAGCACAATGTTAAAATGTGAGTACTTGAAAATGTGGGCCTTTTTTCATATTTAGGGGCTAAAAGCACCAAGTCCCACCCTAGAATTATCCCTGGTTGTGTTTTGGACCTCAAGTTTGCAGTGTTTTGGCGACTGCTTTCAGCCTAGTAACATTCTGATTAAATTTGTAACATTTAGTTCAAATCAGTTTGAAGTTTTTACTTTCTTTGGCCCGGCAGTGTATTTGTTTACCAAAATTTAGGTGATATTTCCTGATAGAACTTAGAATAATGTGTTCCATATTAGTATACGATTGATTTGTGATGCAAATGATGTGATGTGATATGTCAGCTGAAGCTGTCACTAGAATTTGCCATCAAACGAAGTACCAGTTTTAAACCCTCCAAAGTATTATTTTGAACAACGAAACAATAAGATCAGCGTTATGACAACGGTCAATAGTATTACAACCCAATAAATAAACACGAGAAGCTGCATCAAGCTGTGGCAATGTAGTAAGGTTTTTCCTGTCTTAGAAACTCATTTTTACACCCGCACTTCAATATTTTTATCAGCACAAGTATTTTTATATTGATTTGTTACTATTTAACAATATTTCGTAAAATATCAATTGCTATTATGCATATTGTCAACCCCTGTTGTTTTGTCACAGGTTTTCCTAGTTTTACCATGTGAAACTGTTGTCATTGTTACGTGCCATTTAGCAAATGATGAAGATGAACGCATCATCATCAACTTGAATAGTGAGACGTGTACATACAATCCTTTTAATTAAGAAAATATACTACTCAAAAAAAGTTAAAGAACACCTGTTTTTTGCATATGACTATAGTTAATTTGTCATGCCATGACAGGTTAACTATGGTCATATTAAAAAAACGGATGTTCTTTAACTTCTTTTGAGTAGTATGTTACACCATATCTTGTCATTTTCAAACTTCTGCCACATGGCTCTTTTCCACATACAGATTGAGGCTTAATTGTTATTTATTCTAACCATCTGTCTGGGTTGTAGCTAAATAGGAAATAAATTTTACAGAAGTTTGAAAATATGTGTTTCAAATAAGCAGCAATAGTCGACGTAATAAGCGTCCAGGGCTCTCTCAAATTTAGAAATAGGGGGCTCTTATGAGAATATATTTTTGGTGAAAAAAGAACAGTTGAAAGATCGTGAATTTCTAGGTTTATGTACCTTAAATGATACAAAAGAAAAATCTGCGCATATTATACACGAATATTATCCAGAATTCAATTGCCCATAATTAAGGGTGCATATAACACACGAGTGCGTATTATACACGAATAGATAAGTACATTGATCAATAGGAAGAGGTGCTAATTAGGATTGTTCACTAGCCAATATATTAGATAATATCACCGTGGGCGCTTATTAGAGCGGGGAGCTTATTACGTCGAATACGGTATGTATAGACAGAAGATCCACTGTAATGTTCAGCCTTTAGTTTGTAAACATTCCAATTTGACACTACAATTGAATCAGTATTAATGTGTTTATCTTCAGCATATATTTGTTGATCCATATTGGACAGCTTTAAGCTAACTTCATGGACAATTGTATTATCAATATTCTCCCTTAATGGAACTGATGAATAACTCACGACATTCAGTATTGCAGCATCCCCCTTCTCCCACCGGATGCTATTGTCACCAAGAAAAAGTATTAACAAAGATTATAAAACATTAACACCAATCCTTTCTTCCACTGGAATGATGTAAACACATGATGAACCGCGAGTGAATTGAGAACTGGTTCCAACACCTCACTATTGAGGGTCTATAGTATACTCCACCAGATTCCTATAATGACACTTGCTATGTATATCAATATCAATATTCTTGTCAATATGTTGTCAGTGACATTTGTTCTGACATTGTAATATGTCAGTACCATTCAACAACATGCTAGTACACATTTTACATGTGTTTGTCAACAGTATTTCACAATGCAGGACTATATTTTTGACTGTATGGCATAATAATTTGCTTTATTCAAATATTTGGTATATTCAAATATTTAACAGTTTTTCCTTTTTGAAGTTAGATAGTCCATGTCATTGCTTTTTTCAATGAATGAAAATTGATGTTGTATGAATTATATGCTTCAAATCAAAGAACGTCCACAGTATTTGCAAAGATTCAGTATTGAACACTTCCATGATAATAACTCTACATTTCTGAGCTTCAAATAGTTTTTTCTCTACAATACAACTCTGTATGCTTATCAATGTGGTTATTTCAGTACAACTTCAGTCAGTAAATGAATGACATGCATCAAATAGAAATGGCTACAGTATTTGCAAAGATTCAATATTGAACACTTCCATGATAATAATTCTACATTTCTAAGCCTCAACTATTTTAAAACGGAGTGATACACAATGTGGTAGTCAGCTGTAGAGAAATTTCTGTACAATTTCAGTCAATATCTCGTCAGTACAACGGACATGTTATACAGTATTGCAACAGACTATATCAGTATTTGCCAACATTCAGTCACACTTTTTGTGAACAGCATTTTCCAATACAGCGCACCATCAAAATTAGATGTTTTTGTGTCATTTCACACATGTAGTATGAACATTTATTAATATAGATTGAATAGTATCTATAGTCATTTGATTATTTCACTTGTATTTTCTAATTATATTTCTTCAGTTTGTCATGACTAAATATGCCGATACCTGCATCCATATTTGGTTATTTTGAGTGATTGTGCATTAAAATATATATGATTATATCAAAAGAAATTATGTGCATTTTTCACATATATTCACTGTCCCACCGATCTAGGCCTGTACTCGCCAGACCGCCATCTCATAAACACTTGTCACAGCTGGTTTAATTGTGTACATGTTGCCAGGGTCACAGTCAATCAAGTATTTAATTTCCACAACTGTGTCGACAGCCAGCAAACACCATGTGACACAGGACTCACTCGGACATGGTAGCTGTTAAATTGACTTCTTACAAAGCTGATCATCTTGATGACAGGTTTCCTTTTCACGGAACGACATGGCATGTGACAGTGGTATGTCTATCTATGAAGACTCCATTGACTATGTTAATTTGAGTATATTGGTAATGACATTGTTGTGCTGATTGCTTTTAGAACAGTTTTGAGGCTATGGTGAGATGAGGTATCGGTGTTCTGCTTTACCAGTGTAGCTACATTGTTGCTTTCTGTACCCAGGGATTCAGAATCGAGCCAGTGGAAGATGAAAACTGTGTTTTGATGTTTTGTAACTGGTTTGTATTTTTTGAAACTGTGATACAATGTATATCAACTATGTGCCACTTAATCGACTTGTACAAAGTATTTGAGTGTAAATAAACTATATTTAATGTGGAATAGAGAATAGTTGTTTCATTGACCAGCTGATGATGACAGCCACAAAGTGATGAGGTTGATTCCTTTCCCTCCATTCCCTTCTGTGAGGCTGTTAAGTCTTGACTGTGTTTGATTTATACAGTACATACTGCATGAAGAGCATGGTTCTTCCCTATGTAAATGCCTCTGTGATCTAGTGAGTGGGTGAGTATGGTTTAACGCCGCTTTTAGCAATATCATGTTGGGGGACACCTGAAATGGGCTTCACACATTGTACCCATGTTGGGAATCGAACCTGGGTCTTCGACGTGACGAGCGAGCGCTTTAACCACTAGGCTACCCGACCGACCCTGTGGTCTAGTGGATAGAGCATCTGCTCAGGGAGTGGAAGGTCGGTGGTTTGATCCAAGGCCACATTGTACCAAAAGAGAGTTACCTTGTCTGGCGCTTGGCATTTAGGGGCTTATACAAGGACTGGTCGGCTCGGAGTCAGTATACTGTGTCTGAGTGGGGTATTCATGTTAAACTGCGGCATGGTATCTCATTGGACTAGCGCTATAAACCCAGCATTGTACTGGAGTGTCGATTATATACAGGCTGCCATCATAAAGTTGGAATATTGCTGAGTGCAAAGTTAAACCAGCCCCAAAACCTGATCTCCGAAAGATCTCTCATCTTTGGTAGTTTGTTTTAATTTGAAATGTACAATCCTGTCGTACGGCTGGGAGGAGTCCAAATTTACTACCCGGGTACCCAACCCCCTATTACCCGACCCTTCCCGGGTACCTATTGTAGGTCTCGAGTCGGGAACACAATGTCTAACTGGGAATAGTTTAACTGTAGCCCTGGTAAAAACTGTTTAGATATATGTATGAAACCAGAGACCATATAATATATATATGGTCTCTTATGAAACCATCAAATCATGTGTACACTGAAGTTGACTGAAGCTTTATCTTTACTCAAACATATACAAGTCAAAAGGAATGTGTGCATCATCAGAAAGAAATGGGAACATTAGCGACTTGTAGTGTAACCATTGAGCTCTAGTGAGTTTTTGTCATTAAACATTATGTCTCGTGACTGTAGTACTGTGGGTACCCGGGTCCTACTCAGGACCCACCCGACCCGAGTACCCGAGTTACCTGTCCCAGCCCTATCCTGTTGTCATGCAACGTCATATTAGGGAAGTTGTTCCATACTTATGATGAATCCAATTTGACGTGATGCAAAAAATGTGTTGGAAACATGAGATATCAGCAATAACATATAATGTCTTGTCTATTGAGAGGCAGATCTGGTTTTATTGGCTAGGCAGAAACAAAAAAACTGTCAACACTGGAATTGATAATTTCATTCTTTTCCTCAAACTTTTAATATCCTGCTCAGCAACATAATTGCTAAGATTATGATTTATTTAAATGTTGGGTAATGGTCGATACAGCAAGGAAGGAATAAGTATCACCAACCCACACAACATTTATTTGCCTTTCTACTTAATGCAGACAAAAGTCGATGAGACTAGGCTACTCCACCGGCCAGATTAAGCTGAGATACCCTTATCTTAGTTTGATTAATATATTTGCAGAGCACATTTTGTAATACATATGTCATGATTTGAATAAAATAAATATTTAGGCATTGTTGAAAAACAATTTCATATCTTTTCAAGGTTATTTCTTATTCAGTTATTGAAGAGTAACATTATTTGAAGCTCCATTAAAAATACATGCAAACTCAACAGCACAGAGAAGGACAAGTAGTACAACATGAATGTACGGTTTACATCAGCTTGGGATGAGGAAGCTCTGTTTGCTCTGTTTGCTCGTGTTATGCAGGCTCTGTAGAATTATGGTTTAGAATAGGTCCCCTGCAACCTCTGCCTGCTGTAGAGCGAGCCTGACCACCTGGTCCTGTGAGTCGCCTCTTACAACAAGCATTGTCGCCTTTTACAGTAAGCATTGTCGCCTTTTTCAGTAAGCATTGGTTGCTGAAGACCTATTCCCACAGGGAGTATATGTCATTGTACCCTGATGGTGTTGAGAGTTGCTCATAATATCAATCACTGGTTCATCTGGTCCTGACTTGATTATTTACAGGCTGACATCATATAGTGGGAGTATTGCTGAGTGGCATTAAACGACAACTAAAAGATACATGTTATACAACACAACAAAGATGACACAGCAACACATGATTATATAAGACACAAAAAATGGGCTCCTACTGTTTAGTTTACTTCAGCAACCCACGCCTGTCGTAAGAGGTGACTAGCGGTGTTTCGCAGTGGAATGAAAATGAATTTGTTAACAAAGTTTTTCTATTCACCTAATGTCCCACAATAACATATTTACATACAAAACAATTAAAGACAGAACACAACACGAATATAGTAGCATTTCCTTTTCGAAATCAGTCCGAATATGACTGAAGGTAAAACTATTACCAATGATGTCATTCCGGCTATGATGATGATCATCAGTCTAACCATGTGTTCTAACGTCTAGCCACCACTATGGTTGATGCTAGACTCCCTTAAAGATTAATCAACATGCTTTTATATCAAACATTCAGGAAAAGCATGTGCAATTCAATGTTCTTTCCACAAAGCTGAATGCGATTGCGACAGTTCATTTCCCGAAAACAAATATAACAAACAGTCACTGAACCGTTTTCCTGAGAACTAGAGTATATTGAGAGTAAATGAGAAGAGATTATCCAAGCAGAATTTCTGCACAGCGAGGGGTTGACAGAAGGCTGGGGTGGGTGATGTGTCTTTGTGTTCCTCCGCAGTCAACAAATACATGAACGAAAGCTTATCTATTTTCATCACAGGCAGTTTGTACAAACAGTTTTAAATATATAGAAATTTTCACCCAAGCAGAATGATTTGATTTAAATGTGCATGAATCCTCATGCTGAGGTCAAACTGGTTAAACTTATTAACACATGAAAATATAATTTTTTTCAAAGAATCTAAAAACGCTGTTATGTTATGTTATGTATATGTGTGTGTATTTTTAACATCGTTTGATTGTATTTTATCAAAGAATTTAACCTCAAATCACACGATATTTTAATTTTTTATTTTGCCAACTGCCTAATGGCAGATACAGAATGACTAAGAGCAAGACATTCAGTTTGTCTGTACAAATATTCTATACATATATCCTGTAACATATGATAAACTCAGGCATACATCGCAAACTAAAGACTGACTAGGACATGATGAAATACCAAATATGATAACAGTTTTTACTTAATATTCTGTTCTGATAGGACTGGAAATAATCTCTGAGAGGAATTTAGGAATTTAAAATTCTTGCTTATACTTCTGGTTATATCACAGAAACAATAGGGTTCACAAATCATGGCCCCACACACCGTACCCTTAATAGTAATATCGCAGCAACAACAACATTAGAGACAGGCTCCACAAACTGTACCCTCAGTAGTAATATTGCAGCAGCAACAACATTACAGACAGGCTCCGCACACTGTAACCTGATAGTAATATCGCAGCAGCAACAACATTACAGACAAGCTCCACACACTGTACCCTCAGTAGTAATATCGCAGCAGCAACAACATTACAGACAAGCTCCAAACACTGTACCCTCAGTAGTAATATCGTAGCAGCAACAACATTAAGACAAGCTCCACACACCATACCCTCAGTAGTAATATCGCAGCAGCAACAACATTACAGACAAGCTCCACACACTGTACCCTCAGTAGTAATATCGCAGCAGCAACAACATTACAGACAAGCTCCACACACTGTACCCTCAGTAGTAATATCGCAGCAGCAACAACAACATTACAGACAGGCTCCACACACTGTAACCTAATAGTAATATCGCAGCAGCAACAACTTTATTACAGACAGGCTCCACACACTGCAACCTAATAGTAATATCGCAGCAACAACATTACAGACAAGCTCCACACACTGTAACCTAATAGTAATATCGCAGCAGCAACAACAACATTACAGACAGGCTCCACACACTGCAACCTAATAGTAATATCGCAGCAACAACAACATTACAGACAAGCTCCACACACTGTAACCTAATAGTAATATCGCAGCAGCAACAACATTACAGACAAGCTCCACACACTGTAACCTAATAGTAATATCGCAGCAACAACAACATTACAGACAAGCTCCACACACTGTACCCTCAGTAGTAATATCGAAGCAGCAGCAACAACATTACAGACAAGCTCTACACAATGTACCCTCAGTAGTAATATCGCAGCAGCAACAACATTACAGACAAGCTCCACACACTGTACCCTCAGTAGTAATATCGTAGCAGCAACAACATTACAGACAAGCTCCACACACTGTACCCATAATAGTAATATCGAAGCAGCAACAACATTACAGACAGGCTCCACACACTGTTCCCTCAGTAGTAATATCGCAGCAGCAACAAAATTACAGACAAGCTCCACACACTGTACCCATAATAGTAATATCGAAGCAGCAACAACATTACAGACAAGCTCCACACACTGTACCCTCAGTAGTAATATCGCAGCAGCAGCAACAACATTACAGACAGGCTCCACACACTGTACCCTCAGTAGTAATATCGCAGCAGCAACAACATTACAGACAGGCTCCACACACTGTACCCTCAGTAGTAATATCGCAGCAGCAGCAACAACATTACAGACAGGCTCCACACACTGTACCCTCAGTAGTAATATCGCAGCAGCAACAACATTACAGACAGGCTCCACACACTGTACCCTCAGTAGTAATATCGCAGCAACAACAACATTACGGACAGGCTCCACACACTGTACCCTTAATAGTAATATCACAGCAGCATTAACATTACAGACAGGCTCCACACACTGTACCCTCAGTAGTAATATCGCAGCAGCAACAACATTACAGACAAGTTCCACACACTGCACCCTCAGTAGTATATCGCAGCAACAACATGTAGGGTCCACAAATCCAGACATACACTGTATGTTGGCGATATCTTGGCAATAACAATTTATGGACAACAAATTTACACTCAACACACTGTACGTTGATGGAGATATCTCAGCAATAACAATAGGGTTCACAAATCCTGAACCACACACTGTCACTGTCACTGTACCCTTGTAATATCGCACCCTTGTAATAGCCACCCTTGAAGATCCGCGTTACAATAGGTCTTCAGCAACCCATGCTTGCCATAAACGGTGACTATGCTTGTTGTAAGAGGCGACCAACACAAATCCAAGCTCCATAATCTGTACCCTTAATAGTAATATCACAGCAAAAACAGTTGCGTTCACAAAACCCTTAATAGTGATATCGCAGCAACATCAGAAAAGGGTCCACGAATCTAGGCTCCACACACTGTACCATTCTAGTGATATCGCAGCAACATCAGAAAAGGGTCCACGAATCTAGGCTCCACACACTGTACCATTCTAGTGATATCGCAGCAACATCAGAAAAGGGTCCACGAATCTAGGCTCCACACACTGTACCATTCTAGTGATATCGCAGCAACATCAGAAAAGGGTCCACGAATCTAGGCTCCACACACTGTACCATTCTAGTGATATCGCAGCAACATCAGAAAAGGGTCCACGGATCTAGGCTCCACACACTGTACCATTCTAGTGATATCGCAGCAACATCAGAAAAGGGTCCACGAATCTAGGCTCCACACACTGTACCATTCTAGTGATATCGCAGCAACATCAGAAAAGAGTCGATAAATCTAGGCTCCACACACTGTACCATTATTGTGATATGGCTGCAACATCAATACATAAGAAACGTACAACTTTATGGATAACAACTTCTGGTTTATTGAATATAGCGACGTAACTCTAGCTTCATAAAGGTGTAAGAATCTACATCAAAACCTTGCTATATGTAGTAAGCCAGAAGTTGTTATCGATAAAGTTGTACATTTTCTTATTACTCACTAACTTCCAGAAAGCCACTCAAACAAGTTAACATCAATACAGGGTCCACAACGCTGCTTTTAACAGTATTACAGTTATATCACGGCTTGTAAGCTTAATGTTGGAGGAAAGCCCGAAGTGATGTAGGTCTCAGACGTTTACCACTTCGGTGAAACCCATGAGCACAGGTATGGTGTTGACAAACCTAGAAAAATAATCGGGACGAACCGGGATTCGAACCCACAATCATAGGTTTCTGGTGTGCCCAAGGGACGCAACTATGCGAATCCCTGGCACCTTAGACGACTGGGCCATCCGTGCCCCCAGAACCACATAAAGACAGATTGCTAAATACAGTCAGTCAACCATTAATCAATATATCTCAACAAAAGTTAACATTAATTCAAAACAAATTAATAAAACAAAATCCATCAAGTAAATTTTGGCAGGGAAGATATCACAAAGTATCAGCTAGTACAATCTTTTGGTCAGACACCGCTCCCTGGAAGCAGCATGACCATGACGGATATATTGTCCTTGGCGCCCGCCAACAGTGCCGCCTGTACCAAATACTCTGCCATGTTCTTCGCCAACTCTCGCTGCTTCTCCTCCACTGTCTCTGGAACATGGTCGGGAATGTCTGCATGAACCGGGAGGGTCAGATAGTCAGGGTCAAGGTCGTGACCCTGATCTAAATCTGAAGCATCTTCAACATGGCTCCCAATCTCTGTTTTCAAATCTGCTTCAATGGTCAGTCCAGTCACCTGTCCATTCTTAATCTCTTCAACTGGTGTTGAGGTAGCTTGTGCATTTTCACTCATGTCATCTCCTTCGGACTGACATATATTCGATAATTCTTTCATAGCAGCTTCTACTTCAATATCAGGAAGGTCACCCTGTTCAAGGTCATGGTTTGAAAATGACACTTTTCTGCTGTCTGGCTTGTTAAAAGTGGCCCTCATGGCCTCAGCTTGTTTGGCCTTCTCGTTGTTTTCGATCTCGTCAAGGAGAGGCCGGAGACTGCAGGACATGCTGCTGGGCGGGGGTATATGGTGTGTAGGCAGCATCTGCAACAGTTACAGCATCATCTCTACTTTACAGGTTGTATTTATGTTACAGCCAATGTGTAAAATGACTGAAACTTTCACTTAGGCAATTTACAAAACGCCAAAATATTTTAGTCATTTTTCAATTATTTTTCCATTTATAATATCATGATGTCAAATTCCAAACATTTTCATGCCCTATTTCATCAAGCAGTGGCAAAAATGAAAATCAATGCATATTTTTTCATTTTTTTGCTTTTAATCCAAGCATAATTCGTTGATTGAGATGTTTTTAAGCCCTTTTGAATTTCTTAGTAACTTTTTGTCAATCTCACAGGAAACTAAGAGCAAAATGACTGAAATATCTTGTTATTTTGTAAATTGTCAGTCATTTTACAGATTTACTGTAAGATATACACTACATTCCTCCATCACGTGAGGCTGCCAACCCCTTTTCGTACACAGAATTCAGGGGTCTGTTTAGAGGGTAATTGGAACTCAGCAATGTTGAACATGGAACTCATATAACATCACATTTGGTACTCAGATTCAACATTTGCCAAAAATTAATCATGCATGTTAAGGTTTCCTGTATATATATTTGTTCTGATATTTCTTCAGTAATCATAGGAGAGGTTGGCAGCCACTCATCTCATCATGTTGGGCCCATGAGGCTTCCATGAGTCATAGACAGATGCATTTCATTCGTTGACTAAACATAAACACACTGCACTACTTCATCTCAAACATATCATATGTATCAAGGATGCTACAGACAATATGAATAATCAATTTTACTGTGCCTGACCTCATAAAGCCTACATCATTCCATATGTTAACTATAGAACATGAGTGAGTGAGTTGGGTTTAACGCCGCTTTTAACAGTATACACAGCATGTCAGCTTAATGTGGGAGGAAAACCAGAAGTGATGCAGGTATCAGACATTAACCACTTCTGTGAAACCCACGAGCACGGGTATGGTGCTGACAAACCTAGAAACATAATCGGGGCGAACCGGGATTTGAACCCACGATCATAGGTTTCTGGCGTGCCCAAGGGACGCAACTCTGCAACACGAATCACAGTGCCTTAGACAACTGGGCCACCCGTGCCCCCTATAGAACATGAGTGAGTGAGTGAGTGAGTAAGGTTTTACGCCGCTTTTAGCAATATCCCAGCAATATCACGGCGGGGAACACCAGAAATGGGCTTCACACATTGTACCCATGTCGGGAATCAAACCCGGGTCCTCGGCGTGACGAGCGAACGCTTTAACCTCTAGGCTACCCGACCGCCCTATAGAACATGAAGCTTACTTCTTCCGAAATCTAAGAAATTAAGAAGTGACCCATTTTACATAAATATGTACAGAAATTAGCACTGCCACCACAAAGCCTACTGCCAAAATCCCTTTGGACACTTGTGTAGTTTCTATTATCTGGAGAAGGTTCTTCACTCAATCATTTCTTGGATTAATCAAATACCCAATTCTTTTCCAGTTGCCTTAAGTTTTCATTTAACTTATTAAAACTATGCTTGGTAGTAAACATTGCAAACCTGATTTTGCAGATTTAATGAAAAATTTAGATGCTATCAATTCTACGATAAAAAAAACGTTCTCATCATGGTCCTCCTACATGTTGATGATGTTGGAGATTTAACCTATTTCGCACAGTGTGTGATTCTGTGTTACTGATTAGTGAGTGCGGTACAGTTTGACCCAACTTTTTGCACTATTTCAGCAATGTCATGGCAAGACTTCACAATGGCGTTCACACACTGTTTACTTGCTTTTTTCTTGTTTAACGTCGCACTCAGCAATATTCCAGCTATATGACGGCGGTCTGTAAATAATGGAATCGGGACCAGACAATAAAGTGATTGATACCATGAGCATCGATCCCAACAAATGGAATACGATGACATGTATCAACCAAGTCAGCGAGCCTGACTGCCCAATCCCGTTAGTCGCTTCTTACGATAAGCATAGTCACCTTTTACGGCAAGCATGGGTTGCTGAAGACCACGGATGTTCATGGGTCTCACACACTGTACCCAAGTGGGAATTGAACCCGGTCCTTTGTTGTGAAAAGCGAAAACTTAACCACTGGGCCTCCCAACACCCTCAGTGATGAGGTTTGACAAACACATGCTCCACCTGGTGAGATCACATCTATCTAAACCTGTCCTCTATTCTACAGTGATGGACTAAAGGCCACAAATCTGTCATGTTACTCCAGTGCAGTCAAACATAAATCTTTGGCGAAATGGAATTCTAGAAAAATGGAGGATCAACTGAGATCATTTTTCACATGGAATTTGTTATTCAAACTTCGTATAGTTTTACTCAAAAAATCAAAAAGACTTTAGAAGCAATATCCAAAGTGTTATAAGCCAATCTCATTAAAATTAGATCTCAGTTTTCTCTACCGCTAAACAAAGGTCTGAGGACATCCCATTACAGTCACGTCAGAACTACCTTTCGCGAACTTTGACCGACCAATGAAATGACTGACAAGAAATCGACATTAGCCGATCAGAAGGCAGCTTTCTCGAGCTTTACGACACTAGTTTCAAATTGGTGACTCCGTTTCGAAACATATTTTGACGTATTCTCAATTAAAATTTTAAAACTGATAAAAAGAACATTCTGGAATGGCTTATAGATGGCCTAGATTGTATGGATAGAATAATAAAATTCATAACTGTCGTTTGGAATACCCTCCGTTAAATATTTCGAGGTTGCATGATTAGAAAACACATTTCGACTGTCACTTTCATGATCTGGTTAGCGACGCTCTGATTGGTTGGATGAAAGGCCGTTCTGACGTGACCCTTAATCGGATGCCCTCAGATGTTTGTTTGGCGGAAGCGAAAACTAAGATCTGATTTTAATGAGATTGGTTATAAGCTTATGAAATTACTATTAGTAATCAAAAGAAATCCATCTTAATTTGCAGTTATATGTATTAAAAAGGCTTCAGAAACACACAGAGTGAGAAAATAAGCACATGACATGAAGTTTTCAATGTTTACTGCAGTTCTATGCTGCTATGTTAAAGGCCCTTGGCCCAAGACTGTGGCAATAGAGGACACTAGGACCTATGTTAAAATCACACATCTAATAAACTGTTGGTTCCCTCTCAAGAATCAAAACAAAAGATGTAAATAAGCCATTTAAGCATAATATCAAATCAATCAGTGTTATACCCAAACCAAAATATTTACACAACCATTGTTTAAAAAGTGCAAGTGAGAATAAAATACAAAGTAAGCATTTAGCAAAGGTAGCAATGTCACATTTCCCCATTTTAAATAAAATTTCCAATAAAGAAAATAATCAATCTCAGAAATAAAGATAATGTTTTTTCAAACATCAGCATTTAGACAGACATGCGTAAAACATGTTTATCAATCTAGTGAAACGTTTAGACTTAACCCTGACAGGATACTTAAAGGGAGAGTACTCTGGTAGACTCAGGTAAATTAGGAGTCCCAGCAAATATGATTGTTTATTTGTGGCTAAAATCTTAAGATGGATATCAACCTAGCAGTTGATTAAGGCCCTAATTAATCAAAGACAATGGGTCAGTTTGACAGAGGTCACTAATTGTAATGTCTACACCAAGACCAAGATGGACATTGGACCTACAGTTCTAATTTTACTTTATGTGTGTATTCTGTTACTGTAAAGGTGAGTATTCTGTTACTGTAAAGGTGAGTATTCTGTTACTGTAAAGGTGAGTGTTATGTTACTGTAAAGGTGAGTGTTCTGTTACTGTAAAGGTGAGTGTTCTGTTACTGTAAAGGTGAGTATTCTGTTACTGTAAAGGTGAGTGTTATGTTACTGTAAAGGTGAGTGTTCTTTTACTGTAAAGGTGAGTATTCTGTAACTGTAAAGGTGAGTGTTATGTTACTGTAAAGGTGAGTGTTATGTTACTGTAAAGGTGAGTGTTCTGTACTGTAAAGGTGAGTGTTCTGTTACTGTAAAGGTGAGTATTCTGTTACTGTAAAGGTAAGTGTTATGTTACTGTAAAGGTGAGTGTTCTGTTACTGTAAAGGTGAGTGTTATGTTACTGTAAAGGTGAGTGTCATGGTGAGTATTCTCTGTAATTTTATATGTGTTTTTCTGTTACTGTAAAGGTGAGTATTCTCTGTTATTTTTTTTTGTATTTTTGTTTTGTTTTGTATAGTAAGTGAGTGTATTGCTATCCGAGGCCATAATATTTATACCACTAATATCAATCTTACCATTAATATCAATCTGCTTAACAACACCTTCTGAAACTCATTAAATAATTTTACTTGTGTTTTCTAAAATTGTCTCTATATCTCTTCTTACTTGCACAAGTCACTACCCTGGGTCTTATCGGAAACAGGACTGAGAAATACAATTTTAATTACTAAAAAAAAGTTGGTGTATTCCTGGAATGGTAGATCTACTGTCATACAGGTATATTGTATTCTGAGAGACGTGTATTGTGTAAAAGTACCAAGATACATACATGCGGTTATCTCCCATTAGTCACACGTCCCATTTGTCACACACCTCAAAATTCCCAGTTGTCACACAGCCTGGGGGGATGCAAGGAGGGGATTAATTAAGACAACACCTACCAAGTAATGGACCAGTCCTAACTGGAGTACCATTCACAGGATTACCACAGAGACCAAGGTATACATACTGATTGCCATAAAGTCTGCAAAGGAAAATGTACAACAGTCGGAGACTTTGTACGGAATATCACAGACTACACCCATCCCCGTGAAGATGCCGAATGTCTAAAGTTTGTGAGCATCTTGAGGAAGAGGGGCCCTACAAAGAAGCAATGGATACAGCGAGCTGCGGCACTGCCACACCTCCCTCTTGGACAAGTACAAGACACTTGGTTTGACGCCATGGATGAGACACTTTAAGTTCCGAATCTTATATACGAGTCAAAGTATAGCCTTTATGATATATGTATCCATTCTCTGTCAACTAAAGTTCGTTTCAAGGCACCAATAGTAGTAATCTGTTGGTTGCTGTTAATAATGGTGAATTGTGCGATCTTCTGATTGTTTCACACACGATTTTGCCGAAATTAATTAAAACAATATTAAAAGGAATTTTGAATAAAATTAATGAAATCAGTTACAATCATAGTCAAGATATACAATGAACACTTTTTATAACCTGACAGTGTAATTACAAGATTACATTGTGTACTCCAGTATGGATTTGTTGACATGTTATTTCGGGTGTTTCGTGCTCACGGTAATGTCTTTGCGTTGAGGGAAAAAACATCAAAACTCATTATGGCGTGTATAATGAGCACCCCCTTCTACACATCTGTGTTTTTTGGAAAAAAAAAGTGCACACTATACTCAAGAAAATATGGTATATCTTTATATAAGTACATAAAATACAAGATTACTTTTCTACTTTTCTTGAATCACTCCATTCTAATACTTAGGTAACACAGGGTAGACCAGTCAGTGCCTTCAGCCAGAACCTACGTTGTGTTAAGGTGTGTGACAAACGGGACATGTAATTAACTGGAGGATACCTCATTTCAAGGTAAGTGGATCAAGGCTACTGTGGTAGACATTACTGATTAGTCAAATGGCTATCTCATATATTAATTTGATGACATCATTTACAACTGGATGTGTTAGGAATCTTTGCTGCAACATTTTCTTCCTAAGATTATGACAGCCTCTGTATCTATCTTCTCGTAATCCGCTATGATGTAACCGAGAAGGGTTTAGTACTATCAGAGTGGTGACGGAAGAAACAGAAGACATACAGTACTCTCTGAAACTAAAACACCCAAATGAAGAGAGTTGAAAGTTACATGTAAAACTCCAACCATTTCCATTACCTTCTGTAATTTTCTCAGTCGCTTCATTAAATAAACAATGAATTAATATTATTATATATCAACATACAAAATATATGCATTAATATGAAAATAATGTATGTGTTTTTTGTTTAACACTGCACTTAGCAATATTCCAGCTATATGATGACAGCCTGTAAATAATCTTGTTTGGACCAGACAATCCAGTGATTGATATTGTGAGCAGTGACCAACGCCATCAGGGCACAATGACACGCTATCAATCTGACCACTCAATCAATTAGGTTGCCTCTTACAGGCAGCATAGGTTTCTGGGGACCATTTCTATTGGAACCCCACTGATGAAAATAACGAAAAGTGATAAACATGCACTGACATTTCTTCAAACTGTCGCTCGCTATTCATCAATGATAATGTCAACAATGTTCAATGGTCACAATCATCATCATAATTGAAAATGTCATTGATCATATAGAGGGTGGGGCTAGTTATTTCATCCATGGCTGTAAGAAAGAGACAAAATACATCAAATACCAAATCCTCTTTCAATCAATTTACTGCCGACAAAATACTACATTTGGTTTTCAAAAGAAGGGGTCCAGGCCCCCTGGATCCACCCTCTGGATCCACCCCCTGGATCCACCCTCTGGATCCACCCCCTGGATCCACCCTCTGGATACGCCTATGCTAAAAATGCATTTATCAATTTTCTTCATTTACAAGTTAATCAACCTGCAAAGGTGAAAAAAACAAAATAATTTTAAAAATCTGTATTTCGTATCCTTGTTTTTGGCATATTGATGTGGTGGAAAAAGATAAAGAATGAAAATGTCTTAATCTTTATATAAATGCCCATTTTCTTCATGACCCTCCTAAACTTGTGCACCATTTTCAGATGCCGCTGTCCATGAACAGCTCATGATTGGTGACAATCACGACAACACTTATGAAATGTTGACAACAAATTGATGACAATAACAAACATGATGATAAATAGGACAAAAAAGATGACAATGACAAACATGACACATATGGCATTTCATACATTATTTCATAGGTAACACTACAATATGACAACTAGATAGCAACAACTGCATAAAATGTTTACAGCCTAATGTTGCATGTGAGTTTACCTTAAGCAGTAATGATGTGACCTCTTGATCTGAAAATATTTCCCACACTCCGTTAGTGGCGAAGACCAAAAACTGGGCGTACTGGTCAATAGGCACGCAGGTAGTGTATGGCTCCACCTGTAGGCATTTCTTCAGACTGAGATCACCATGGTTACCTAGCCCACGGGTGGTTGCCACGACGCCATTCACCTGGCATTCACGGGAACTTTCACTGAGGGTACCTCCTGCAAACACCAACATAATGTCATGACAATGATTTGTGATTTTATTGTCCTCCTTTCTGTTTCCTCACTTGATATCCATCTTCCCGAGGCAAGGGAGTTAACTGACCATAAAAAGTCCAGTTACCACCCTTGGTGAACTAGGCTGGAATTCTGGAGTGACATTTTGACTTGACAAACAAGGCTGTGCATAGTCCAATCAAAATCGCAATACGAACTAGACATCCGGTTTGTAAACGACATGGATTTCAAAGTGCAGATGATGGTCAACTGCAGGATTTGCAAAGCATGTGTACCGTCAATACGGGCGTCAACAGATATTTTCCAAATCTTTTCATATTTTTAATCAAGGTGCTCAGGTGATTTGATGCACTTTGCGAGTTAAGACCAATTTTATTACAATATTGATCTTGATTATCGATCAGATCGTCTTGATTGGGTGCCGCCATTTTGTTTGAAGCAAACGCATGGGATCTGAGAGATGGGTTCTGATTGGTCAATATTAGGGACATAGAAGGGATATAACTCATTATGGCCACTGGTGGTGCTACGATTGAGCCTGGAAATTCCAGCCTAATTTGGCAAGGATGGAAACTGGAGTTTTATAGTCACTTAACACCCATGCCTTGTGAAGATGCTTATTATCCAACAGAGAGATTATTATAATGAATATCTCAACACTAACATTTACGAAAATTGGAGTTAATTTCATTTTATAAAATTTATTTTAACATAGGGAGGCAGAGTTGTCTCCCTTATATGTTTTGCTGTTTGGTTCAGGATAGTTAAGAGGAACAATTACCACCCATTCCCAATGGGGGTGCTTTCACATGTTTCCTGTTGCGTTATCATCACAGTCATACACAAATATGAAATATTGTGTTTTACAGAGTTAAGATGGCAGAAGTAACAAAAATTGAAGAACGGAAGAAAACTGTACAACCAGTATCCTTGAGGGTTTGTGCTCAACTGGGACACCATTTTCCTGCATATTATCTATGTGTCTCATTTAAAGGTCTCAGATAATACAAACTGAGATTTCAAATCAGTTATTAAGGTATTTATATTAATGTCTATATTTGCACCTACCATTTTTGAGAACGCGGTTCCGTTCCTTTGGATTGCTAGGTGTGTGGTCCTTCGTTAACCTGTACGGCCTGTTTCCTCGCACCAGTAATCCATGGATATTACCTGAAAAGAAACGGAATATCAACAATAAGAGTGAGTGAGTGAGTTTGGTTTAATGCCACTTTGAACAGTATTCCTGTTTTATCACGGTGTCTCAGCCTAATGAGGGAGGAAAGCCCGAAGTGATGCAGGTCTCAGACGTTTACCACTTCGGTGAAACCCACGAGCATTGGTATGGTGCTGACAAACCTAGAAACATGATCGGGGCGAACCAGGATTCAAACCCACAATCATAGGTTTCTGGCGTGCCCAAGGGATGCAACTCTGCACAGCGAATCGCGGCACCTGAGACAACTGGGCCACCCATGCCCCACTCATGTGGCCTGAAGAGATGCAGGTCTCAGATGTTTTTTACCACTTTGGCGAAACCCACGAGCTTGAGTATGGTGCTGACAAACCTAGAAACATAATCAGGCCTAACCAGGATTCCAATCCACAATCATAGGTTTCTGGCATGCTTAAGGGACGCAACTCTGCAAAGCGAACACTATCAATATCTCAATGATAAAAAATTTAGCAGTAATTTAAACATTAAACCAACTGTGTTAGTGAGTGAGTATGGTTTTACGCCGCTTTTAGCAATATTCCAGCAATATCACGGCTGGGGACACCAGAAATGGGCTTCACATATTGTACCCATGTCAGAAATTGAAACCCGTGTTTTCATCGTGATGATCGAACGCTTTAACCACTAGGCTACCCGACCACCACTTTTAACCAACTAAGGAATGTAATATAGGAACAACAAAGAATTATAATCGCAACAATCTGAGATTGAAAGAGGGAATTTTGACAACCTAGGGAGCCAACTCTGAACAGGTAGATGCAACACCTGAAGCATCTTCCTGAGGCAAGTGAGTTGATGGACTATAAAAGTCCAGTTTCCACCCTTGCCGAACTAGGCTCTTGCCTCGGGAAGATGCACCTGAAGGTAATGGAACAAATTAGAAGTAGACTGGTAAGCAATATTAACATTAAAAGCAGCTTAAAAATAGCGTAAATTTGACAAGTCAAATGATAATGAGATTAGAGATTTCTCACATGAGATCAAATGAAATGGTACTGGGAGAATGGTGAGAAATGAAAAGACTACCGGAAAGTGAAAAGATCACATGAATAAATTTCAGAGCTTAACACATTGTGTGCATACAGTGTTCCATATTTAGGATTAAAAAACCATGGGGACATGTATTGAAATACTATATGCAATGCAATATATAGTCAAACTCCATTATCTCAAACATAGCGAGACCGTGTTGTAACTTTGAGATATCCAGACAGTCGAAATAGCGAGGCACAAACATTCAGACACAATAGGTAACAGTATTAAAGATCCATAGCAATACGATTGTATACATGAGAAAGTAGGAACACAACACAACAAAATTCTACAGTAAAGTCAAAGTTGGGACCGAGACTAAAGTTCAAGACAGCACTATGTACTTTTGTCTGAGATACTGATAAGCAGGCAAATTTGTATACATTTGTATAATGAGGCTGTCAGGTTCTAAGCATAGGGTCAAGATATCAGTACATTCAAGATAAGGGGGCACGGGTGGCCGGAGTCATCTAAGGTGCAGCGATTCCCTGTGCAGAGTCGCGTCCCTTGTGCACGCCAGAAACCTATGATTGTGGGTTCGAATCCTGGTTCGCCCCGATTATGTTTCTAGGTTTGTCAACACCATACCCGTGCTCGTGGGTTTCACCGAAGTGGTAAACGTCTGAGACCTGCATCAATTCGGGCTTTCCTCCCACATTACGCTGACACGCCACGATATAACTGGAATACTGTTAAAAGCGGCGTTAAACCCAACTCACTCACTCACTCACATTCAAGATAATGGGGTTCAACTGTATAAGGCTAAAAAAAAAAATAGTCTTGGTTCTCAAGCACTGCTCCTATCATCATAAAGTTTTGTTTATATTTCCATTTTCCCAAAAAAATCTTTAAACATTCCTCATCTAAAACACACGACCCTGGCAGTGAAATGCTACAATATTTAAGAACAACATGATTTCACCAAAATTAGTGTAAACAGAACTTGGTTTACATACTAGCTTGAACAACAACAAAAAAAACCAAAAAAACTCCACCCGCCTACATAATATTTTCAAAAGCCATTTCCTGAGAACCAATTATTTTTTATTTTTTCAAGCCTAAGGTATGTATTACAAACCTGCATTAGCCAGATGAACTAGCCCCAGTTGTATTGCAGGGTCCACATTCCCTCCTTCTTCCCCATCCTTCCCAGGAGAACTCTCCGACCCCTTGGAACTGTCCCCAGGCTCTGTAGCATGTACAATGGCAGTAAGAGCAGAACATCCACTCCAGCGAACCTTGGAACATTCATCCTTCCCATAAGATAACAAGATGTCCAGCAGGTGATATGCCTTCTTGAAGGCACTGGATATTTTGGGTGAGAGGGGGTGCTTAGGTTTGGAAGACTTTTTCGTCTTTGTCTCATCATCAACTTCTGGCAGCTTTCTCTTGTCCTTCATCAGTAGGTCATATTTAGCCTCACACAGAGCAATGATCTGCTGAACGATGTCCATACTCTCTTGGTGGAGCAGAACTCGCTCACTGTCCTTTGTGTCCGGTCGGTCAAACTTGTAGTGGGAGATGTCTGTCACGTCTGCAAGGTTGTGGGCTGAAGTGGACTTTGTTTTGGGGTCAAATTTGGCCATCTCATTAAGCAGAAGTCTGTGAAGCTCTGATGCTGCTACTTCTGCAGCAAAACGACCATGGTGGCCATCAAAAAGAGCAAGGTAACATTTGTCGCGATCATCGCCAAAATAATCTTGAAAGACCCTAGTATCCTCCATGACACTTTTCCATCTTTCATTCTGGCTTGAACACAAGCCTACAGCTAGAGTACACGATGGGCTGCAGTTCAAGGACACTCCATTTACATGTGTGTTAATGTTCTGTCGAATCTGTCGACACATGTCATACGTATCTTCGATATCAGACTTCAGACGTTCATAGGCGTCATTGATCAATTTTATGGCTTTCGGGTCAATAGGATTTGTCTCTGTGGCGTCACTCTTCATTCTGCGGAGGATGGCGTTTCTCCGCTTGAGGAGCGCCTCAGCATTGTCTGGCAGGGTGGAACACTTGAACTTCATCAAGGCGAGGGCGTTGTGGAAGCTACGGTGGTCAACTAGGGTCCGGATGTCGATGAAGATGCCACACTTGTCACACCTCACAGTAATGTCAGGCTTGTTGGTGTACTCTGTCATCAGAGTGTCTGGGGTATCTGAAAACATCATCATCATCATCACAATCACAATCATCATCATCATCATCATCATCATCATCCCTGTTTCGGGGCAGTCAGGTAGCCTTGTGGTTAAAGAGTTCGCTCGTCACGCCGAAGATTCAGGTTCGATTCCAGACATGGATACAATGTGTGAAGCCCATTTCTGGTATCCCCCGCTGTGATATTGCTGGAATATTGCTAAGCGGCATAAAATCAAACTCACTCACTCATTCATCATTTTTTCGGGGCAGTAGGGTATCCTAGTGGTTGAAGCATTGGCTCATCACGCCAAAGACCCGGGTTCGATTCCCCACATATGTACAAAGTGTGAAGCCCATTTACCGGTGTCCCTTGCCGTCATATTGCTGGAATATTGCTAAAAGCGGCATAAACCCATACTCACTCACGCACTCATTTTACAGGTTATCTGAAAATCCTCATTATCATTATCATTATGATAACCATCAATATCAACGTATAAGCAATATATTTTGGTATGAAATCACTCAAATCAAGCTCAGTACCGGTCTGTAAGAACTACGCTCCTCCATCACTCATTTGGCTGCTATGGCGTGGTCATGCTGGTCTGTTATTAGTAATTTAAATGAAGCCAAAAGAAGTCATACCCTGTAGGTGAGGTGAAATGGGGTTTAACGTCGCGTCCAAGATTATTGCACTTATATAGCGATGTACATGCACGTGTGTGTGTGTGTGTGTGTGTGTCTGTGTGTGTGTGTGTGTGTGTGTGTGTGTTTGTGGCTGCTGATGCCGATTTATAGTGCTAGCTCACTGAGATACCATGCCGCAGTTTAACATGAATACCCCACTCAGACACAGTATACTGACTCCGAGCCAACCAGTCCTTGTTTTAGCCCCTTAATGCCGAGCGCCAGACAGGGCAACAAGTACCATCTTTTAATGTCTTTTTGTATGAAGCGGCCGGGGATCGAACTCCGGACCTTTCGCTCTCCGAGCAGATGCTCTACCACTAGACCACGAAGGCGGTTTCATACCCTGTAACCTATAAGTTGTTTTTCAATCATTTATTGCTCAATTATACCATTTTTAGTGCTATTGTCATTGTATACTGATACATGCCTTGTTACATTGCATGTTAACCTGTATGTGTGTCTGTATTTATAGTACATACATGTATATCTTTGAGCCTTTCGGAAAGGTAAACCAAATTCGGGTTATAAAATATCATCTTATCTTTTCTATCTTCTGTGCCAGTCAATGAACAAAGTCAAATCAGCCCTATTTAAAAGCTGTAAACATCAAATGCGTTCAATGAATGAGATGTATATTAGCCAGGATTCAGGGCTTGAAGGCCCTGGTCAGGTCCAGGGCGAAGCATTGGTTCGACAAGGGAGTTACCACACTTGCCAAACTAGTCTGGAATTTCATGGCTCAATTGTAGCGCCACCAGTATCTATTACGAGTTATGTCCCTTTTATATCCCTCCTATTTACCAATCAGATCTCACTTCTCATATCACTTGCATTTGCTTCAAACAAAATGGCGGTGCCCAGTCACAAGGATCTGATTGATAATCAAGATCTTAACTGTAATAAAACGGGTCTTATCTCGCGAAGGGAATCATATCACTTGAGCACGTTGATTAAAAAAATGAAAAGATTTGGCTAATATATGTCAACGCCCAGTTGAAGGTACACATGCTTAGCAAATCCTGCAGTCGACCGAAACCTGCACGTTGAAATCCATGTTGATTACGAACCAGATGTCTAGTTCTATGTGATGCATAGACTCGTTGGTGGAGCCAAAATATAACTCCGGTATTCCAGCCTAGTTTGGTAAGGGTGGAAACTGGACTTCTATAGTCAGTTAACTGCCTAGCATCAGGAACATGGTCAACACAAGTGTAAGCCCCATTGAGGAAATAGGGATGTTGTAAGAGGCAACCAAATTGATCAGGTGGTCAGTTTCGGCAACTTGGTTGATTACATGTCTTTGTACCCGTGAAAATCGTTGTTCATAATATCAACCACTGAATCAATCATTTACAGGCCGCCATCACATAGCTGAAATATTGCATAGTGCGGCGTTCAACAACAAACAAACAAACAAGACCGAATTACTCACGAAACTTCTTGTAATAGTAATACATCATCAGAGGCGTGAGGTTAGATTTGGATCGGCACTGACTAGGGCTTCGTTTGAACCCTGAACGTCGTGGCATTGTTATAGATTTTTCTTTTCTCGTCCAACAACTGTCTCCTGGTTTATTTCACAACACACTGACACTGAGCAGTAACTGTGAAACAACTATACCACCAGTTCTTTAATACCGTACTTCCTAAAAAATAGTACATTATGAAGTACGACAACTAAAACAGTTCATCATTTAAGAGCCATTATAAAAAACAAAATTGCCCACAGATAATCTTCTGATTTATAATATAGACATTTTTTTGTTTAGCCTGCATAAATATATAAGGAAATGTATGCATTCATAGTGTTTAGTAACTGAATTGAATATCGAGTTTATTACATGATATACGGTATAATATGATAGCTTAATCTGATGATATGTCATCCATACTGGCCAACACAGAGAGCTAGATTTAGCAGATAGCACAGACAAAAGACACAGAGGGAAGTAAACCAGAAAACACTGGAACATGTATCACCTGGGATCAGAGCGATTCAAGGAACAATAGTTAATGCTGATTTTAGATTAAACAACAAACCATTTTAGAGATTACCTTATTGAAAAATATTCATTATATGATGACTTTAGCAACTATAAATAATTCATTAACTTCTGATAATAACACTGTATCATGACCTAGGTCATTTGAAATAACAGTGTATTGTCTCAGTCTCTAAGTCTTAGGCCCCCAAAAATATGTTTTATGTTTCTGTTCTTTTGGTTTTGTTTTTGGACGAGACTTCTTTTTTCCTTTTTTTCACAAGCTCATTTGCCTGATCCAACAACACAAAGAAAGACGTAGCTGTCTCTGGTACTTTGCGGGATTCAGGAAAGTTCAGTAGTCAAGACAAGTTGCACTTGACAGTCCAAAAAACCCTTTATCATACTCCTAACCCCACCCTAAACACACACAACCTGTTCAAACACGAACAGCATTGTGTGTCATGTGCAGTTGTACTTCCATTTTGGGGAAAGCATGTAAGAGTTGCCTGCTCTTGGTTAAAAATTAAAAAAATAATAGATGCAGGGGATGAAAGTAATGCGAGGAGGACATAACCAAAAGACCAGAAACATTAAACATATTTTGGGGGGGCTAAGACTTAGAGATTAAGACAATACACTGTTAATTCACAAGAGTCGTCCAACACCAAAACCCAAAGACCAGGAGCATACATGCAATTTTTCTGATTGAATTGTTTTAATCATCAGTTAATATTTACCAGAAAAAGAGTTGTATGGATACACCACTCTTTTTACCATATTTTCTTGAGTATAGTGCGCACTTTTTTCCTAAAAAACACAGCTGTGTGAAAGGGGGTGTGCATTATACATGCCATAATGAGTTTTGATGGTTTTTTCCCCCAACGCAAAGATATTACCATGAGCATGTACCACCGGAAATACCATGTCAACAAATCCATACTGAAGTACGCAAATTAATCATGTACACTGTCTGGCTATAAAAAGTGTTCTTTGTATATCTGGACTTATGTTTGTAACTTATTTAATACATTTTATTAAAAATTCCTTTTAATATTATTTTAATTAATTTCGGCAAAATCGTGTGTGAAGCGATCGGAAGATCGCACAACTCACCGTTATTAACAGCAACCACGGTCAGATTACGGCTACTGACGCCTTGAAAAGAACGTTAGTTGACAGAGAATGGATACATAAATTCTTGAGTATAGTATGCACTTTAGCATAGCTAGTAGCTTGCATAATATTTGATAGTTGCAATGACCAGTTGGATTAAACATGATTTGTATTTGTAAGTCCCAGGTACACGTGACAAAAAAAACCTGCACCAGTAAATGGGTGCAGAAATGCTTTAAAGAACAGAAAAAAACCTTCCTCATTAAGAAACACAAAAGTGATTGTCACATCAAACCTGTTCTCATGACGTTTTGTCCCTTAAACAATTCTGTGGCATATTTTGATGCCAGAATGTGGTGTAATTGTGACTCATTGTGCGCCTCCTTCTTCCCCGCATCCTTGCTGTCACCCTTCCCTCCCTCCTTCCCTCCCGTGGGGGTACCAGAGAGGGCGTCTTTCTCCAAGTTCTTCATCAAAATGCTTAGATAGGATCTCTTTTCTGAAGTTGTTGGGCTGGGATTTCTGTGTTGTGGTGTGTAAACTGGAAACTGGAAACAAAATCAACACAATAAAATAATTTTGTTAATAATATAGACACATAAATAAAAACAAGCAAGTAATAAATCATGAAACAAATTGATTCATGGTCAGATGAAGGAAAGAAAAAACAAATTGGCTGGAGTGAGTGAGTTGGGTATAACACCGCTTTGAACAGTATTCCAATTATAGCTTAATTTTGTGGTAGGAAGCCCAAAGCTAGGTTTCAGACGTCTAAATTACAACACATGAACAGGTATGGTGCTGACATGCCTAGAAACATAACATAGTGGTTGGAAGAGGAAAGAAAAATATGAATGAATGAATGAATGAATACTACATTGATAATGATAATAATTTATTAATATTTCCAATATCAATTCAAATTATTTGAACTTGCATTTTGTCCATATAACATCCAACGAGAATTTTCGAATATACAACAGATAAATCTACACTATATAGCAGGCACATATTTAGATATAAAACGTATAAATTAATCTTATTCTCACAATAAATGGGAACACTTAAGAGAAACTATACGCCCTAATCCCTGTAACAAAGGACACTACCCTTAAGCAGAGCTTGAGATAATCTCGTGTCGCTCAAACCCGAATTGCTAGAGCCGAAACATAATCTTCCCCACTTGCGTTACAACACACACAATCTTAGGATCAGTCATCTTAAGTATTTACTTCATTCCTGCTAGGGAATCTCTATTCTTGATGTTTGATCAAATTTCAACATGTAATCTATCACGACATCGACATATCGCATTCAATGGTGTCACCTTCAATATTATCTGTAACGAGGCATTGTTAACTAACCTGCGATATTGACAGCCTTACCGGGCTGTTCGGTGCTATGTACACGTCGACCTGTGACATCGTAACCAGGAGAACTGTAAACAATCTACCGGAAGTCTGGCTGTTCCGTTCTCCTCCCTGGTAATCGAAATAATGCGCGTACGCCCTTGTTTCTGCCTCAATTTGCTTATATTTTATTGATTGACTATATATTTTAATTCTATCCAACGAAATGTACATATTCTCTGAAATAATTAGACATAAGATCTTGTGTTTGTTTATTGAAATATATAGAGGTGGTTGATAAATCTCTTTTAAACGAAGTTATCCCCCTTTGCAATCTATTCATATTGGAAAACTCTTATGTACCAAATGAGAAGGAAATTGCGAATTGATTTTGGAAATTATTGAAAGTGTACGTTATGTTCCTTTTTTCTATCTTGTCGGAGGCATTCCGTTGGCAGATTATTGACATGCATGGCACAGGTATGTCCTACAGAGCCACTGGACGTACCATCCAAATGACAGAAATAATGAGTTGTTATCCATAAATTGTCTGTACGGTGTTCAGTGTCTGCAAGACTTCAAAAGTTGTGTTTTTGGAACATAATAACTTTGCACGAGTCACTGTTAATGGTTTATAGATATCTAGTAATATACATGGAAGTAATATGTGAACCAGGGTCATCGGCGTCACGAGCAATAGGCTACCCTACCGCCCGTTTTCTAATTGAACTAACAACGCTTTTTTTACAGTGAATCACCGATATTACGTATTGCCATTAAAATTCTAAATATTAACTAATCATGAGTAGGGTGTCATGTCCATTGATCGATTTGCAACATAGTGAGTGAGTGAGTGAGTTGGGCCTAACGCCGCATTTAACAATATCCCAGTTATATCACGGCGTGTCAGGAGGAAAGCCCGAGTGATGCAGGTCTCAGACGTTTACCACTTCGGTGAAACCCACGAGCACGGGTATGGTGCTGACAAACCTAGAAACATAATCGGGGCGAACTGGGATTCGAACCAATAATCATAGGTTTCTTTTGTGCCCAAGGGACGCAACTCTGCACAGCGAATCGCGGCGCCTTCGACGACTGGGCCACCCGTGCCCCGATTTGAAACATAGAGTCCATCTTCGTACACAAGACCCGATGGATCACTATTTATTTGTTCGGTAGTCACAAAGACCGTCCGAGTTTACAGCCTGGAAAATACTTTGAATTCGTTGTAATCCTTTCTTGCTTATCCTAGCCGCGATATGGCCACAAATCACAAACAGCAACATGATTAATGTTCACAACCATCACACTCTCTCCCTATTCTGTAACCAGTCGGGGCGGTCGGGTAGCCTAGTGGTTAAAGCGTTCGGTCGTCACGCCGAAGACCCGGGTTCGATTCCCGACATGGGTACAATGTGTAAAGCCCATTTCTGGTGTCCCCCGCCGTGATATTGCTTGAATATTGCTAAAAGCGGCGTAAAACCATACTCACTCCACTCCACTCACTGTAACCAGTCCTAGCCACCATGTAAGAAGATGAAGGTGACGTCATGTTCGTAAGAAGAATATTATAAAAAAAGAAGATACTACAGATTGATGTGTTTTGTTTATTTTTCCCTGAGATAATACAATGTTAATATCAACATCAAATCACAGTTAAAAGTATTGTGCATCCTGCTATGTAGCCTCTACATGCATTCGCTATATTATAATCACGATTCGGATACAAAGTTCGTTCAGTTCGTGTCACGATAAATAATGAAATCCACCTATGATATTATCAGAGAATAACCAGCGAATTACGTATTATCTGTCCCTGGTGAATAAATGGGGTTAATCCCGAGCCCTTGAGGGACAGATATTTCGTAATTCCGAGTTTCGAGTAGCTTATTCTGAATATTACTCTTGGTGGCGTTAAACACAACTGACACAGTCATTAGATAATACCGATACTGTATTTGAATTTCTGAACCTGTACAATATGTCATATATGTCTCATTGTGCAGACATTAAGATTCTCTGTTAATGTTACTGATTCGTAACAGTCACTGATCATGTATAAATATGCAAGGAAACAATATCACTACCTTGGCAGGTTATTAACTGATCTGCACGTTTAAAACATTGTTTAATGTTTACTTTGGAAGACCAGTAGTCCCTGACCACGTGGACTGGTATAAATTATGTATGATGTGAATACATCTCTAGCGTACTCAAGGGACGCAACTCTACACAGCGGCGCCTCAGACGACTGGGCCACCCGTACCTCCTACTCGACTCGAGGATGTTGTTGATGTTGTCATGTTAGAACTCAATTGTATGTTTTCTTCTTTTCTTATCACACCGTCCTGTTTGTTTGTTATACATGTGTATGAGTAGGCCCATTTCCGGTGGAACCCTGGGGCTTTATGTCTGAGGAGATATATCTGGTTCATTGTGCGCATGCGTGTTTCAAATGAACCATCCAAGATGGCTGCATCTTGGTCCAGGAACATGGCAATCTCATTCAATCAGATCTTGGTTCCCGCTGCCGTAGGCGAAAAATAAGATCTGATTTTAAATAGATTTGAACAATGATAACATGAATAAATAGTGTAAGATATGGATACAAGCGTTTGAAAGTAAATATGTATAAAACACTGCGATGAAGATGACTTATTCCAATTTCCTTTTTTAACAATCCAAATAAATCAAGAAATGAGAGGACGGAGGATCAATTTTCCTTATTTCCATACACATGTCTTTTGACATCTAATATGTTAACACGAGTCGATAAACGTATGAACTCCGAGGCTTGCTAACTAGATACAGTGGCAAAGCGATAAGTGATGTCATTTGACCGTGACGTCATGGTAACCCATGGCATCACGGGCGTCATGGTAACAATTTGCAAATTGTTGTGATGCAATTATTGTAGCGACATCTCCCATGAGATATCGCTTGATCTCACCCCAATGATGTCTCCGGTGCAAGCCAGTTTTGTATGATAGAGAATCTCACCCAGGTGTCTCTTGCACGCTTTAAAACTTTTATTGACGAGTATTGATATATTTTATTTCAAAAGACACAAGGGTGAGATTCGTTTTAAATCATTCTTCCAACTTTTCCATTTTGTCTTGAGTGTAAAAGGTTATGCTAACCAATTTCAGTTGCTGAGAGATTAGTGACGTCATTTGATTGTGACGTCTTGGTAACCGATGACATCACAATTGTTTGCACAGCATTCAGATGCATTTTCATTGCAGCGATATCTTCTATGGAGGCCAGTTTAGGTTGATAAATATAATGATTCTTTTGGACGCCTTGTAGACTTGGATGATCTCTCTGAAAACAACAACAACCAGAATACACAATGTCAGTTTCTTTAACTAACGGTCGTGCAAGTTAATTAATCATAGGTTCGCGTCACAGTGTGAGCTATTTATTAATATATGCATGTAAGGTTGTCTCAATAAAATCAAGAATTGATAAAATCAAATAAATTCTGCTAATTCAATACCAATCCAAAGTAGTGTTCTTCACGTCATTGAACTTTTTCACAAGTACATTTTGTTGAAAAAAGTATCTGTCATCACATATTTTGTAACGATTACACCAATATTTTATCATTTAATTGATAACCATTACATAGATTTAGATAGAAAAGATTTAAAGAAATATTACCAATTTTATGAATATTGAAATCTTAAAGTTTTTTTATGATATTTAAATTTGAACCTACCTACAATCTCAGTTGCGGCCGATTGATTGTATACTGGAAGAAAACATTCTGATGCATGAGTAATATATACTTTGGTTACTTCGTCATATAATCATTAGCTGTACTTTCAATTATACCAGGAGGTTTTCTCAATGTAGCTCACGGTAGATGGTGAGTGAGTGAGTGAGTGAGTGAAAAATAGAACCATATAAGTGAGTGTGCTGGGTTTAACGCCGCTTTTAACAGTATTCCAGTTATATCACGGCGTGTCAGCTCAATGTGGGAGGAAAGCCCCAAGTGATGCAGGTCTCAGACGTTTACCACTTCGGTGAAACCCATGACCACGAGCACGGGTGTGGTGCTGACAAACCTAGAAACATAATCGGGGAGAACCGGGATTCGAACCAACAATCATAGGTTTCTGGCGTGCCTTAGACGACTGGGCCACCCATGACCCCGGTAGTTGGAGAGGTGAGGTGATGTTAAATGGTGTATAACAAAACAAAACGATTCATCTGTAAATAGGAAGTCAGTCCAAAATTCAAGATGATGGCATTCCTAAAGACACACAAAAATATAAATGTCCCTACATTTGAAGTTAGAGGGCTAATTTCAACATTCTTGCACTTAAATAGCGACATGCATGCACTTGATTGTGTGTACGCGCGCGTGTGTGTATGGCTGCTCGTACTGGTCCGGACCAATGCCGGTTCTATAGCGCTAGCTCACGGAGACAACATGCCGCAGTTTATCACAGACGTTCACGAATGGTAGAGATACTGGTCATGGTAGACTATCTGGACAGGATCGGAGAATACGCCTTCATCACTGAGGGGCAGGTTTAAGTCTGCTTCATAACTCAACACAGAGTTCAGGGCTGTCACCAATAATGTGTTATCAGCGCCACTATTAGGAACTACTTAAAAGAAGCTGCTCTTCGATGTCACCGCACCCTGAACAGAATTACCCAACAGCTAAACACAGGCGTTTCAGAGTGAGTGAGTTAGTATTGTTTTACGCCGCTTTGAGAAATATTCCAGCAATATCACGACGAGGGACACCAGAAATGGGCTTCACACATTGTACCCATGTCGGGAATCGAAAGCGGGTCTTCGGCATGGGTTGCTGCAGATCAGTTCTAATCAGAACATTCACGGGTGCAGGGCGTATGCATACGTTTTAAGATTTTATGGGGCTAGCTGGCGACATAGTCGCCTCAACTCACTGGTATAAGAAACAAGTAAAGAAATATAAAGGCAAATTTAAAACCAAAGATATATGTTAAATAATTGCATTTTACAGGTTTACGGTTTGCAGAAAAGAGTACTCGGCAATTACTTTACTTGAGGATTGGAGGTCAGGCATGGTTCATTTTCGACTCGATCCAAAGTTAATCCCCAACTTAAGACCCACGTTCACATAGTGAACGTGTCACTGGCCAATCCGTATAATATTTATTCTTACTTACATCAACTTCTGTGTCTATGTGATCTAGCCGTGGCACAAAGTCTGGGAACTGTTCATCAATCTCATTGGCTCCCCACACCGAGCCTGTACGACCTTCTGAGCGATGCAACTTATAACTCGGCGTCGCACCAGGGCTCGCGGTACTTGCGAAAAACGAGGGCTGGAAAAATAAATCTCAATTTAGTGTAAACATTCATGGTATACTGCGATACCACAACGATTAGATAATTATTAAATGACAAAATGTATTATTCGTAATAAACAGGGGCCAAATGATATATACTGAGTTGTTTGAAATTGAAAGAACCGTTGTTAAATTTGATTATCTAGATTTTTGTAGTTATATAGCGACGTGCATGCACGTGTGTGTCTGTGTGTATCTGTGTGTGTGTCTGATTGTCCGGACTAATGCTGGGTTTATAGCGCTGGTCCTCTGATAAACCATGACGCAGTTTAAAATGAATACCCCACTGAGACACAGTACACTGACTCCGAGCCGACCAGTCCTTGTTTTAGCCCCTTAATGCCGAGCGCCAGACAGGGCAACAACAAGTACCATCTTTTAACGTATTTTGGTACGACGCGGATCGAACCACGGACCTTCCGCTCTCCGGGCGGACGCGCTACCACTTGACCACGGAGGCGGTCGTAAAAGGTGTTATGTGGCTGGATAATGTTGTGTAAGGATTGGTTAATGAAGACAGGGATAAGAAATCTGTTTGCAACCACATGACCCCTACTATGTTGGAAATGACTACAAAAACAAATTTATTGATTTTCAAAGATACGATGTTTAAGATACCCATTAGCAGTTGTGTATTATGCGATTTTTTATTTAAATTTTTCAATAAAATTATATTTAATATTTATGTTTTTGGACATATTACCGCTAAATTAAGATATTCAAACATATCAAACATATGATACAATCAACTGAGAAGTCTGGTTTCTCTTTCTGCTTAGTTTCTATGACAATTAATATGTATACGTGATTTTACGAATTGAATGGTCTTGTAGTGAATTTTATCATTACGCGTTCAGTCGCGACAAGACTTACTTTGGGGGAAATATGTGTGAGTGGAAATTAGGCTAGACCTTTTAGTTTATGGAGTTTTGACCCAAACATTTTCAATCTCATTAAAATCAGATCTTAGTTCTCGCCATCGCTTAACAAAGATCTGAGGACATCCGACTGGTCACGTCAGAACGACCTTTCGCGAACTTTTCAGGTCGGCAGGTCGAATTTTTTTTAAAAATAATTCTAATTTCTAATGTCTCATATTTATATATTTTTCTATTTCCCCAAAATGTTCAGCAGGCGAGACAAAGTGAAGAGAAATGCAAGCAAGAGAAATGAGGATAGAAACAAGTTTAGAGTCACCTCCCTTCCGATGGATCATGACATTTTCGTTGTGTTTTTTACGATTCATTTTCAGTGGGAATTAATTATTGCATTTAAAATAACCTATATTGATGAGACAGTAAATAATTAGTATTTTATAACATTTCACTTATTTCTGTTCAGCTGAATGAAAAAATGCTGCTTTTCATTTTAATTAGTTTCAATAATTAAAATTTTTGGAGTCGGAGACTCTTGCGACTTTGAATCTACGAGGATCAGTTGTCACGTGACAAGCAGGAGACAAGTTTTGAAGTGTTTCGACATAGAAGTAGTCATGTTTCCTATATAGATGTAACTTAATGCGCGACGGGCTTTGCAGAGCTTGGTAGAATTATGCAAGACACTCAATCTGAAGTATATCACACTGAAATACTGCCATTACCCTGAACTGTACTGATGGCAGTATAAACACGCTTGATTATAAACAAGAGTGAGTAAAACTTTTTAACAGTATTCCAGTTATATCACGGCGTGTCAGCTCAATGTGGGAGGTGATGCAGGTCTCAGACGTTTACCACTTCGGTGAAACCCACGAGCACGGGTATGGTGCTGACAAACCTAGAAACATAATCGCGGCGAACCGGGATTCGAATCCACAATCATAGGTTTCTGGCGTGCCCAAGGGACGCAACTCTGCACAGCGAATCGCGGTGCCTCAGACGACCCGTGTCCCCAGTATAAACAGGAGAAAAAGTCAGTACATGCAATGTAGCTTGTGAAGGTGGTGTGACACAAAGTGAGTGTGGTAAAAATTATACACACCATGAACATATTTCTTCCAAATCCTCTAGATGACCTCATTGTGTCCCAGCGCTGGTACACCCTCGTTTGTCGCTCGGACTCCGTGTACCCAGAATTCCCACTGTGGAGGAGTGTCAGTGATTTATTACATACTTGAAGAGATAAACATGTGTTTTAGATTTACGGGTATTATTGAGTATTCATTCAATGCCAGTACATGTCATGTCCAACTGCATGAGCCGAAAATCGAAATGTTAAATTTACGTGCATCGAGTCGGGAGAAAAACATGCTATGTTTTTAAAGTCCGACTATAATGACGTCAAATTGATTGACTTGAGTGATTGAGTTGGGTTTAACGCCTCTTTGAACAGTATTCCAGTTATATCACGGCGTGTCAGCTTAATGTGGGAGGAAAGCCCGAAGTGGTGCAGTGGTGCAGTGGTACATACAATCATAGGTGTCTGGCGTGCCCAAGCGACGCAACTCTGCACAGCGAATTGCGGTGCCTGAGACGCTTGGCCACTCGTGCCCTCTGATTGACTTCAGAACAAAGGGTTTTTGAAGAAATCTTTTCTTTCGATGTGACGTCGTCATGGTTGGCGATACTGTTGCCAGGCCATTATCAAGGCAGGGTTGTAACACGTCATGAGTTTCCACTGTTTTGGTTGCTCTTCATACAAATCATTTTCACATTTAACGTTGTATTCTTTGACCATGGTCCTATCATAATCTCATCGAGTCTGGACCAGATAATCCAGTGATTGATAGAATGAGCATCGATCTACGCAATTGGGATGCGATGACATGCATTAACCGGGTCAGCGAGCCAGAGCTCCCGATCCAGCTAGTCGCCTCTTACAAGCATAGGGGGCGGTCGGGTAGCCCAGTGGTTAAAGCGTTCGCTCGTCACGCTGAAGACCCGGGTTCGAATCCCGACATGGGTACAATGTGTGAAGCCCATTTCTGGTATCCCCCGCCGTGATATTGCTTGAATATTGCTAAAAGCGGCGAAAAACCAAACTCACTCACTCACTCACTCACTTACAAGCATAGTCGCCTCTCACGACAAGAATGGGTTGCTGAAGACCTATTCCACCCCGGATCTTCCCGGGTTGCCAGCAGGTTCTAATGCCAATTCAGATGGTGGTTAAACCTAAGTGAGTACTTATGTAGTAAACCTATGTAGTATGCCAGAAATATTCAGCTTTAGGCGCTGTCTTAAACATTTAGGCTTGAAACCAAAATGTTATCTTCACATTGAAAAGGATGAGACTTTTATAACAGTAAGGTCGCCATACCTGGAAATCTCTTTCGACCTCCTGTGCCTGCAATACATAATACCGAGAAACGTCACCAACAGAACCACGATAGCGCCTCCTACACCGCCAGATATTGCCAGCACCATCTCCCATCGCAACTCGGCCTCTGAACATTTATCACCAGAGTAGTTGTAGAAGTCGTCAGACTCGCACCTGCATAATTATGATAGCAAAATTTGATTTTCGTTCAGCGAAGTCGTGAGAGAACTTAAAGTGATTATTATGGTTCGTTAAAACTATTTGCTTCTTTTTTACGTGTCAATATAGCAAATAAATCGACCAAAATCAAAGTATACCAAAACATAAAATATGTATTAAACTAGGAACGAATATAAATTAATAACGTACTTGCACACGATGTCCCCTGAGATACCATGAACTGTGCAGATGCCATTTCCTCCACATGTTTCATTCGAACAATGGTGTTCACAAGTGCTCCCAACGCATTTGTACCCCCACGGACAAAATACATTTTCTGCGTTACATAAACTCAAGGTCGTTTCCGAAGCTGTAATACAAAGCAATTATATTTATCTTACTCTGGTACAGGATCGCCAGGGTAATCTAGGTCAGGAAAGCACCATAAAGGCAAAATACTTTTCGTATACAATTGGGCACTTTTCCTGACTATGTGGCAAAGTGTGCAGCAAACAATGTCCGCTAACGCGAATGATCAATATACATGTATTTGAAACAAACGTTTTTCGGCAATGTGGATTACGTTCTGTGAATGGTACATGGCTTTCTGATAACAAATAAACCGTTTAACAAAAGAAACGGCAACAATCAAAATTGTTTGTTCCTAAAACAGAACAGGACCAATGTTAAGGAAGATACTTGTATTATCAAACGACTCAACAACATCATTGATTATGCAAATTATGCCGCAAATGAGAACAAAAGTGATAGTACTGTGTTAGTTTGGAGGATGGGTCAGTTGTTCAGTAATCGATCAACGATCAAGACGGAAATCAGCACATGAAACTCCCTTTAATCCTTCAGAAAGTCACACTTGTCAGCCAATATCGTGTATGCCCACCACTGGCATCAAACGACGGTCAGAGGATGTGGGACGTCTAATCATAAGAAATGGAATCCGACGCCATTCTTCTCGGAGGGCCAAATGATATAACTGGTCGTGCTCTAAATTGAAGGACAATGTGAGTGAGTGAGTGAGTTAGGTTTAACGCCGCTTTTGACATTATTCCAGTTATATCACGGCGTGTCAGCTTAATGTGGGAGGAAAGCCCAAAGTGGTACAGGTCTAAGACGTTTACCACTTCGGTGAAACCCACGAGCACGGGTATGGTGCGGACAAACCAAGAAACATAATCGGGGAGAACCGGGATTCGAACCCACAATCATAGGTTTCTGGCGTGTCCAAGGGACGCAACTCTGCACAGCGAATCGCGGCGCCTTAGACGACTGGGCCACCCGTGCCCCCAAGGACAAGGTGACCCCACTTGACTTCCATGTATGGGGCCTTGTGTTATCTTGAGTTCTGAGCTTCTATCACAAGAACGGAAGTACAACAGGGCGGAGAACTCAATGTAATGCTGCCCAGTGATATTTCCGTCCAAAATCGGCCATAGACCGCACCCAAACCAAAACGATTCGACGTCATGACTTTCGTTCTCCTCGTCGGCGGTAGACTCGAACTCTTCTATCTCCTCTGAAAAGCTGGAATCTGCTCTCGTCTGTGAACTTGATTCGTTGAAAGTTTCGGTTCTGCCAGTGTCTTCGATGTTCCAGTGTTAGCGTAAGTTCTGATATTTAACGGAGTTTTCAGGACACTGTCAAGTGACTAACAGTTCGGCCAACGTCAGTCGCCGTTGAAAACCAATGGAGGACATGTAAGTAGCGGTTTCCTGGGTGATGGTGACAGAGTTCTGCCACCTGTTCCTAGGCTCGGGGGCGGTCGGGTAGCCTAGTGGTTAAAGCGTTCGCTCGTCACGCCGAAGACCCGGGTTCGATTCCCGACATGGGTACAATGTGTGAAGCCCATTTCTGGTGTCCCCCGCCGTGATACTGTTGGAATATTGCTAAAAGCGGCGTGAAACCATACTCACTCACTCACTCCTAGGCTCGTCTCCTGTCCGTCAGACTGCCTGTAACGGGCCATGAGCCTAGCGACTGTCACTCGGCTGCAGTCAAAACAAACAACCGTTTGCTTGCTCTTGTAGCAAATCTTGGTATGGTATTTGTCTCTGTCCAACGGTTTGGGTGTGAATGAAATGTACAGAGTACATTCTATGCCGTATCTTTGTTGGCATACGACATTTGCAGCAACGTGTTCACTTCAAACTGAATGTCCACTGATCTGGGTATCCTCAGAATATTTTGTTGTGTTTGGGCGATTGATTCTAAACCATTTTGTAACACTATTCAGTGTTAGATAACGTTTCTTTTGTTCGTCAGTTCGGTTCAATATTTTATAAGATATAGTACATTGTTGCACCGATGCTTATTTTACAGCTAGGGTCTACATGCAAAGGTACCACTACAATACCAACATCATACATCAGTTATGTCGAGACATTTGTGTTCGGCATTTTATGAGCTGAAGGTTGAGATGTGTACACGAATGTTCAGCTTGTAAATTCCCCATACACTCCGCAAATGACAACTAACGAATGCATAATGCCTTCATAAGTTACAAAGACATTTCTTCAGTGAATTATTTTGTGTATGGCAACATTATATATGTCTTGTGGGCGTCAACTGATAATTCTCAGTACGAAAAGCCTCAATTCTTTCATGAATTTAAAAATAACACGACCTTTTTGGTCAATAGGGGCCATCAAAACAAAATAATGATTGAAACAGACGATTTCTTTCACAAGAATATGATGACTTCTTACACAGTATTTGTTGGTAGGTATATTGTAATAACTATATGTACAATTACAGGTTCCTAAGGAGTGAGTGAGTATGGTTTTACGCCGCTTTTAGCAATATTCCAGCAATATCACGGCGGGGGACACCAGAAATGGGCCTCACACATTGTACCCATGTCGGGAATCGAACCCGGGTCTTCGGCGTGACGAGCGAACGCTTTAACCACTAGGCTACCCGACCGCCCCCGTTCCAAAGGCAGAGTTGCAGTCATGAAAATATAAGTGAAACTACATTTCAAAACACAGTTGATCTCCTAATTTTATACCGACTCTATAACTATTTGCCTTCATGATATTATCTGCACAGCCCTGTCATCGACGTGTACAGTATTTTACAATGCGTCGACTTGTCAATATGTCCAATACATTATACTCATAGCTAAAATGGATAGAATTATCATTTAAACGCCCGTATGTTATCAGAAACTGTAACTTGATAATGCCCTCATATTGCTTGACGACGGGCCATTATCACGCTCGTTGTTAGGTGACGTCAAAGGATAGGATAGGTGACGTCACGTTCAATAGTGACGTCATCTGGTTTGTTCTATGACGTTTCCATAATTGTTAAAGTGGGTCAATGACATTCGCGTTGATTGCAGTAAATGTTTCAAAACCGATATTGTTGTTTCTTTATATTTGATAACAAATTTTATCATTTAACTAAAGCATTTATCCATGACATAAGCTTATGACATAAAAACATGTATGTCATACCCCAATGACATAAGTATGCAAATTAGATATGCAAATTAGATAACCGGAAGTGGGACTTTTTTCGCCGGTGCAACATGGATACCTTTGATGTTGGAGACATTATTTCAATTATTCTGCAAAAGTCTGTTCAAGTATTTTGGTTTAAAATAATCCGAGGAACTTTTTTTCTCAGCGAAGGAATATGCCATAAAGGAGTTAGGAGGTTGTTTATTTTTGATTTACACGGCTATGGAAAACATGTATCACTACGCACGATCTATACGTAAGATTTCGACAAGTTGCTGATGTTAATGTTTAATGCAATTATTCCTTAATTGGGAAGCAAAAATGTGAAAATGATAAATAGAATTCATCACTCGTGTTTTTTAATATGGGAAATATCAACCTCGTCCCGTTAATCAGTATTTGCCTCGCCAAAGGCTCGGCAAATACCGATTAACTAAGACTCGGTTGATATTACCCATATTAAAAAACACTCGCGATGAATCCTCTATCTATCCGTTTTAGCTATAATAACGTTAAAGCTATTTTTCAGGGCCTTATCAGTTGCAGAAACCCTCGATCTTTTCAACTGCCCTCCTTCGTAGGGCAGTTAATGGAAGACCTCGCGCTTCTGTAAATGATAATGCCCTGAAAATTAGCGTTACCCTTATAATAACATCATTGATACGAGAACATGGCCTAAAACTGTTACACAAAGAAACTCATCAGAAATTAACGTTACACCGCCATACCTTCCGCTGCAGCCTCCTCCCAGGACCCAGTGTCATCTTGTACAGCGAAGACAGTGGATATATTGTTTACAGCTTGACATGCGTCCAAGAAAGCTGATTTGAACGCCTCATCGTCTTCTTTGTTTGCCTCTACCGCATTTGACCTGCATTCTGTCTCCACATTGACACTTCCCTGACTTGAAGAAAGACAACATTTTAGTATCATTCTTGTGCATAGTCAGTACCTGTATTTAGTTGAGAAAAATTCTGAATGTATAAATCTTTTTAAAAAAGTCTGCGTTTGATCTGCAACTATATAATTCATCTGCCATCTATATAATTCTATATTCAGCTGGACAACATTATTTGCTGTAAGCAGACAGACTAATGGTTGAACATTCACACTGTTCCTTTCGTCACATAATTAAAAGTGACAAAATCCTTTCCATATTTATAAGAAATCTCTGCAGAAAGCAGATTCGATTGTACGATTCAGACTACACAATGAACATCTGCTTATGAATCACTGTCAAATAGTGATGGTACCAAGTGTTCGCGAAAAGGTAAGCGTGTCCTGCTTACTTGAAAAATCACGGGAACATATAGTACAAGCCATAAAAGGGAATTGCATCGGACATCATTTTGGTCACTGATGCGTCAAATTTGGCAATGTCCCCCACATTTCTACTATAAAACCTTTTGAAATTTACTAAGGTCTTGAATGTTTGTTTGTTGTTTAACGCTACACTCAGCGATATTCCAGCTATATGACGGCGGTCTGTAAATAATCGAATCTGACACAGACAATCCAGTGACTGACATCATGAGCATCGATCTACGCAATTGGGATACGATGACATGCATCCGCCAAGTCAGCGAACCTGACCATTCAATCCCGTTAGTCGCCTCTTACAAGCATAGTCGCCTCTTTGGACAAGCGTGGGTTGCTGAAGCCATATTCTAACTTGGATCGTCACGGATCAAACAAGTTTTGAGCAAGACTCGTATGGCGCTCTTTGAAATCTTGGTAGAAAGAGTATGTTCGATTGCAGCGGAAAGGTTGAGAAATGTGAACACCAAAGGCTGGAGCTGCTAGGATAACCTCCTTTAAACGCACAGTAATACTGCACTAACCATGGTATGACAACACAGTGATCACCCATATTCACTTGTGTCATAGTTCGACAGTATGGGAAGGTATACCACTTAAACAACCTACTTCGTAGTTTTGTCTCTCGAAATAGATGTCCATTTTGGGTCAAATGTTTCATGACAACAAAGTAATCTCATTGAAATCAGATCTTTGACTTCAAATCGATGCCTCTCTCCGTCAAGATCAGACAAACCCTCCTTACAAGGTCACGTCAGATTAATCCTGAGTGAACTTTGACCAATAAAAAAGCATGCTTTGGCTCTTGAGCTTTCTAAAAACGATCCAGTTCTACCTCTGATGTAGTTACGAGTTTCGGCCTAAACAAACGAATGACAGAAATGTTATCTCGATGGCATATCGTTTTGGGGCTTTGATGCCTTGGCGCTCAGAATATAACCACAGTGTGTCCTTTTATATTCTGCATTAAGAACTGGCTGTTTTCAAGATCATTTTGCCTTTTTCGAATGCCTCGGGTCAAGACTCAAGTAGCCTCCTCTAGAACGTTTACCCAACGTCACATCCAGCGCCTTGACCGAGGTAGGTATGGAATAGTAGTAAAACCTCTGATTGTGAGTGAGTGACTTAAAGTTTAAGGTCGCATTGGCGTTATTTCAGCCATATAGCAACGCTCTGATTGTAATGAGATTGGGAAACGTGACTATATACAGGGGCTACCGATGTCAGTCTGTATATAATCACGTAATTGGAACTGAAATTGTAATGTGACATTAAGAATTAACGCTTACGTTTTGCTGGTGATAACGATTTCCTGGAATCCTGCTGTTCCATTGAATGACGTTGTTAACTGAAAATATATCAAATATAACAACGTAAAACGGGGACTCTTTGAATTGTTAGACAGGTCAAAGTTAAATTTGATAACAGATGCGTGTCTGTTTGAAAAGAATGACTTTATATACTCTCCAAAAAGTAGTGGATATTCGAAATTAACATAATGCAAAGAGGTATGGCGTGAGGGTAATAGGCGGATAAGGAAAAGGACACTCAACAGAATATGTTGGCGGTGTATTGTCGGGGTACAAACAAGCAAGAACGATGACATTGGTGTGAAGTAAAAACAGGAACGTTTGAGAAGACCTGATCAATAACAGGCCATGCCCATAATTGGTCAACCATTCGTTTATACGGCGTGGCATGGTCCGTATCCATCTGACAATGGCAATTTGAGGGTGTCTTGTCCACTCCTCTTGCAGCACCTAACCCAGTTCTGCTCACGTAGCAGGTGGCCTTTGGCGTCGGCGTTCATGTCTCCCGATGACGTCGCAGACGTGCTCCATGAGGAAAAGTTATGGAGTCATGGCTGGCCATTGCATTCTGGTGATGTTTTGCTTCTGGAGATAGTCAGTTACGATAGGCACGACAGGTCACGAGAGTCTTGAAAGACAAAACGTGGACCAGCATGGCACGCAAACGGAACAACAATTGGCGCCAGTATGCAGTGACCATTCCATGGACAATAAGGAATAACGTTTTGGCAGTCATAACGATCCCGTCCCCTATCATTACATTCCCAGCATCAAATCTGTCTTGTTGCCTTACGCTGACGTTTTAGGACGCCTCCATACAAGTCCACGCTTATCCAGAAAGCCAAGAGTGAATATGGACTCTTTGAAAACATTACACAAGACCATTGGCGATTCCCCAAGTTTATACGCTCAAACCACCATTGACGTCTCGCTAGAATGTCGATTTGTTAATGGTGGAACAACACGTGGTCGCCGCTTATCGTCTGGTCAGTAACTTTGGTGGCCTGGCGCAAGTGAACAGCGACTTGATTGGCTGTTTAGGCTCAGTTTCTTAAAGCCAAGATTCTGATTAATCGATCCTGGACTTGTGTTGTAGACCAAGGACGCCCTGTACGGGGATAAGCTTTACTGCGTCTGGACCCGTGAAGATTCCCGAGTAGAATAGGTCTTCAGCAACCCATGCTTGTCGTAAAAGGCGACTAATGGGATCGGGTGGTCAGGCTCGCTGACTTGGTTGATACATGTCATCGATCCCAATTGCGTGGATCGATGCTCATGCTGTCAATCACTGGATTGTCTGGTCCAGACTCGATTATTTACAGACCGCCCTCATATAGTTCGAACATTGCTGAGTGCGGCGTTAAACAACAAACCAACTAACCAACCAACGTTACTACGTCTGGATAAAGCTGTTCCAAGGTCTGCAAATCACAGACAAAGACACGTTGAACATATCCGGCGTTCATCACGTTGTAGGCGACACATTCCAAATGATCACAAGTACTGCATTGAAGCAGGAGAAGACAGCCTGTGTGTTACTTCGGATAATGAAAGGCAACAATACTAATGCCTCTAAGAGATTTGACGACCTTTCACCGAAGTGTACAAAATCAGTGACCCCCCTACCCACCTTCACGTAGGAATTACATGGTCCACGTGTAACGTTTCGGGGGTCTTGAGAGTTTGGGAGTGTGGTAGGGGTGTCACGATCAATTGAAATATCGATATATTGCTTTTGGTAAGCACTTAAAGTCAATAAATCGATTCTTTAATCAGTTTCCGATCAATAGTATCGATTTCAGTTAGAAATAGCGATAGTTTCGATTGTATTTACTATATCAATAAAATACATGCAATGCTGTTCCAATTTTGTTTTGAGTCGTAGTAATTTACACATGGTAATGTGGAAGTTTCTTTTTCTTAAATTATTAGGATAAAGAAAAAAAATCAGTCATAATTATCTCAAACTTTACTTTTTATTTGTTATGGTTATCACATTCAAAGGAAACTTCAGTTCCAAGGTTTAATTCAACTCTAAAATCCGTCTAAAATGACACACTGAAAACTATCGATATTTATCACAATAGTTGCTTGCAATATCAATAGTTATCGCAATAGTTGCTTGCAATATCAATAGTTATCGCAATAGTGATTTCCAGACCAATAGTCACCCCTAGAGTGTGGTTCCTCAAATGGTCCATCTTGGCCAGTCATTATTCAAAGCTGATCTTTCTTCTGACGACCGATCATAATACATTACATTTCATGATACCCTACTTTTCAGGAGAGGATGTGAACTGGATCTCTCTGAACATACCACATCTATAAAGCTCTGTTCCATAGTGTCATTGAAGTCTGTGAGATTCATGTTGGTAATTTTGAAATCCACTGTAAAAGTGTAGACGGCCCCTTCTGCAAATAAATTATCAGGTAATGGTGATTAATATTTACATATCCAAATGGTTGTAGGTTTGTTTGTTTGTTTGTTTGTTGTGTAACGACGTACGCAGCAATATTCCAGCTATAGGACGGCGATCTGTAAATAATCGAGTCAAGACCAGACAATCCAGCGATTGACATCAACCATCAAACGTTTTGAAAGATTTGCTAAGGTCTTGAACGTTTGTTTGTTGCTTAACGCAGCACTCAGCGATATTCCAGCTATATAACGGCAGTCTGTAAATAATCGAGTATGGACCAGACAATCCAGTGACTGACATCGTGAGCATTTGGGATACGATGACATGCATCAACCAAATCAGCGAGCCTGACCACCCGTCATATCTACTCTTACGAATCTCCATATGTTGGAATCTGTGCCATATGTCTCAATACCAGACATTTCGATCCAGTTAATCATATCTGCTACCTAGTTATTATTCAGTATACCTTCTTTAATAAAATATTCCTGTCAATTAGAGGTTATTATTTGTTATTTTATGTCATGTCCATATTTACCCGAGACATTAGAGTGAGGGTTGAAATGACAGTGTCGTTGAAATTTTTCTAGTCTCGTTAATCCGACATCGTTGGTTGCACATGATTGTGTCGGATTAACGAGTATGTCGGATTAACGAAATTAAACGTCTTCACGATAGATAATAACCGTGTGTACCTTGTTATAAAATCATTAAAACAAAGTTTTTATATTGTTATGTTGTTTATTCATTGATTCCTTAATTTATAATTGATGACATTGCAAAAATAATAATAATTTTCCTATTTATACATTACAACAGAGACATTACCCACTGAATTTATTACATCAACGACACAAGTCTCCTCGTGTAAATGCAAGTGCTACTGTCTTAACAACTTGCTTCATCTACTGAAAAATAGTCTGTCAGTGTTTTCTGTAGTATTGGACAAGCTCCTCACACTGATGGCCCGTTCGCGGAGCTCTCTATGCCACCACTGCCACAAGTCACGGCTCTCCACTGTGCTTGGCGGTTCTCAACCATGCATGGTGTTGAACTCGCAACCGCGACCGTCGTGTTTACAAACAAGTGATGACTGTTGTGGTTGGTTGGTTGGTTGTTTTACGCCGCACTCAGCAATATTCCAGCTATATGACGGCGGTCTGTAAATAATCGAGTCTGGACCAGACAATCCAGTGATTAATATCATGAGCATCGATTCACGCAATTGGGATCGATGACATGCATGAACCAAGTCAGCGAGCCTGACCACCCGATCCCGTTAGTCGCCTTTTACGACAAGCATAGTCACCTTTTACGGCAAGTATAGGTTGCTGAAGACATATTCTACCCCGGAATCTTCACGGGTAGATGACTGGTGTGACGCCCAATACTTTTCTCCTAGCTTGCTTATTTTGTTTGTTTACTTGAGCGTCTCCCGGAGAGCGGAAAGACCACGGTTCGAGCCCTGGCCGCGTCATACCAAAAGACGTTAAAAGATTGTACTTGTTGTAACCCTGCCTGGCGCTAGGCATTAAGAGGGAAAAAAAGCTAGTCGGCTCGGAGTCAGTATACTGTTGGGTATTCATGGTAAACTGCGGCATGGTATGTCATAGGGCCAGCACAATAAAACCGACATTAGTCTGGACTAGCAAAATCAGCCACACACACGTTGCTATATAAGTGCAATAATCTTAAACGCGACGTTAAACCCCATTTCGAAGCACCGTATCTTTATTAAAGAGCAACTCAGATGTTGTAATTTCTACGTTAAATATAAGTGACGTAACCTTGACAATGGTGGCCGCAGCGTGACGAGTCGATTTCACAGTTACCAAAATACGTTGATGCTGCACGTTTGGATAACGGTTCGCTCAGTCGAATAAGGCGCTACAGTTACCGTAAGTTTCGCCCCTTAACTATACCAGGATACGCTGCAGTTCAAAGTAAGTGTCGTCCCTTCACTATAACCAGTATGAATTCCTGGTGATGATGATGATGATGATGATGAATACAATTTTATTATTATTATTATTATTATTATTATTATTATTATTTACAGATTAAAATAATAAATGCATGCAAAGAGGGTTTGGGTGATCCTGGCACAGTCAGGCTGGTTAGGCTCATCATCAGCTCAGGGCCCTGTCCCCTCTACACGCAGCCCAGACAGCGAATGGGACTTCTCCCAGGAAGCGCTGCCTAGTCAAGCCCACTGAGAACTTTTCGGAGAATGTGAAGACTCCCCAGCACTGCAGCCTTATGCATTACCCAGATTGTCAGAAGGGCTGTATTCCTGGTAGCAAACCGGGTACTCTCCCAATGGCAGTCAGGAGTTTGGGAGGTACCAAACCTAAGGCACCGAGAACAATGGGGAGTCGGACAACTTGGTACTTGGAATGCAAGCGCGACATTTCGATTTGCCATGTTTTTCCTCAATCTTGTCAATCACATAAGTGTGAAAAGGGACAGAAAATTCAATGATATAAATGATTTTATTGGATTTATCAAAAAAGGACAAGATCAGGTTTGTCGGCCTGGATACGTCTGAGGCTGTGTACGGGCCTATTCCAAAGAATTTTGTATTTATCATTTTCCATGACGCCCTCTACATATTCTGGGTCGTACCATGGATGGACCTCTGTGCCAAAACCACAAGCATGGCGAAGACGGTAATAAAATGATCGAGTCACTCCATCATGTCGCTTAAGATACTGTGTTTGTGCAAAAGCTAGGTATCCAATGACAATGTGTTGGACAGTCTCACTAAATTCATTACATAATCTACATTTCATTTTTACATTTTGATGCAAAATCACTCATTGACGGTTTCGAGTGGGAAGTGACTGATCCTGAGCAGCAAACAAAAAGCCTGCTGTTTCACTTTTCAGGCCAGCCGACCTCATCCAAGCGAAGGACTCTGCAGGGTTGCTGAACTTCTCAACACACTGCACATAAACTCGATGCAGTGGTCGTTCAGATAACTAACTTACGTGAATAACTTAAAGGTAAATGATGTACTCACCTGTGATTGGAGGCTGCGTTGGATAACCTGTTGAATGACATGCGTTTTAGTGAAATACCAAATTATCCATTGAAAACTTTCTTTCTTAGTCTACATCTAGCTGAACTGAAAGCATGTTATTAAGTCTTGCGACTGTGCAAGGAAAGCTGAAACATTCAAGTGCAATTATGGTGACAGACCATGAAAACCAAGCATGTCTTTGCGTTTCGATTCTAATTTTGTTATGTATGTTCAATTGTGTCATTAAAACATAGGTGCTACTCAAGCTGGCTTTATCCTCAACTCACTCACTTGTAAAGTTTAACGATAGCCGATGTACTTACTTGGAGCTTGTGTCGTTAACTCATCTGTTGCAAAATAAAACGGTTTGTTGAAATGTCAAGTTATGTAATGAAAAAATGTTTTCTTTTCTACACATACATCCCATGTTCTATGAGACGAGCATATGTCTAAGAACATAGAACCTAATAACTATTATTTTGAAATATTTTTTACGACAAAGTGACTTTGGACAGAGACTTCAAGAACCATAATATATTCTAGTTGTTTCCGCAGAAAAAAACACAACAGCTAAAAGTAGAAATATAGTAACGGGGAGTACGTGTAGACGAGTTCACGTTTCTAAAAACTTGCAGCTTATTCAGACGTTTCAATTTTTTTTTGCGCTGTTTCTGTTCAAGTGTGTCTTTAAAACACATATATTAATCACACATAGAAAAAGTCGATAAAAGTTTAAGACTCCGAGGCTTACCTTGAAGTTTTAAGATTTAATCGACTTGTGTTGATATATTTCATATGTATATTACGAGGGTGAGATTCTATTTATCATCTAAAATCATTCTGCCATTTGTTCAGTTTGCAAAAGGAAGTAATAACTAGGATCTTGAGTGTAAGAAATACAGCTTGCCAGCATCCGTAACAGCGGGGTAAGTGATGTCATTTGACTATGACGTCATGTGTTACTATGATGTCACAATGGTTTGCAAGGCATTGCGATGTATTTCATTGTAGCGATATATCCTAGGAGATCTCGCCGAAGCGATATCTCCTGTGGAAGCCAGATTTTGATGATAAATAAAATCTCACCCTCGTGTCTTTTGATCTCAAATATATCAACACGAGGTGATACAAGTGAAACCTCCGAGGCTTTTATCAACTCTTCTCAACGAGTGTTGATATATTTGATATCAAAAGACACGAGGGTGAGATTTTATTTATCATCCAACATCATTCTTCCAACTTTTTCGACCGCCTCCTTGGTCTAGTGATAGAGCGTCCGCCCGGAGAGCGGAAGGTCCGGGGTTCCATTCCCGACCGCGTCATACCAAAAGACGTTAAGAGATGGTACTTGTTGTTACCCTGTCTGGCGCTCGGCATTAAGGGGCTAAAGCAAGGACTGGTCGGCTCGGAGTCAGTATACTGTGTCTGAGTGGGGTATTCATGTTAAAGTGCGGCATGGTATCTCAGTGAGCTAGCACTATAAACCGGCATCAGTCCGGACTAGTACAAGCAGCCACACAAACACACACACGTACATGCACGTCGCTATATAAGTGCAATAATCTTGGACGCGACGTTAAACCCCATTTCACCTCACCTCCATCTTTTTCAGTTTGTAGACAGTAATAAGCAGTGTCTGAAGCGTAAAAAGTACTGCTAACAGCTTCAGTAGCAGAGCCACTAGCGATGTCATTTGATTGTGACGTCATGGTAACCAATGACATCAGTTTTGGATGATAAGATAACTTACATCTTAAGTTTATTTATCTCTCTTTCTTCCCGTATATTCACTGTCCGTTACATGAGCCGAAGTATGTTTAATACGAGTGTTACACTTACCCCCTGAACCCAGTTCCAAATCGTCAGCTTCTCTCCTCTCCCTGGGTACTGGAGGGTCAGTGACGAGATACAGGTCCTCAGCGGCCAGGTCAAGGTGTACATCAGCTGTTGTTGCAGCAACAGGATTTTTGCACATGTAATTATCTTATTTGGAAGGCGATTAAAGAAGGAATGGGCTCCACGCAATTGCGAGTTGGATCGATGTTTGAGATGAACGCCCGAATCCAAAAAAGATGTACACAATTTTATTTTTTTGTGGTGATGGAGGTGTGTGTGTAAATTCCGTGTTAGGCTTCGGAGGGAATTGTTAATCCATGTCGCATCTTTGTCAGTTGTATCTACGTGCTATATATCATCTTGTGTGTGTTCGTAAAATAAGACATCTTTTGCTACAAGATGCACATCAAGTGCCGCATTGACCACGTTATCTCCAGACGTTCTCTCTTCCCATAACATCAGGGTGCATATATACTGACCACAGTTTGCTTGTACAGTCCTTCTGACGAAGTGCACGACAAGAGAACGCCCATCTTCCGAGGCAAGCGAGTTAAATGACTGTAAGAGTCCAGTTTCCACCCTTGCCGAACTAGGCTGAAGTCCGGAGTTACATTTTGGCTGGACTAACGAGTTCATGCATAGTCCAATCAAAATCGCGAAACGAACGAGACAGCCCGTTCGTACAAAACATGGAATTCAACGTACAGATTTCGAGCGACTGCAGAATTTGCTGAGCTTGTGTAACGTCAACTGGACGTCGACATATATTTTCCAAATCTTTTCATGTTTTTAATCAAGGTGCTCAAATAATTTGATGCACTTCGCGCGGTAGGACCCGTTTTACTACAATAGAGGTCTTGATTATCGATCAGATCGTCTTGACTGGGCGCCGACATTTTGTTTGAAGCAAATACAAGTGATATGAGAGATGGAATCTGATTGGTCAGTAGGAGGGACATAGAAGGGATATAACTCTTAATAGCCACTGCTGGCGCTACGATCGAGCTACGAAATTCAAGGCTAGTTTGGCAAGGGTGGAAAGTGGACTTTTATAGAATGTGGACTCCCTTGCCTCTTGAAGATGGAGAACACCACACTCACGCACACACATGCGAATGGGTTTCAGAAACAAAATACTTATGTGTGACTGGTGCGTACGTTCGTGTGCGTGTGCGTGTGCGAGTGCGCGAACGTGTGCATGTACGTAGAGATTGACACTACATCAGTATACGGTACTAGTCAGTGCTCAACATAACAATGAAAAATCATCTATGCGCCACATCGACTGGCCCACAAACAACATGTTCACCCTGCTGCTTCTATCGACTCCACGGATTACGTTTGTTTATTTGTTATTTAACGCCGCACAGCAACATTCCATCTACATGACGGCGGTCTGTAAATAATCCAGTCTGAAACAGACAACCCAGTGATTGATATCATGAACATCAATCTACGCAATTGGGATACGATGACATGCATCACCCGAGTCAGCGAGCCTGACCAACTGATCCCGTTCGTTGCCTCTTACGACAAGCATAGTCGCCTCCTGCCACACGCATGGGTTGCTGTAGACCTATTCTACCCCGGATCTTCACAGGATGTCTCCATTACGTAGTAACGTTGTTTAAAGACGTAGATAATATAAATTGCTTCATATGACATTCCAATGAAGTTACCGGGTTCATCTTCTTTGTCCCATGCCGCAGTCAGTCCGACAGAAAAGAAAACGGCTGCTTGTATGATCATTTGCATTCGACTGTATACCTTCTGAAAAAAATCAGTTAAAACATCTGTCTCCATTGTTCAATGAATGTTACCTCATTCATAATTATTTATAAATTCCTACTTACACCTTCCTGAATTTGATCCGATAGAGAAAACAAGAAATGCAATTCAAGTCGGTTGTTTTAAGCTAGTGTGTGAGTGTGTGAGTGTGTGAGTGTGTGAGTATGGTTTTATGACGCTTTTAGCAATATTCCAGCAATGTGTGAAAGTAAAGAAGGGCGTTTTTCCCTGGTTCATCCTAAGTCAAATTCGCCGGATGCCGCAGTGCAGTACCCTGGATGCTATGAAATGTCTACATGGTACACGGATGCCAATTTTTCAATGTTGATATTTACTTTTTGACTTCTAAAAATTGACAAACTAACCAAATATTTAGCACTAAGGTTATGAGTATGTATGGTCATACATTAATTTAAAAAACACGATTTTATTTTATGTGTACCAGCTGTGTACACTGATTTGACTCATGAGGTCTTAAATTAGATGCCAAGACCAATGAAGTGGTATGTCGAATGCCTAGAGAGGAGGATTGGCCCAATCATAACCGATTCAGGGGCATACTTTAAGAATGACGTTAATGTTAACTGAAGCGGAATAGCAACTGGCATTGTAAATTAACACCCCTCCACGGTAAAAAGTCTCTACAATAAACTATCATGATTTAATCGCCTGCTTCGCTACTCCTTGAAGTCCGATATGTCCAGAACCACGCCTATCTTTGACAATAGGTCTTCAGCAACCCATGCTTATCGTAAAAGGTGACTATGCTTGTCGTAGGAAGCGACTAACGGGCGAATTTGGGCGAATGTTTTCAGCATGGTTGCGTTTGAGAGATTCATTATGATTTTACAATATTTTTCATTGAGACGGGTTTTTCCCAGCAGTTTATGTTGGTTTCTCCTGTTTGTTTTAATAGTTTTTCTCATCAAATGGTTATCAAATTACTTAAACATGAACAACGATATCGTTATGAGTAGTATACTGTAACACACTATGATCTATATTATTTTCTGTGCATTTAAGGATGAAAAACATATCTGGAGACTGTGGGCAGTTAATTGTGTACCATTCTGTCATGAATTGCCATAGCCAGGGTCGACTAACACACATCCTTAAATCATACACCCGCTGGCGACACAGGTATTCCGACAAAGTTTGAAAATTAATCATTTTCATAGGTGTCAAAACAAAACATATTTTAGAATCCAGCTAAGGAACATCATTATACAACATGCCCTGATTAACTGATCGAGTTCACAAGAAACTATATCAGTGTATTGAATTCATCATCGATCAAAAACCGTTTCCATCTTTTTAGTAGGATTTACATTTATCCTAAACTCGTATAACACATGAAGTCAGTGTACCTACCTGTTTAAAATGATACACACTTTTCAGTCATACTGTTAACTGAATACACAATGGAATTCCATTCTCAGGATGAAACATTATCCGTGAATAGGGACCAACCTAGGTCTCTCTACCTAGTGACTCTTTAATTATGACTATATATTTGATATCCAAGCATAGCCTAATCATGAAATTTCTCACATTTGTTCAAATCCTTTTAAAAACCTAGAGCAAGGCTTTGATAAATCCGTTGTTTCTTGTTACTTCCTGTTCAAACTTAAATCGGATGTCATGTTGCATTATTTTCTTTTGTATGATGGAAGTATATTGTTATAAACTGTTATAACGAAAGATTTAAATAACAAAATAGCAGTAGTACCGTTTGAGATTCGGTAACAGAACAGTTCAATTACAAGACAAGCTGCAACTTTGTCATATTCATGAAAAAAACCGTCATTTATTTTCAGGTTTGCGGTTATTATTAAGGATTTGAGGCCCGGAAATTACAGCTTTCAAACAGACAGCATTCAAATGTTATTTTTTCCGAGTAGAAGTTCGTTTTTGTTTTCAACCAATCAGGACATAGCACACTTCCATTCACGTAACAGATAGATGTGATTACAGGAAATATTTGTAAACTAGCTCTTGGTCTCTGACAATATATAATTTAGACAGAAACAAACAACTCAATTTAAATTGAAAGAGGCCCGCTGAGATGGGAGTTTCAGAACCTGTGGAAAATCTAGACTTACTTTATTAGGGCTCTATCATTACAGTAAGGGATGGGCGTAAGGGAAAATAATGTGGTTCAAGGACTGTGAGACAGACTATGAATATTTGGTGTGCACAAAACAACGATGTCAGCTCAATTTGTAGGTTTGGGGGATGCTGGGTAACACGGATGACCACTGTCAGGGAATGTCTGCTAATGTTACAGGCAAACTCTGTCCCAAGAGTAACGTGCACCCATTTACAAAACGTGGTCGTAGTCATACATTACATGTCAACTCATCTGTAACATATTGCACTAAAAAGGGTACTTCAGGTTCTCCAAGACATATACAATTGTCAAATTTGAATTTAACACGTCCCATTTTAATTCTGGAAACCCAAAAGTCCAGAAACTCTACGGTCTTTGCCGACTCTCGGTCAAAGGTATTTACAAAATTAAACATGCCGTTTTCATGGGAACATACCAAGGAAGAAAAATGAAAAAAAATTGTTCAAAAACTCAATATTTACACTATCTCGCCCATGGGCCTGCCCATGGGCGAAGACTGGCCCATGGGTAGGCCCATGGGCAGGCCCATGGGCGAGAATACGTTCCTTTACTTAAAACACATGTTTTTGTTTCGCAAATACATTAAATGTATTTATTCAAGTATCATGACACAAAATTTAACTCATTTTAACTTAATTCAACTATTTGTTTCGATATTGAAATATTTCGCCCATGGGCGAGAAAAGGGTTTGGCCCATGGGCGAGAATATGTTCCTTTACTTAAAACTCATGTTTTTGTTTCGCAAATACATTAAATGTAGTCATTCAAGTATCATGACACAAAATTTAACTCATTTTAACTTACTATAACTATTTTATAGCGATATTGAAATATTTCGCCCATGGGCGAGAAAAAGGTTTTGCCTATGGGCGAGAATATGTTCCTTTACTTAAAACTCATGTTTTTGTTTCGCAAATACATTAAATGTATTCATTCAAGTATCATGACACAAAATTTAACTCATTTTAACTTAATTCAACTATTAGAATATTTCGCCTATGTTTTCGTCAGTCCCTTTGAATAATTAACTAATTGTGTACAGAGTATATTGTATCATGTGAAATATACTTTATATTATATCATTACATTACTATTTAAAAGGGCCTTTGGTTGGATGTTTCCTTTACAGAAGTTTTACAAATTTCACCTTTTTTACATATTGCAACGATACGCCAATTCCTTGGCGACATTTTCCAACACATTAAAGTTTAGTTAGTTTCTTTTTCATTTCCCATTTTATGTCTCGTTGAAACATCACACTGGGAAAGTAAGTGACACTAAGTATGCAATATACAGGTACACGTGCGCGTATTTTAATGGCAACAAAAAACGATTCCTCTTTCATTGCATAACGTCTGGCTGGATATCTTACATTCTAACGAAATCTCGAAATAATTATTTCATTATATGCGGTGTCGAACTGACCAATGGGAATTATGTTTACAGGCGATTGAGGAAAACTTGAGTGAATATTATAACACTAAAGCAACTTTTAAATGCATTGTCACTTTTGGTATGAAAATGGTAACAGTTCAGAAAAAACAACAGCCTTCTTATGATAATTCTCATATTCTCATTAGGACGTTGTATCTAATTATAGTGTCGGCCTTATTTACAGGTGATTCTACAATACCTGCTCTCGGTCAATTACGATCTACCACACCACGCGTGAATAAACAGTTATGCAGGTGTTGCTGTGGGCAAATACCTAGCCTGAAAATGTATATTTATTTTGTGGATACATGTCTTACAAATTTTCGTTGATATGTGGATATTTTAAGCACAAAGACAAAAAAATGTTTATGAAAGATGAATTAGTGCCTTGAAATATTCATCGAGATGTGTATCATCGTTTAATGGGGTCATTCAATAAAAGTATATTTGAAGGAGATATCAAAGGAGCCGCCCAATATACACAGTGTCGTCCGGTGAACTACCATTCCACCCTGTCAAAAATAGTTATGTAATCGGTACACAAATATATTTGATGCGGTGTCAGTGTGGAAGGAGTTTGAATTACGTCTCAGGTTATTATTGTTTGGAGTTCACATTTTGGGGCATTTCAGATACTTATTGAACAGCGTTCACCTGCACATGTCCACTTTAGTGAGACAGACTGTAACCAAAAATGCAATGAGCCGTAGCTCCTAATCATCCCATCAAGTCAGCTCTGTTTTTAAGCGCATAATTATGTTTTTACATATTGAAATAAAAGGAATTAAAAAAATCATATTTAACAAACCTACACAGACAGACAGACAGACAATAGTTTATTAACGTCTCACTCCTGTACATACATAAAACAGCTCTATACAACCTGACATAGATAAAATGTACAGAACCATTCAATAGAATTATGAGAGACGAATTATCACAGAATTTATACATAAATGATATAAAGATGATATAGTAAAAAGTTATCGATATAAAAGATGTTTTCTACGATTAAGAATTAAAAAGCAGACTTTGGCAAGTATAAAACACACACTGGAGTCACTGAAAATAAAACAAAGTTTGTCGATATCAGGTAGCAATACATTCATTAAAAAGAGTTGCCCTGATATCATCATATAATACGCAGTGAAACAAAACATGGCGACTACCGGGATCGGGTGATCAGGCTCGCTGACTTGGTTGATGCATGTCATCGTATCCCAATTGCGTGGATCGATGCACATGATTTCAATCACTGGATTGTCTGGTCCAGACTCGATTATTTACAGACCGCCGTCATACAGCTGAAATATTGCTAAGTGCGGCGTTTTACAACTAACAAACAAACAGAATTTTGAGGAATTCACAACAATCACTATGACGAGGTATGCATATCTTGCAATCAACCTGAACCCAGTTACTGGAATGTCAAACCCGCTTGGTTAAAACACGAATTGCAGTTAGATCCGCTATATGCTGTAGATCTCTTGTAGTCAAGAGATGCAATAGCGAGGCAGAACTATGTCAATTTATGAGGGACAGACAGCTACTCGAACATATAAAAACATAGCAGCCAAAGATAAAAATGAAATCATAACATGTACGAAAATAGAAATCATATCAACACAAAAAGAGAAAGTGTATGAGTACTAAAACTTGCAATAGATACGTGAACCCTACGACAGTCTACAACACACTGACATCGCATCAAATTATTTGTGTACCGATTACATAACTCTTACTGACAGGGTGGGGTGGTAGTTCACGCGAGAACGGACGACACTGTGTAAATTGAGCGGCTCCTTTGATATCGCCTCACAACATACTTTTAATGAATGACCAATTAAACGATGATACACATCAGGATCGCGGAGAAAATACAAGATTCGTTCTCGTTGGATATATATATCAAGGCACCAATTCATCTTTCATAAACTTTTTGTGTCTTTGTGCTTAATATATCCACATATCAACGAAAATATGTAATACATGTATCCACAAAAAATATACATGTACAGGCTAGATATTTGCCCACAGCAACACCTGCATAACTGTTTATTCACGTGTGGTGTGGCAGATTGTAATTGACCGAGAGCAAGTATTGTAGAATCACCTGTAAATAAGGCCGACACTATAATTAGACACAACGTACTAATGAGAATATGAGAATTATCATAAGAAGGCTGTTGCGTTTTTCTTAACTATTACCATTTTCATACCAAAAGTGACAATGCAGTTAAAAGTTGCTTTAGTGTCACAATATTCACTCACGTTTTCCTCAATCGCATTGAAACATAATTCCCACTGGTCAGTTCGACACCGCATATAATTAAATAATTATTTCGAGATTTCGTTAGAATGTAAGATATTCAGCCAGACGTTATGCAATAAAAGACGAATAGTTTTTTCCATAAAAATACGCGCACGCGTAACTGTATATTGCATACCTTGTGCCACGTAATTGCCCAGTGTAATGTATAAACGGGACATGAAATGGGAAATGAAATAGAAACTAACTAAACTTTAATGTTGTGGAAAATAACTCCAATGAATTGGAGTACACGCACATGAATTCGTATCATAAACTGTCAAAACGTTTTGAGAGGTTAGGCCGGATTCATTAAAGATCGCTACAATATGTAAAACAGGTGAAATTTGTAAAACTTCTATAAAGGAAACATCCAACCAAATGCCCTTTTTAAATAGTAATGTAATGATATAATATAAAGTATATTTCACATGATACAGTATACTTTGCAAACAGTTAGTTGATGCTTTAAAGGGACTGACGAAAACATGGGCGACATATTTTAATAACGCCGTAAAATAGTTGAATTAAGTTAAAATTTGTTAAATTATGTGACATGAAACTTCTAAGAACTATGTTTATGCGACACTAAAACACAAGTTTTGAGCAAAGGGAAATATTTTCGCCCATGCGCCTGCCCATGGGCCAAACCTTTTCTCGCCCATGGGTGAAATATTTCAATAACCCTTTGACATAGTTGAATTAAGTAAAATTGAGTTACATTATGTGCCATGAAAATGGTAAGAACACCTGCATGTATTTGCGAAACAAAAACATAAGTTTTGAGTAAAGGAAAATATTCTCGCCCATAGGCAAAACCTTTTTCTCGCCGATGGGCGAAATATTTCAATATCGCTATAAAATAGTTGAATTAAGTTAAAATGAGTTAAATTTTGTGTCATGATACTTGAATTACTACATTTAATGTATTTGCGAAACAAAAACATGAGTTTTAAGTAAAGGAAAATATTCTCGCCCATGGGCAAAACCTTTTTCTCGCCCATAGGCGAAATATTTCAATATCGCTATAAAATAGTTATATTAAGTTAAAATGAGTTAAATTTTGTGTCATGATACTTCAATGACTACATTTAATGTATTTGCGAAACAAAACATGAGTTTTAAGTAAAGGAACATATTCTCACCCATAGGCCAAACCTTTTTCTCGCCCATGGGCGAAATATTTCAACATCGCTATAAAATAGTTGAATTAAGTTAAAATGAGTTAAATTTTGTGTCACGATACTTGAATGACTACATTTAATGTATTTGCGAAACAAAAACATGAGTTTTGAGTAAAGGAACATATTCTCGCCCATTGGACAAACCCTTTTCTCGCCCATGGGCGAAATATTTCAATATCGCTATAAAATAGTTGAATTAAGTTAAAATGAGTTAAATTTTGTGTCATGATACTTGAATAAATACATTTAATGTATTTGCGAAACAAAAACATGAGTTTTTAGTAAAGGAACATATTCTCGCCCATGGGCTAGATAGTGTAAATATTGAGTTTTTGAACAATTCTTTTTCATTTTTTCTTCCTTGGTATGTTCCTATGAAAACAGCATGTTTAATTTTGTAAATACCTTTGACCGAGAGTCGGCAAAGACCGGAGAGTTTCTGGACTTTGGGGTTTTCAGAATTAAAATTGGACGTGTTATTTGATTTTGTTTGTTGTTTAACGCCGTACTCAGCAATATTCCAGCTATATGACGGCGGTCTGTAAATTATCGAATGTGGACCAGACAATCAGAGCATCAATCAACGCAATTAGGATACGATGACATGCATCAATCAAGTCAGCGAGCCTGACCACCCGATCCCGTTAGTCGCCTCTTACGACAAGTAGAGTCGCCTTTTACGGCAAGCATAGGTTGCTGAAGACCTATTCTACCCCGGATCTTCACGGGTCTGCATCGGACATCATTTTGGTCAATGATGCGTCAAATTTTGAAATGTCATCCACATGTCTTCTATAAAACGTTTTGAAAGCATTAATGAGACATTGGATGTTGTAATCTTGATCAAACAACTTTTGAGCAAGAATCGTATCACGCTCTTTGAAATCTTGGCAGAAAGAGCATGCTCGCTTGTACCTCAAAAGTTGTGAAATGTACACACCAAAGGCTGGAACTCCTGAAATATTGCTTGACAGGAAGGGAAAAGTTCACAATTGGTAAATGTGGATAATTGTTTGTCACTCTGAATCTTTATGAATAGATCGAAATATGAAACAGATGAAGCGGTCTCACTGGTCTCCTTTATTTCTAGTTCAGGGCCCTGTTCCACAAAGCGATCGTAGCACTAAGACAATAGTAACACCCATACTTTAACATAGACTTACGACAATCGTAGCGCTACGATCACTTCGTGGAACGCGACCCAGATGGGTAAATCAGTGGACGGTAAGTGGCTATTTGGTGGTTATTGAACGATATCAGATCATCGATATACCTGAGTCTAAAGTCAACGATATTGGCCAAATTACTTTGTTTTGACTGCTTATCTGAGCAGAACTTTCTGCTCATGTGTATACAGAAACAGATGAACAAGAACGGGAGGACGATTCATGCCCATGGGGGTGCATGTTTCTATACCTAAATGTCCTACCCCCAAATTTTACGTTTTGTTTGTTTGTTTGTTGTTTAAGGCCGCACTCGGCAATATTTCAGCTATATGACGGCGGTCTGTAAATAATCGAGTCTTGACCAGACAATCCAGTGATTGATATCAGGAGCATTAATCCACGCAAATGGGATCGATGACATCCATCAACCAAGTCAGCGGGCCTGACCACCCGATCCCGTTAGTCGCCTCCTACGACAAGTATAGTCACCTTTTACAGCAAATTTCTGAAGACCTATTCTACCCCGTCATATAGCTGGAATATTGCTGAGTGCGGGGTTAAAAAAAACAACCAACCAGCCAATCATATGGATTTCACCGCTGTTTTGCCCCTACACGCCCTATGGAATACTTTTGAAGCAATTAATCCAGACTGATTATTATCTGACTTTGACGTTGCATATTTAGTTATTTACATGTATTTACCTCCCATATCTTTTTTGAAACCTTCCTTCTTTACAACAACTTCAACCCGCTTTCAACACAAGGAAATAGACCCAGAAGCAAATACAATATTAATGTAAGGATAGCGACAAAGTTCAAATGATCTATTGTGGTTTAATAATATTTTGAAATGGAAATCAAATACATACCATATTGAGTTTTTGTGTTACAAATAGCCAATAGTCTGTTATCCCGACTACAACCAGTAACACTGCATACTGGAATCTGTGAATCTACCAGTGACTGCAATAGAAAAGTGACTGGGTGCAGTGTCATTGCTCTTGTTCTTTTATAGCAGACTGAAATAACCCCCAAGTACTGCTCGGTGATTGGTCACAATGTCATGCAGCAGTCCTATATCAGTTACCTGGATTGCATTTGATTTAAGAGACCTGGTGCAAGAGTTGTGAAAGGTTTATCTTGACTTTTGAAACCAAACCTTTCAAATAACACCAGCTTACACGGTTCCGCTATAAAGTCTATAAAGTTTTAGACAAGTTTAAGATTTAATAATATCAAACGATGTTCAGTATGTCTTAGAGAGCAACATTACCATTTATAGTATATCGATTTGTTAATTTTTTAACACGGACGCATGCTTGTTTCAAGGTTTAAGGACTCACTTAAAGGAGTGTAAGTGCTCCTCCATGTGGACTTAAAGGAAAGCGGATGCTCCTTGAGGCGAGCTCGACACCAGTTACTTCAACGCCATCAAGCTCTATTTCTAGTCCCTTCTGTGTTCGCTCATCGTTTCATATGAATATTTACAGTCATTCCAACCACACAAGGAAGAGACACGCATATTGTATCAAATATCCTGCTAAGCTCAGTGACAGCCAAATCCCCAACGTATATACACATATGATCAAATAGGCTGTAATGTCAACACAAATCGTGATTCAAATGTGGTTAGTCGCACTCAGCAATATTCCAGCTATATGACGGCGGTCTGTAAATAATCGAGTCTGGACCAGACAATCCTGTGATTGATATCATGAGCATCGATCAACGCAAATGGGATCGATGACATACATCAGCCTGACCACCCGATCCCGTTAGTCGCTTCTTACGACAAGCATAGTCGCCTTAATGGAAAGCATGGGTTGCTGAAGACCAATTCTACCCGGATCTTCACGGGGCGAGTATACTGTGTCTGAGTGGGGTAGTCATGTCAAACTGCGGTATTATATCTCAGTGAGCTAGTTCTATGAAACCGGTATACTCCGGACTTAGTGCAGACACGTTCCGATATGAAGGAAATAAACTTGAACACGACGTTGAACCATTTCAACTGACCTCATGAACTTTAGATAACAAAAAATACAATATTGCCAGCGATAAAACAATGTCATGCTTTCAATAAATACGACATAATTCCGAGTAGACTGTTGGAGCTCATTTATCTCCCAGTCTCAACAGAGGAGGATTGTGGTGTCAATTCCCTTACGGCCGCTCACGATCCCTTACGTGGCTCCTACTTCATTTGACTCGTGTAGATTCGGGTAAGAATAGGTGTTCAGCAACCCATCTTGCCGTAAAAGGCGACTCTGCTTGTCGTACAAGAGGTGACTAACGGGATCGGGTGGTATAGGATCTATACCGAAACGTCGCCATAACAGTCAATGAAGAAGTTATTATCCATAACTTATGTCTACATTGTCATCCGTCAACTTTAAGAAATGCCTAGTGTCAAACAATCCATGCCTATCCATGCTATGGTGGTTTGAAGCTGATATGCTACCCACCACCCGTACTTGCCTTAAGAGGCGACTATGCTTGCCGTAAGAGGCGACTATGCTTTCCGTTATAGGCGACTATGCTTGCCGTAAGATGCGACTATGCTTGCCTTAAGAGGAGACTATGCTTGTCGTAAGATGCGACTATGCTTCCCGTAAGAGGCGACTATGCTTGCCGTAAGAGGCTTCTATGCTTGCCGTAAGAGGCGACTATGCTTGCCGTAAGAGGCGACTATGCTTGCCTTAAGAGGAGACTATGTTTGCCGTAAAAGGCGACTATGCTTGCCGTAAGAGGCGACTATGCTTGCCGGAAGAGGCGACTATGCTTGCCTTAAGAGGAGACTATGCGTGTCGTAAGATGCGACTATGCTTGCCGTAAGAGGCGACTATGCTTGTCGTAAGAGGCGACTATGCTTGCCGTAAAAGGCGACTATGCTTGTCGTAAGAGGCGACTATGCTTGTCGTAAGAGGCGACTATGCTTGCCGTAAAAGGCAACTATGCTTGCCGTAAAAGGCGACTATGCTTGTCGTAAGAGGCGACTACCGGGATCGGGTGGATAGATGCTCATGATATCAGTCACGGGATTGTCTTGTCCAGACTCGATTATTTACAGACCGTCGTCATATAGCTGGAATATTGCTGAGTGCGGCGTTAAACAACAAACCAACAAACAAACCCAATGCTGCTCCACCACACCACCGAAACACACCTTATACCGAGGGCCTATGTGGTTGTTACACTCTGTGTTTATGGGGAAAGTGACAGTTAAATATCGCTGTACGAATACTTAACCTGTAGTCATTCAGCACCAAAAAAGCATATTTACAGCACGTTAACTCAGGTACTTCACGATCACAAGTGATACGCCCATAATATCGATGTAGCTGGTTTCATGGCTGCGACCTGGTGAACCATGCCTGCTCTTTACAACGAGGGCTTTCTTTAATTGCCGCAGTCTATTCATCAGATATAAAAATGCTCCCTTTTTAGATGTATTTTTCACAACAATACTTCAAGTGATTTTTAATAAAGATTTACCATTGCACAAATATGGATATTTTAAAGAGAGCGAGTTTAAGGGTTTAACGACGTTTTAAGAGAAAAGGGATCTGAGCCGGATTATATGAAAAAATATAATTTTTTGAATGCTATACAGATAATGACAACTTAGCTCAAAAATTGTCTGATCAGGGTTTCAAAAGTGATACCCCAGTTAAGCTTTCAAAACGTTTTATGACAGACACGTGAAGGGCATTTCCAAATTTGATATAACAAAAATGATGTCCTATTCAATTCACTATTTTCACTTATGCAACATGTTTCCGTGTGAAATGTTGACTTGCCTTTGCATGTGTTTGTGGCGGGTGAACAGTTGACCTGCCTTTGCATGCAAGACCGCAGATGTGGTAGGATAGGCTCACCTCTTCGCGAACACTTGTTATCATCACAATTTGATAATGGATCATATGATACAGTCGGAATAGTGCAACCGAGTCTACCGTATGATTAATCAGAACCAAAAGACGTTAAAAGATGGTACTTGTTGTTACCCTGTCTGGCGCTCGGCATTTAGGGACTAAAACAAGGACTGGTCGGCTCGTAGTCAGTATACTGTGTCGGAGTGGGGTATTCATGTTAAACTGCGGCATGGTATCTCAGTGGGCTAGCACTATAAATCGGCATCAGTCCGGTCTAGTACAAGCAGCCAGACAAACACACACACGTCGCTATGTAAGTGCAATAATCTTGGACGCGACGTTAAACCCCATTTCACCTCACCTTACGTATGAATATTGAGTGTATTGTGTCTCTTTTAGTATCAGGTTAAGAATTGTCCTGCAGGATTTAGGGAACGGTAACATATGGCAGTCAAATCTTTACCGAATTCATTGTTTGTTTTGTGAGATGTAGTAGGAATTCCATTGTGAAGTATGAAGGTCCCCCAGCCATTTTGTATGACTCGATGACCGTCTTTAATATCGTCCTTGACTGCAATTACTTCATACATGTATATAACCACGTCTTTCAGTTGCACCAACGCAATGTTTGTCAGGGCTTTTTTCAGTTGTTTGCATTACGACAAGGTTTGTCTTATCTCTCCACTCAACAAGAACTGTTCTGTCACTCAGCCACATGTTACCAGGTGTTAGTTCTGGAGATTTATAACTATACAGTGTTTTTGTGCTATTGTCTGCCCATTTCCCGAGAGCGGTACTACATTATCTCGAGTTACAACTTTTACCGTTACTCACCATTGTCTACATCTGTCTGATCGACATCACGATATCATCCATTTTCAACTAATCATTCATTTGTCCTTATTTGTATCTCATCCTTATTTGTATCTCATCCTTATTTGTATCTCATCCTTATTTGTATCTCATCCTTATTTGTATCTCATCCTTATTTGTATCTCATCCTTATTTGTGTCTCATCCTTATTTGTATCTCATCCTTATTTGCATCTGAAGCAAGTTGTTTCCCATTATCTGCATCTATTGCATCGTTTGTTTGTTTGTTTGTTTGTTTGTTGTTTAACGCCGCACTCAGCAATATTCCAGCTATATGACGACGATCTATTAATAATCGAGTCTGGACCAGACAATCCAGTGATTCACATCATGAGCATCGATCTAGGCACTTGGGATACGATGACATGCATCAACCAAGTCAGCGAGGCTGACCACCCGATCCTGTTAGTTGCCTAAAACGACAAGCATAGTCGCCCTTTACGGCAAGCATGGGTTGCTAAAGACCTATTCTAACCCTGATCTTTACGTGTTTTAAGCGAGTTATTGCATCGAGTCCAATTGAAATGTCCGAGGGAAGGTCGGAAGTTACTGATAAGAAGAATACATATTGTCGTCAACCGCCTGGGCGTATGCCCAGAGAACGGGAGGTAGGTGGTTCGATCCCTGGACGCTTCATATCAAAAGATGGTACTTGTTGTTACCCTGGCTGGTGCTAAGGAGATAAAACAATGAGTGGTCGGCTCGGTTTCAATATTTATCTGTGCTAGTAAATCTCTACGGCTTGGGGTCTTTCCTCGAATTAAAAGCAGTTGGAATTGGCCGAAATATGTCCGAAATCTTATTTTGTTTCATTTTCTCGCTGTGTGGGATAAACAACAGCATTTCGTAATTCCGTCAAAACATTATGACGGTGCAGGCAGACTGTTAACGACTAGAGTAGCTTCCATTTGATAAAGGACAATTTCTCCAGCGATTGGATCGATGGATTGCCGCGAAATGCGCTCACTGACAATTTTTAAAAGGTTTCTGTTGGCAATTGTCTTTTTACTTTACCGTAGTTATGGCTCTGTCTAAAATACATCTTTCAGTTGGAAATATATTTGCTGTAGTCACTGACCGATCGACAAATCACCGACATTATAATATATATATCAATCGGCACATGCCCAGAAAACATGCAATGTTTAGATACCATTTTTGTAAGATGAAAATACTTATTTTCATGATAGAATTTAAGAATGACTTTATATGACAAATAAGTT